TTAACATTTAAATTTAGATTGATTTTTTTATTTACTTGATTAAAGGAAAAATGATTTAGTTTTGTTATATTTTATTACTGCTACTTTGCACATCACATAATAAATTTTGACAGGAAAATATATTGGAGTTCTATTTTTTTATCTTTTGTATTAGCAGGAAGGGTCATGAAAACTGAATTTTTGAATGTGTTCATCTGTATTGTCTTCATTGTTAGTTAGCAACTGCATTAAACAATCTTAAGCTAAATTTAAAAGCTAATAGCTACATAAGAGTCATTTGGTAATGTAGTGATTCATAATCCGAATCACTGATTATTCCTTTCAGCAATTGACAGATTATTTGACTATAAAACTAGTCATTTGTTGCAGCCCTAATGTGCTCAGAGATTCATTATTAACACAAATGCCGAGTTTGGTAGTGTTTAGCTATGTTGTGTGTGTGTGTGTGTGTGTGTATATATATATTGTGATGTTCAAATACAATGGCTAAGACATGTTACACCAGCTCTGACCAGCAGGGAGTGGCTGTATTTTTTTTTCTCTGTTACCTTTCCTGAACCAGTTAAAAAAAAACAAAAAAACAAAAAAAAAAACTTAGTGGGGTGCTAATTGTTAGCCAGTTAGCTCCCCAGTTTTGTTCTCGCCTGGTTCACAAAGGGTAAGAAAAAAATAATAAACCAGCCTCTCCCTAGTGGACAAAGATAACGTAACACGCTGAGTGTGAGCCAGTTTTTTTTGGCAAATGAAACAATGTGTGGGAGAGATATTGTTGGAGGTTTTTGATGGCTGAAATTAGACTCAAGCGGAAATTAGACTCAGCAATGCACTTTTTTTCCCCTCTCACCCTTCAGGACCTCTGTACTGAATAGATTCTCATTTATGTTCACTGAAATGTTCAGTCAGAGTTCAACGGGTTAAACACAGGGTTTGAACTGTGGCAGAGGTCTTGGAGGTCATCTGGTGGAAGGTCTGACTATAAGGTAACACAATAAATCTGGCACAAATTTAGTACTTGGTTACACATTGCTAACAGAAAACAGGTAGTCCTTGTAATAAACTGCATTCTATACCTGTAAAAATCACTGTAAGTGTTAATTGTGTCCAGATTTTCTTGCAAAAGCTCTAAAAATGATTCTGAGACACTCATATCCCGCATATTCAAAGCCTGGTTAAACATCACATATGACATTATAAATAGATCCTCAAATACAGGGCAAACTCATGAGTGGACTTCTAAAGAAACTGAGAGAGGAGAAAATATCGGTTTTACCCAAAGTGCCCTTGAATGTCTAATCCTCCAGACAATTCAGAGAGAATTTGGAGTGCTGCGTTTTCAGCCCACTTTCATTGTCATTTCTCAATCAGTTCAGTTGCTGAATCCTGAGTGCCCACATTACCACTGCATTTCCTCTCAGTCTGCATTTGTGTCAAAAACACATCAAAGCCTTCTTGGCCTTTAGGTTTCTGCCTCTCATCAGCTTCAACAAATCAACGGTCCGACTGGCCTCACTCTAAACCAACTAGCTGTGGACCTGAAACACAGCACTAATGGGAAATCCTGGCTGACCATAAACAAAAACCCAAGTTCTTTTTTGAGTTATTCATGTGAGCGCTGCTGCTTTCTGTGGAGTGTCTGGAGGCTCTGTGGGATTCATTTGAACCCGAGTCTTAGGTTGCTCGTTTTGTGCAGCAAAGCAATGCTCGTCTTTTAAGATGAGTGAAATTTTCAAAACCCTTTTGTTCGTGCCCCGTCATCATCGATGATAGAAGAGTTCTGTCAGGTGAGGAGACGAGTTCAAGCCAGCTTCACTGTTTAGAATCTAAAACTCACATAACAGAAAAAGGTAAGGGAATTCATCTCATCTTCAACCTTGGCGTTTGATGTTCAATAGAAAATCCTTATATGAAACGGGCAAAAGTCCCCCATCGAGGTCATAATGCATTAGAAAAAAAAAAAAGACAGGAAAAGACAGGAGCAGTGAAAAACCGGTGTACGGTTAAAGCTGACAGGCAAATCCCAATAAGCCTGAAGCAGCACAGCGTTGATATAGGAAATAAGGAGGATGAAAAGGCACATCTATTATCCTAAGGCTCTCTTTGAAATCTCCCTCTCTGTCGATGAAGCTGGCTCCCTGTAGAGCTGCTGAAGCCCGTACTCTTCCTCAGGGATTTGCCCAACCAGAAAAACACCTTGAGCTTCTCCCAGGCTGTGTGTTATCCTGAATACACCCAAGGCAAGGCCTGCATTTCCCTTCTATTCTCCATCCACAAGCACAGAACAACATTTCTCAAGGTGTTTAGCATCTGAAAGACTGGTAGAATAGAGAGATAACTCAGCCTGTGCTGTTTCCAGCGTTCAGAAGTTTAAAAGTCATGAGGAACTGAGTTAGTCCTGTGTAAGAGCAGGAAAGCGGCCAGAAGCCATTAGGTTAATGCAGAAGTGCAGTGATTAATTACGCAGACAGCAGCTAACTTTTTAACAACAGGCCTAAAAGTCTCATAAATGGAGCAGATAGTGTACAACTCTCAGAATTAAAAAATGTCAAATAAATAAATAAAATAATGCATACATTACATGCATACAAAATTCCAAGCACTAATGAGGCTACCTTAACAAGCAAGCTCGGCTTGAGTGAAATATGGCAGCAGTGAAGATACCTGGAATGTTTTTTTTTTTTTGAGTATATTAAATATTTAATTAAATACATTAGGTTTGATCAGTTTTGTTAATTGTGTTAAACATTTTGTTAACAAAACTGGACTTGCTATCTATTAAAATTTAATAATAATAATAATTCTATACACACAACTGTATATATCAATATAATACTGTATTGGGATTTTACATATAAGTGGAGCACAGTGACGTATACAGGAATATATTATTAATGTTTCATTATTATTATGATTATAATTAATGGTAATATAATTGACGGAATTCCAGTACAGTAAATTTCAGGTATGTGTAACTGCACAGTTTTGTCAGTTATTAATAGTACTATCACTTCTAGTGCTACTAATTATTATTATTATTATTATTATTATCATTATTATTATTATTATTATTATTATTATTATTATTGTTTCATCATATTTCTTTTTGGTAGTAATAGTAATATTTCTGTAGACATAAACAACTGCATATAGCAATATATTACGATACGGGTATAGTACTGATAAACGCATAGAAGAATAGATTATTATTATTATTATTATTATTATTATTACCACCACTTGTAAACAGGAAAGTGCATAGTACCCCACAGAAGTACTTTCAAATACAGAGGTTGCCCAAACCACACAAGCTAATGTAACATCCAGACCCTCAGTAAAGCCGCTTTAGTAATGAATCAGACTTTCAGCTGCTCAGTGAGCTTTTTAGTGGGACAGTCAAAAAGAGCCAGCAGTAAAGACAAGCTCCACGACTCCATACCCCTCCATAAGCCTCATGAAGACACGCTCTCTGACTAACACCCAGAAAGCAGCCTCTCTTGCGAGAAGCATTCGGATTAGCCCAGCCTTTCCTGGTGCGATTAAGACTGTCAAATTACAGCCACGCTTACAATTATGCATTTATCTATCAAGCAGAGTGTGAACTTCCCCCTCAAAACACTCCAGACTCCAGACTACGCTCCAGGCCCGGAACAAACCCGGCATGACAGCGAGCCGGCCTCAAAAAGTCCCATCACAGCAAGAGGCCATAACGCGCGCAAATACAAGCCTTAGCAGACAACAGCATGAATAATGCAACAACACCTTGCACAGTTGGAGGAATATTAATTAGCAGTGATGTGATTATACATATGTATCAAACACTGAGTTTACCTATATAAATATGCAATGGAAAACTAAAATCTTAATCAGAACCTGAGAGCAAATTTACACTTTGACATGCAGAGTATTCCAAACACTGCTATACAATATCTTACCTGCACTGTCAACAGCTCATCATATATGTATAAACATGCCTCATTAAACCCATTACAGATCAGTGCGTTCATGCAAATTAACTACAAGGACTCATTTGAGGTGCCTTTATGTGATTTAGCCCCATAATTTGTAGTGATAAATTCAATATATAAACTGTATCCAGTTGTGGAGCCAATTGTGCTGTAGTCAATAGAATCATGTCAAAAACAATACGAGCAGATTTAAAGATTTAACCACTCATAATTTCATCTTTTTACTGTCTGGATTTTATATAAATTGAGGCAGATGGGAAATAGAGGAAAAAGACTAAAATACTAGACCAGGGATCTCAACCCAAATGTTAAGAAGAGCCATTTTGTCCTTTCAACAAAAATCAAACCATCTTGGGAGCCATAACATTTTATGTCCGTTTTACCATCATGGCTGTAAATATGTCTCAGTATGTGTTAATGTCCTAGTATAGGATAAAAAACAAATGAAAATGCAGATTTACTTTGCTGTAAGCAGTAGTTCAGCTGTAGCCGCATTTCTGCAAAAGTAGAACAGTTTCTTGTAAAATCTCTCAACGTTCGACTTCTTACGAGGCTGAATTTATCTGGTTCCACCTTAAATGGTGCCTGAGGTGTCAGAATGTAACTGCTGCACCACTTAAGGGTGAATTCGAAAGAGAAGCTGACGTCAGCTTGTTGCAGATTAAACGTATCAGGAAACCAGCTGAGTGCTTATGAATTCAAGTAAGTCCATTCATCTCCAGATTATCGCTGTTCGTCTTAAATCGTTCTTTTTGTCTTTTTGTTAGCTACAAGCTAGATGAGACTGTTGTCTGCGCTGCTGTCAGTGTCAGTGAATTAGCAGTTATACATAACTCCAGCGTATTATTGTTAAAACTATTGACGATTCTGTGTTTACCTAAAAATCTAATTCTGATGTGGAGCCCCAACAAGACAGTAAAAGAGCTGCAAGTTGCCGACCCCTGTACTAGACATAAATGAAAAAAAAAGAAAAAAGAAACGAGCCACAAAAGAAGAAGAGGAATAAGCAGTACACAACAACAATGAATGTACACAATATACTTGTTGAAAACATTTTATTACACAGGAAATCATAAGAGTGTAATTGTGTTAGATGCCTCTCACTCCACCTTATTCTTTCTAAAATCCCCAAAAAACATAAATATTTAACATTTATAATTATAATTTGTTGTTCCAACATTCAAAGCTGTAAATTTGTTATAGCTACACTTTCTGTTAAAAACACAGTATGTACAATAGACAAGGTATCGTATTTGGCATACTTACAACAACGTCCTTATTATATCATTTACAATTTTCTCAAGTACTGATTCTTGTGAATGTGTTTGTCTAAAATTCACAACTAATCCAAGTCTGAAAAAAGTGTAACTTACAAAAGGAGAACATAGATACAATACTCAAGTTAATTTTTCCAGAAGTAAAAAGGAAAAAGAACATAGCACTGTGTGAGGTGATCAATATTTTCCTCTAAATGCTTAAAAAACAATGCTTGGTATTTTGTTATTTATTCAGATTCTATTCTTCTGTGAATTGAAGGGAGGCTCTAATAACACATTTCATAAATATTCATAAACAGTATATCAGTATTTGGGTGACACTGCTATAAAAGTCAGTCTGGTTCAAGGCGGGTATGTAAATGTTTCTGTATTACAAATGAACATGCAGCAAATACTTTATGAATGTGTTAAGTAGGGCTGTGACAAGATAACTGTATATCATGTACTTTTGCAATTCTCAGTGCATCACTATATTTGAAAACATCTGAATTACTGTTTTAATTTAGCTTAAACAGCAACTGAAAACAGACAAAGGCTGTAACATCAACTGAACATTATTAGTGCACTAAAAATGCAGAATTTAATTCTGTTGTACAAAATCATCAGACATTATTCAGTGTTTGTGTAATGGTCAAACTTTATTTAATACTGCAGCAGATCTAGTGTATGCTAGTACAGCAGTTCTCAAACGTTTAAGGCCCCCTGGACATTACTTAAGCTATATGAATGAGGACCATGTCTTACCACAAATTTGACCTTTTCGCAAGCTTTCTCTGCAGCTATCACTGACCTGCACATACTAGAGACATGGTGCCGCTCTGACATTTCAGACAACCAGCTAAGTGGCTGCAGTATGGCTGTAAATTGTGATTGGCTGGCACATATTTATACATATACATTTAATAACATCTACCATTTTAAACAAGTTTTATACAGTATATGTCCAAAGGTTTGCAGACACCTTTTCATGAATGCATTCAGCTATTTTAAGCTGCACCCATTGCAGATACAGGCATTCAACTGCGAACACACAGCTTGTATAATCTCCATAGAACAGAACTGCCAAGAAAATGCTGCAACAGCAGCCGCACACGAGCCTAATGTCACCATACCCAATGCTAAGTGTTGGGTAGAGGAGCATGAGAACTGCATTCTCTGGAGTGATGGAGCTCCATCCAATACCTGTGCAATGAGTTGCAGTGGATCCAGAACTAATCATCAAACATACGCTGCTGACCTCACTATTGCTCTTGTGGCAGAATGCAATCAAATCCTCACAGTAATGTTCTAACATCTAGTGAAAAACTGGATGAGTAGGTGGTCGGTATAGTGTAGTAGGTAACGCCTCTGCCTTCTACGCTGTGGACTGGGGTTCAATCCCCCACCTGGAAAAGCACTTTACACTATACAAATAGGAGTCCTTGGGCAAGACTCCTAACACTGCCTTCGTCTACCTGTGTAAAATGATCAAGTTGCATGTTGCTCTGGATAAGAGTGTCTGCTATATATCGTAAATGTAGGTGTCTACAAGCTGTTGGACATACAGTGTATCTTTTTTAGATATTCACTAAAATGACAAAATGAAAACTTACTAAACAGACACAACAAATTTTTCTGCCTTAGTGCCCCAAGTTTGAGAACTGCTATATTAGTACATTGTCACAACCCCGTTAATATTCCTGTTTTAGAGCCCTTCAAATGAACCATTACCTACATTTCTTACTGACAGGTGTGAGGAAGGGATGTGGCAGATTTTATTGGCAGAGTAGAATGTGAGTAGGAATGCCAGGCCTCATGTCTGTGTCAGGTTTAGAAGGTTCAGATTGGGTAAAAAAAAAAAATTACCGTCACTGTACACTGCACATTATTTAGGCTAATTTCTGCCACATGCATGGGCTATCTCCTGCATATTAGCCATGCGATGTAATGTGGGTATCAGACTGTCATCTGAAATGTAGTTATGCTACTTACTACCTCATTTGTGCTTCTTCTTGACTGAACGTCAATTCCAAAGGGACAGCATACAAAATCTTGCATCTTCGGTCCTAGCGTGCAAACGCACTGTGTGCATTCTACTTCAGTATCACCAGGTTTAGTTCCTTACAGCTTCCATGTTACTTTGGCACAATACTTGGCAAAATAACCCACATATTCATCACTATGATCAGACTGTAGTTCAGAAGCGACATCTGGGCCAGGTTTCTGCCAAAAGCATGTAAACTATGAACAGCTCTGAGATGTCCACATAGAACAAGTCGATGATGCTTCACCATCCTAATTGCGTGGTAGATGAGACTACAGTGTAGCAGAAGGTAAATGTTGTGTGCAAATAATTTCATTTCTGTTTCTTCTGATGTGCTGAGTAATTCAGTAAGAGCATAATGGCGTCAGGTATCGTAATAAACTGATTTAAGTGGTAAATGGGCCACCCAAGTGCAGCATCCTTCATGATTCTGTTACTATGGAATGGCTTGCTTCATGACATCCAAGTGTATAGGAACAAAGCCGTGGACGTTATCCAGTGCCTACATGAACACAGGTGTGCAGGCCGCTAGCACCTTTAAGCCATTTTAGAAAAGTACAGTGTACTTAAAACGTGCATTACTCATCAATAAAAGAATCTGTTTTCAATACTTAAGGCAAAAACCATCATTTTCATATAAATATTTACAGTAAATGGAATTAAGACGCCTACCAAAACGCTAAGACAATGCCCCAGTGGTTATTTTAACACGTGATCCTTCAAAAGTGCAGAATGTAGCAGTCATGCCCTTGCAATACCCTCCTCTATTAAGAATACACCCCACAGTCTGTTTGTCTGTCATATAAACTGGAGATTTGGGTTTACTGACCCGAAGAGAGTGGGAGCGAAAGTGCAAGTGGTGTCGGGGTGTGTTTTGCACCCCAGCAGGGCTAAAGTTGAGAGACTTTCCTGGGAAGTGGCCTCGGTCTGGGCAGCTGCTCAAGCCGGCGGGGGTCCACTTCCGGCTTGCCGCTGCGGAGCTGGTGTGGTTTTGGTGGTATGGGCGGGGCATCTGCACTGGGGGGTGGGATGGACAGACTGTGGGGGAGGGGCACGGGCCGCCGGGGGTTGTTGCGCTCGTACACACTGTAAGGGGGCGGGGTTTTGTTCTCTCTGCGAAAGAGCTCGTCCGATCCGCTGGAGGCGGAGGTGGGGAGGGCGTGGTCGGAGGGTGGGGCTTCAGTGCCGGATGCCTCAGAGACGCTGCAGCGGCTGAGGGAGGAGATGCCGCTGCTGTAGCTGCCCGACAGCACGGGGGAGTTGGCAACGAGACCCGCAGACTGGCACTCCGTGGGTGAAGGGGTGAAGGGTGGGGCAGAGGTCTGCAAAGACACAAACACATATAATGAAGTACCATAAGACTGTGAATATCAGATAGTCAGCCAGAGCAACTACGATTGCCCCCATCTGATCTTTCCTACAAGTAACATAAGACATGTTTGGCGTCTAAATTTTGCTTCTTTAGTTTAAAACTGGAACTGCTAGGCTAACAGTGCAAATAAACACTGTAAGTCAATAGTCACCCAAACCATTTACACTGCAATACGCCAATTTTTTAATGTATTTACTTCAAATTACTCCAATATGGTATGAGAACTCGCAGGTGGGTCTGGGGAATCAAGGGTGGGTCCAGTATGCAATTGAAGCATTTTATCATGTCTGTATTCAGACTCATATATGTGTGGCCGACGCTCATTTGTGCTGAAAATGTGGTCCGTTATCAGACACTGTATTGATTTTCTGACTACATCTGCTTAGCTTCTCTACCTACCCTTTGGTACATTACCATAAGGTGCATCTGAGTTGTGTATTCCCTTAGCACTGTCTTTGGTCGTCTTGTGCGGAATGACACCAAATTGTGCTCAGAAAATAAGTTATTCCAGAAATTCTCAATAGTTGTCCATTCTTTTAGCTGCATTAAGAAGTTTGTATAGGTCACTATAAGTCATAGTGTGTTCTAAACCACATTGACTGAAATAAGACCTGGATGCAGTTTGGAAACGTTTTGAATGCATATTTACGGATACAGTTTGGGTGCCTATTGACTTCCAGTGTTTGTTAGCAACACAAGCCTAATAGCTCTCGTTCTAAACTAAAGAACATCATTTTGGACACCAAACACGTCCCATCGACTGTATTTAAGGTAAGTGGAGAATCATGTAAATTTGATTCCTTTCAGGTTATACCTTTAAACTATTCCTTTAAATGACTCGTGCCAGCAAGAAAATGAGCAAAAAAACTGACTGACATTCCTAAGAGCAACATTTATGAGTATGATTCATGATTTCTGCTATAATCATACCCTACAGAGGAAGCTGATACCCTAGCATGGGTTCCTAAACACTAACCTGGAGATGTAGCTTCCTACAGAGTTTTGTTCCCACTTCAGTGTAACACAGCTGATACAATCTACACTTTCATTAATATTAGTTCCACTGCACTGGATATGAATTCTGCAGGAGGGGAAATGTCCAGGTGCAGGGTTGGACATTAATGACCAATACTACAAACCAGAACATGAAATATGATACATCATGGATTTGTCCCATTTCCTTGTCAAAATATTTTCTGCACAATTATATTGCTGTTGTAATATCATTATATTCTCAAACCATATTTCCTTCCATATTTCAGAGATGTGGAACATTTGGGATAATTAGGCTGAATTGCCAAAGAAACGAATGGTGTTAATTTTTCTGCAACAACTAGCACAGTTGGATGAATGCCAGAGCAGGACTTTACAATTAATTTAACAAGTTTAAATATGGACGTTTTCACGCCCGCCCACTCTTGGGGTGGTCGTGGAAGGTGTTCACAAATTATGCGTGCTGCCTGATTTAAAAGAAATGTTACCCAACCCATTTCTTAAGTGCTGCTCTGAGATTTTTCACTGCACTCAAATACACTAAAAGCTTTTGTCCTTTCACAGCCCACAACCCATGAACTGACAGCTCTGCGTGACCTGCCAATCAACATTACTGTGTGGACGCTGCTTTTGTGTGTGCATGTGTGGGTGTGTGTGTGTGGGGGGGTTGTTTGAATGGCAGGCTCCTGGTCTGCCTGGAGTGAGGCAGATAGCTGCCCATCAAACTCATCGAGCTTGCACTTTGCCCGACCGAACGGTTCTTACATCAGAGACTTCAGCTCATCACCACCCACCCCCCACCCCACTCGCCACACACATCACAAACACTGTTTCAGACATCAGAAACACAGAAACATGCTCTCTCCGCTTCTTCAGTGTCTCTTCAATATCTGTTTTTATATATGTATATACAGCATAACATTATGACCACCTCCTTGGTTCTATATTCATTGTCCATTTTATCAGCTCCACTTACTATATAGGTGCACTTTGTAGTTCTACAATTACAGACTGTAGTCCATCTGTTTCTCTGCATACTTTGTAAGCCCCCTTTTACCCTGTTCTTCAGTGGTCAGGACTCCCATGGACCCTTACAGAGCAGGTATTATTTGGGTGGTGGACCATTCTCAGCACTGCAGTAACACTGACGTGGTGGTGGCGTGTTAGTGTGTGTTGCAATGGTCTGAGTGGATCAGACACAGCAGTGCTGCTAGAGTTTTTAAACACTGTGTCCACTCACTGTCCACTCTATTAGACGCTCCTACCTTGTCAGTCCATCTTGTAGATGTAAAGTCAGAGACAATAGCTCATCTGCTGCTGCACAGTTTGTGTTGGTCATCCTCTAGTCCTTCATCAGTGGTCACAACACGCGCAACAGAATTGTCACTTTGTACAGCCCTTGTTTTGGGTAAAAATTTGTCTCGGAACACAGAGACCCAATTATTGATGCTTTATTATTCAATCATGACTGTTTTTGGCTCTTTGGTAGACAAACAGGATATCAAAAAATATTGTTTTCTTCCATGAGATGATGCTGAGAAGTCTTTTTGTTTTCTTTCTGGTGAGACCAGGGCTTCTGCAAGTGGTGGCATTAATAGCAACTAAGGATGTAACGATTCCAATATAGTATCAAGAAACTGTATGGAGCATTAAAACTATTATCGATACACTGGGCTATTTTTCCTTAGAAGTCATTTATATTTTGTAATTTTATAATTTTACTAATTTTAGGGCTTATATTGTTATTGAAATCAACTCTACCTCAGAATCAAAAACTGTATCAAACCTGAAAATATGTACATCATTACAACTCTGGTAGGAACAGTTGGATCCAAAGTCCAAAGTCATAAAATTATGATATACCTCAATATGTTATTTCACAATACTTAATGTACCACAATCATTTAAAATCGCAATAGAATTGGCTCGAGTATTGTAATGATTTTGCATTGGAGAAACTTAAATGATTCTCCTAGTATGTAGGCCTACTGCATTTCACTATATTCCATATACTGGACACTTGGGATTTTTTTTTTGTATTAGAGCATAAAAGAGGCGATTGGCGAGTATCTGACATGCAGAAAGCCTAGTCCGAAATCGATATGCACTGCTAGATAAGAACATGATGAAGCAGAACAGGACATAATTACTGGCTCTGGATCAGATGAGTTAGAACATGAGGAGTACAAATCTGTGATTAGTCAGTAATGGATTGCAGGTTTCTCTGTACACCTTTGAATGTGAATATGCTCCTTTAAACACAATCCTAACGATCCCCCTTGCACAGGGGAAATAAAACCTGAATTTAATAGTAGGCTCAAACTCTTTTTGAGCTTTAGCTACCCTGAAACAATCCGCACACCTGTAAGTGAGATAGAGAACAAAAGGGCATATCTGCTTTAGACAAACTGGGATGTCTGCCAAAATGGTGCATCTAACTAAACAAATAAATTAGATCGTACTGGTAGTGTCTGATGGGTTGTATAAAATACTAACACAACTTGGTTTGTTTGGATGAACGCAGCCTTCCAGGGTAAATAAATTTGTAATGCACGGCAGGATGAGGTAGTCTAGTGTGCACCAGCTCAGTGCCAGCGGGATCAGTGTCATCTGCTCTTGCCTTCCCCACACACACCCCAAGCACATCGAGGCTTATTTGAATGTGCCATGACCCAGTTCCAGGACCTCCATCAAGCATTTCAAAACAGCAGAACAAAGATCATTAAAAGAAAGTTAAGCGAATATGAATATATTTATAATTACCATCTGATAGATAATTTTACAGTGATAGTCTGGCAAAAACTAAAAAATTCAAATGTTCACAATTTTACCCTTGCCTCATATATTTAGCAGAGAATTAAACAGAAGCCTCAACAACTAAATAAAATATCACATTTTTATTTAGCATTTAGTATTTCCTGTTATCACAATCCTTTCAGGAGACTTTCAGTTTTTCAAAGAAACCTGCAGATATTAAGTCTTAGAAGTTGGTTGCATTTTTCGCTTCTGATGATCCAAGTAAACCCAATTATGAAATTAGACTCATCTCAATAAAACCCTAATCCACATCTCAGATTTTCTCAGTAAGGGCTTCTTGACAGCTACACATCCTTTCAGACCCATAGCATTGAGTTGTCTTCTCATACTGGAAGGATGTACAGAAGCAACTGTGGATTTTTTTTAGATCTGAAGCAAGAATCAAGCTTTCTCCTACTGTTTATCTAATGATGACAGTTTTGGTGGTATATCAGGTCTTGTATGTTTGTTAGTAGGAGGGTCATTATTATTTTTTTTTCAACATGGGAGTTGCAAGACTATACGCACTGTGAAACGAATACAATTAGATTTCCTGCTATAAAATGCGTGATAATGTGGTTGATAGAAAGGTTTCAGCAGTTTTTTTCAGTACTTTTCTTTGATACAAGCCATGAAATTCTTAAAAGCAATAATCATCAATGTAAAAAAACTCGTAAATATTGGGTTTGGTTAGCCTACTTTGGATGGGTGATTAGCCAAGCTGTTTGAAAAGCTGAGGTTTCTCAGTGGGAAAAGAATGAATGAATACCTCAAATATGCTTACTCATTTGTGAAGACATCACTCAAATATGTCAGTTACCAGAGCAAGGAGAAAACAAAAAGCTAAAGTTAGCCAGCTTCTTGTTCCAGTTTTCCATTCCACTGTAAATGGAACAGAATGGCATGTTACTGCTGCTTCATTTAAGGTGGAATGGAAAATTTAATAAGAAACTGGACACTAAGTTTAGCCTTGTGGAGAAAACTCAGCAGCTACTTCATCTCACAGGATTCAAACAGCTGCAAAGTGTCGATTTTGAATGGGTGAAAACAAATAACTTGCTCCACAGGAATGTTAACAGCTAGTCATTTGCATTTCTATTCAGTTGTAGAGTCCACCTCTATTTGATTGTAGAGTTCAGCTCTATTAGGTTGTGATTCAATAGTGTCCTGAGAGTGACTGAGCCATGAGTCACTCATTTCAGCTAGAAGAGCCACACTTTATATAGGAACACAATATGAGAAATATTTAGATGTAGCTTTATAGTTTACATTTTTGTTTATTTTTACAGATATTGTACTTTTGTTTATATTCTTTTTTATTCATGTCTTCTAAGAACATGACATACCAGTTTTCCTTACAACAAGCACTGCTGTCTGTTAGAGACAAGAGAGGAAATAAAATAAAATAAAAAACTTTTGGGGAATTATCGTAGTAAATGAATAAACGAAAGGTTAGTCGTTGAGTTTTGCACAGTACTGTAGGTTTTATAGATAACAGTATAGCAGTGTCAGAAAGCACATAAGCAAATCTATTTGTGACTGCTTAACGGCTTGATGTAGTTTGAGGCAAGTGGGCTACGATTTTGCATACAATTTGTACAATGTTGATTGGTGATTATAGGCTTCCACTACTTGTTAAGCCTAATATCAAATTAATACTCTGATACTTTGAGGAAACTGGGGTCTGGTAATGATAATGTTGGCCTTGTATCTCATATGAATATAGCGCAACTTAACACAACCTCTACTTACCCACATTAGCACAAAAATAACCTGGACACCAGCTACAGAGAAAAAAGGGCTCCTACCTTTTGTGGTGAGCGTGACGCTGGCACTGGTGACTGTGATCTTAAGTTCTTAGCAGGAGAGCCTGTTCAAAGAAACAGATAATGGTCACTGAGCCTGGGACATTCTTCACTATTTGACATAAGGATTTGAGACAGTTAAATTTAGCCGGCAGCCACACGGCCGTCTTTGAAGCAGGGAAACATATTGTTACACGCTGGAGGCTCCTGCTAAGCGGCTTACTCGTCTGCCAGCTGTTCTTTTTCAGGACAACGGGCTCCATTAGAGTCCACCAGTGTCAACTACAATGAACAGGAGGACAGATAGACTCTAAAAATGTCCACCCTGTCAGGACTGGTTAAAAAATGATGAGAAGCAGAGAAAGGGAGAAAGGCAGAGTAAGGGAGAGGCAGAGGAGGCAGGTCGGGAAGCAGCGAGAGGAGAGTCCGGCTTTAGCCTGCCATTTGAGGATTTAATGAAGCTCAGAGGTGTCATGCAAACTAGAGAGAAAAACGCTATGAGAAGGCTCATGTCTTCAAGCAATAACCAGGATTAAAACATGAGAGAGAGCAGGCAGAATCCCCTTAAGGCAGATGTGCTTTTTCCCCCACTACATGCAAGTTAAGTTTACTTTCAGATTTCAAATGATTGATCTACTTAAGGATCTAGAAAAAAAAGTCCTGACAGAACATGAGACCAAGATAACCTTGAAAACGACTTTTTGACTCAGACTTTGGCAAGATGAATACTAAAAAGAAACGTAGATAGAAAAGGACAGACGTTAAAGGAATACTCCAGTGTTTTGCAACCTGATCTGCTGCATCTGTAGTGTACAGTTGATTACCACGGACAATACTTTCGTGTTTTTCCCTCTACTTAGAAAAGGACAGAAAACCCACCAACTTCAAACTCAAACTGGACAGTTAGTAAGGTATTGTACATCTGCAGAATTTGTTCTTTTATAGTTGTGACTAGTTTTCCAGAAAAAAGAATTTGTAGTAACTCCTCACTTCTGACTGGCCTGGGCAATATCTAAAACTAATTAGCACAATTATAAAAAACCCCCGCCGCCCCTGCCAATGCTTGTACCCCAACCCCCATGCCCACAACCAATAAATGCAGTCTGCTGCAGCTTAGACCTACTTTTTATTATGTTTTTGTTTATATACTTTTTTAAAAGCATGAACTGTCAACTAGATCACCTAATGTGCATTCATAAGCTCCTTCTGGTGTAGGTTTATGGCGACTTGTAAGCTAATAGCACTCCTTGCTGGAGAAACTACAACACATGCTCTAAATGAGTGATGTCCAAAGCCATGCCCACATGCTTTACATATAAAAAAAAAAAATGGTGTTTTATGTCATCAGTCACTCTGTAATATACAATATAGTTCTGAGTGTCTAACTTATTATTTGTGGTAATTGAATGTACAATACAGATGCAGCATACAAAGATTAAGTTAAAAAACTCTGTAACATTCCTTAGAATAGTAAGAAACAAGGACTAAGCCAAACCTGACAGTAGACAGAAGGTCCGACAGTTAACAGGGTGCAAGAAATATTAGTGCCAGCGGACAGGATCAGTCATAGTAGATTTATTTCTTCTTTACCTGAGTACGGTGGCCTAGGAGGGACAGGGGGGCACAACAGCTTTCCGACAGAGTCAGAGAGCGGTGTGTCAAGACTCCAGCTGCTTGGGGCAGGCTTGACCACTTTCACACACAAAACATGCAGCTTTGGTCAGTTCACTTAGCTCAGCAGCATCACAGTCCAAACAGAGTGCAGCAGTGTCTTATTTATGGTGACACACTTCACTGAAGAGCAGCCATAGGCTACTACATGTGTTGAAAAGCAGTGTCTTCTTTGCATTGGCTCACCGCACATGCAGTTATCACAGGAATCCACTTTGGTGCCACATTAATAAATCATTAATTCAATTTCCACTTTAGTTTGTTCGAATCCTCTAACCTTCAACGACAGTTCAAAGAAAGCAATCAAAACGTTGGGTCTATTTTAATTAAACAAGGGGGTTTCTCGACTAGATTCACAGGATCTCCCTGGAATATGCAATATGCAGGAACGAAGCTGCATTCTTGGCGCTACCTTCGAAACTGCAGACGCGTACAGCATGAATATCATAAATAAATATTTGACTTAAATCTTGCCTTCAATAAAGCCTAACGCTGGAGAAAACCCATCGCCCTTGGGAATCGAAGACGGCCTTTGTACCTCCGAGGCATTAAATGCAGATTTCAATGAAAGAATAGATAAATGGGTGAGGGGATGGTGACTGAAATATTTCAGCCCTATTTTGAATAGCGATGAGAGTAGCATTGGTGCACCTGAGTGTGAATCGGGCTCACACGCACTGTTGCCACAGGACAAAGAGAGAGCTCAGCTGTCAGCTAGAATCAAATCCAGCCAGGCAACCATCAAAACATCTCACAACAACACTGTGACCCAGTGCATGTAAGTGTGTGTGTGTGCTGTGATAAATGCAGCTCACCTTTGTCTGGATTGGAGATGTTGGGGTCACTGCGAGGCAGAGAGGCATCTCCTGAAGGATGTGGCATTGTCCTCTGTAGAGGAGACACATGAGCACATTTATGGAGGAACCATCTCTTCCTTTTTCATCTCGGCTTTTGCCAACAAAATGACCTTTACTGCAACAGGAACCGCTGCTTTAATCTTTAAGGACAGAGTATTACTGATGCAAAGCACCACTTTCCATAGCACTCCCAGTGCTTTTTTGCCTTTAATTCTCCCCAAGAATAAGCTGACCATTCATTTCAGTGGTTATGTAGAGACTGTATAGTTTGGTTTATAGTCTTTTACTACACACACGCGCATAGTGATATGCTGATGGTGTGGGTTCACAAAACTTCTTGAATGCTAAAAACTCCCAAACTGACATGCTTAGAGTATAAATATTTGTTTCCCTTGCTTTGGTCTACTGGGCTTGTATAATGCTATCATATGTGGAATCCATGATTTTCATATGTTGTTTTGTAATATATATATATATATATATATATATATATATATATATATATATATATATATATATATATATCCTATATGGATATATAGTGTATTTAGCAGTGTGGGGTTAAGAGAGGTTGGGGTATATAGCGTGTTTAGCTGTTTGGGGTTGAGAGAGGATGGGTATATAATGTATTTAGCAGTGTGGGGTTGAGGGAGGTTGGGGTATATAGCATGTTTAGCTGGGGTTGAGAGAGGATGGGTATATAGTGTATTTAGCAGAGTGGGGTTGAGAGAGTTTGGTGTATATAGCGTGTTTAGCTGTTTGAGGTTGAGAGACAATGGAGTATATAGTGTATTTATTAGTGTGGGGTTAAGAGAGGTCAGGGTATATAGTGTATTTACCTGTGTGGGGTCAAGTGGGTTGGGAAATATAGCACTGCAGGGCCTCTCTCTCGGGGACAGGCAGGAGTTCTCGCGGGCATGTTTGTGTTTCTCGGACAACTGCGGTGAACCTGAGAAAAGGTTGAGGAGAGGGTGTTAGACTACTAACGTACAATAATGTGCACCTACCCAACACACACACACACACACACACATTGTCTCTCTCTCTCTCCTTGTACTGTTTCTCCTGTCTTGCTAAATGGACAGTACAGGAGCAGTATCCCCCTCCCCCAGGTAACCTCCCTGCTAGGGTGAGAATTGTGCTGCGCTGGTGGCAGACAGCTATTTGGTGCTGAGATGGATTCGCAGAGAGAGGGAGCAGTTCAGACGTGCCTGCAGCTCAGCCTGTTTCCTTCATCAGCGGGGACCGGGTGGCACTCTCCCGCCACTCCACCTCACCACCACAGTCATCAGCAGCAGCGCTATTGCAGCACTGCCTGTAATTCTCCCCAACACATTACAGCCTGTCTGCGCTTTATGGAGGTCCCAATGAAACCGGAGAGGCAAGAGCGAGGCTGCCAAGAGGACACCATTGCCTCCAAAAATGCCTCTGTATATTATTGTTAAGGTCTGCATTCACTAGAGAGCAGACTGCGAGTGAACAGTGAGGTATTTGTGTAACTGTATGTAACTGTGTAACTGTAATGTATGTGAGCACCTATACGTACATACACATATAAATTTATACAAATATACACACATACACTAACGCCCTACATAGTATACATATATATGCTTGTGTAAATATACATACATATACACAAACACATACACACCACCTATACTAAATACTATCATCTATATGTAGGGCATTAATGTAAATATATTGTATATAGATGCTTCCAATGTAATGTCAGTCAGAATTTGGACACATTCATATTACACATTTAAAAAATAGTGAAGACATCAAAATGGGATACTGGGAAATATTGACCTTCTACCACATTTGACTATCTGGACCCACATATCTCATCAACATCTGATGGGCTCAAACAAATTAATGAGGACAGACATTCCACAAATTAATCTTTCATGAGTTAGTAACTGAAACAGTGTAATAGGTCCGTTTTCAACTCTAAATTTCACTAAATTAAAACTGCATCATGCAAACTGTTTGTTTGTGTCTGACATGATACAGAGCATCAAATTTTTAGTACAAATTTGATATGTATGTTCAAAGCTTACTCAGCCTCAACCACACCATCAAGTTCTGAGTCTGACCCAATCTCAAGAAAATTCTGTCCCAAACTGACCAGAAATTGCAGAATAAAACCTGATATTTCAAATGATACCGCAGTTTAAATTACTGTGTAGCATTCATGTTATCTTTGATAAGATAAAGATAAAAGCTAATTAAAATAACATGATAAAATAAAAAATCAGCTTTGCTAAATGAAGTCTAAATTCCACGTTAACAAATGTATTCATCAACAAATGCCTCTGAACAACAAATGCTTTTAGTCTGGATAAAATTTTTCTGGATAAAATTTTCAAATGCACTGTTCTAACACTGTACAGTGCTGATGTTGCTGATATTGGTCTTCACCCGTTTAACCCTAAAACTCACACATAACATACTGAATATATAAAAAATATTTTTGGCCAAACAAATGAAATACAAATTTCCTTATGGCTGCACCAAGCTGTGCTCTCCTGTATCAATTTGCTGTTTTTTTTTCCCCGCATAACCATTTTCTCACAAGCGTGGGCCTCGTGGAGCTTATTACTAAACTCTGTCAACAACACGAGTGGGTGACTCCAGCATGCCAGATTAAAAATGTTTTGAAGTAATAAAAGGGAGGAAGAATAAAGGAGAGAGAAAAACTAAAGCAGAGGGAAATCTGTTAAATCTTAAAATCTGTTAAAAGTGGGAGGCGGGCTGCGAGAAACTGAATGTGAAATTTTAACCCCGACCTGAGCCTGACAAACGTTTGAGCAGTCTGGATCAGTCAAGTCCTGATGGGTTTGGAAAAAACATTTCAAGCAGGAAAGTGTGTTCAAAAGGGACAATAGGGAATGATTATTGTGACCTAAATAAAAGCTCTACTAATGAAGAGCTCTACAGGCCTGTAATCATCTCAAACATACACTGTGGGCTCGGAGGGAAAGTGGAGTGGCAGTCCTCACCTCTGGCACTGGACGGAGCTGAGCTGGTGACATTGGGAGATGCTGAGTGATTGGAGCTGAGGCTCGAGGTAGATGGGCTGGGCTGAAGATGGACAGGGAGACAGAAAAAAGAAAAAACACAAAGATTACAAACAGTCCTCTGAGATCTGAGTCTAAGATAAAAGCTCAAGAACAGCATTATCATTTCAATCCATCTTTTTTTCAACTCATACCTGAGAACCTGAGAATCTTATTGTCATAGAGAGAAAAAAGGTGAGAAAAGACGGAGAGATTAAGAATGAGTGTGTGAAAGAGAGAGAAAAGGAGATGAAGATGAAAACAGCATGAGGGCAATTAAGAGAGAGATAAGAGCAGAAGGAGCAAGTGGAGAGAGTGAGATTAGGGGAGAAGATGAAAGAGAGACTGATTTGGAGCAAGTAGAAAGAGAGATGTAAGAGGAGGTGTAGTAAGGGTAGAGGTGGCAGGCTGATTTAGTGCCTCAGAGTTCTGTTGAGTGCGCAAGTGTGTGCGTGTATATGTGTGAGCTGTCGGTGCGCTGGGTTGGAGCACTCACCTGCATGTTGAAGACTTCGTCTGAGCTTTCTGACTGGCCCGTAATGTTGCTCACTTCATTGGAGGCCTGCGATGACAGTGAGGACGAAGAGTAGCGGTTCACCGCAGGATAGCTGAGAGGACTACACACACACACACACATAGACACATGCAGTGTTAGAATTCAGCCTCCATATGGTGTTTTTATTTTAAGCAAAGCTGTGAGTAGAAAACTCTTTACACTTGGGGGAGGGGGGGGGGTTTACAGCTTGGCAATAGCTAAAACTGACAGTTCTAACATAGACAGCTTTCCAGCCCAATAAGTGTAAAGGAATACAAACATGGTGCAGTCGACTCCTAATGGCACTATGTATGTCTCCTGCTTACTGAAACACTCCACTGACACTGAAACTTAAAACTCTATTCCAGATGGTTTAACCAGAGAAGGTGCTGTAATTTAAGTGACTGCTAAAGGGATCTGTGATTTTAAAACAATATTTATCATCACAGCGAAAAATGATTCCTCAGCAAGTGAGCATAATAAACAATAATTCTGGAAATATGCCTAAGATTTCCCGTTTTGAGATTGATGAGATTGTCGTTATTTTTTGAACTTGTGTGAACTATTTTTATCAAGTGAAAATGTCTTATTCTGTCAGAAGATAATTTTACATTATGTCTTGAAACACTGCAGTGTGCACATTCTCCCCGTGTCTGTGTGGGTTTCCTCTGGGTGCTCCAGTTTCCTCCCACAGTCCAAAGACATGCAGTCAGGCCAACTGGATATGCTAAATTGCCCCAAAGTGTGAATGTGTGTGTGTGATTGTATATGCCTATGTGTCTGCCCTGCAACGGACTGGTGGCCTGTCCAGGATGTTTCCTGCCTTCTGCCCAATGACCGCTGGGATGGGCTCCAGCACCCCCCACGACCCAGAAGGATAAGCGGCTTAGTTAAAGTGTGTATGTGTGTGTGTATGTCTTGAAACAAGTAAGATTATCTGGTCATAGTATAAGGCAATTTCTCTAGATAAAATTAATAAAACCTCGTATAAATAGGTTTGTAATATACTTACAACAATCTCAAAATGATAAATTTGAGATTGTTGTAAGTATATTACACTTCCTAAGAAATCATTTTTTGCAGTGCAGCATCAGTAGGAAGTGAATAGCCTTCTTTAACTCATAAAACCCACAGTAACCTCAAGGTAAAGCCTAATAACAGACAATATTTTTTGGTGGCCACATGTCCCTGTAAGTGTTGCATCTACCGTTTGCATCCAGCTATCTGTGCTAATTTAGGGAAATTTCACCTACACATTATCTGGTACAAATCGACCAGTCTAATCCCTTACAGATTGACCTATCCATGCTCCGCCTACTAATGTATTCCTTCACAGTAACTGTTACTTGGTTGGACAAGCTTTACAGGACACTGGCAAAAATTCAATTCAACCTAAACAGAAAGCAGAAAGCTGTAAACAGAAAGCATGACAATATGTTGCCTTGAGCTACATAAGTAAAGTCAATCTACTGTCTATCTATCTACTGATAGCTGTGGAAAGACAAACTGAGGGAGAAATTTTTAGATCTCAATGGAAAAATAATGGACCAATAACAGTCTCTATAAAATTTGGAGTTGATTCAATCACAGCTGTTCCTGATCTGTCTTAACAAAGTGACCACAGCTGTACATAATAAACATCATCTGAAATTAATCACATACATGGAATTCAGGTATTGGGACAAAAGGTTGCTCAATGCACAATGGCTACAATGTCCAATTAAGTTGAATGGGATTTTGCCAGTGTTCTGTGAAGCCTATCCAACCTTGTAACAGCTGTGAATGAAAATATTATGGGTGGTGCATAGATCTAGGTCTTGGGGTCTGATCCTGCACACAACAAACACCTGTCACAGTCTCTCTCACCTGCGGCGGGGCACCACGCGACCTCCCTCTGGGCTCAGGATGTTGGGCATGGAGTTACGGCCGGTGCGTGGGCTTCCATTGGGGAAGTGGATAGGACTGGCCCTCACATATGCTGGGAACTCCTATGTATGTGAAAGGAAATAAATTAGCTTGAAAATTAGTGCAGAGAGAGGACATAATAGACTAGAAAGATCTAACGCAATATGGAATTAAGAAATGCAGAGATATATTATTTAGACCTAAATAATATAACTATCTAGCTCAAACACAGAGAGACATCTCACAAATTACTCATAGTAATTAGGACGATATAATGACTGTGGTTGAAAACTATGAAACTTTCACTACATCTCTCACTACAATTTCACTACAGTTCTAGCTGAAAACAACTCATTTGGGGGCAATTAAAATTCTATTTGTTAAACGTGTCACTTTAGTTTTGGAAACAGACACAAACATAGGCATAACTATTCATATATTTGTCTTTGAAGCCATTTAAATTAGCAGGTTTACCTGAATTCCTAGGCTGGATTTCATCAGATGGAACTGGTCCACCAGTTTTTTATGCAGTGGCCGCATATCCTGAGGGACGAACTTCTCATGGACGGCCAGACCAAACTCCAGTATGTGTGCCTGAGAGAGAGACAGAGACCTTAAGCTTTATAGACATTTAACTTTCAAACTTTCTGAAACCAACACATAATAAACATAACTACAACATTTCAAACTGCACGTGAAAAACATAACTGCTTAATTTAACACACTATCTAAATTGCAGCGTTTATGCTCAAAAGGTTTAGAGGCAAAGCTGAACAGCCACAGTGGTGTAAGATAAGACAGAACTAGTCTGCCATAAAAGTCATCAAAAGTCATAAAAGTTTCTAATATCCAATTGATCTCTTTATCTGACTCAAATATGCTTAAAAAGAAAAGGAGAAAATGACATATGAGTGAGAAACACTGAATTATGGACTGACTGGACCATCAGTTTGGTTAGTATATGCCTTGTGTGTAAAAAGATGTATCAATACTGACCTGCTCGAACATCAGTTCTCTCAGTCGTCCGATTTTATCTCCGTCCTCTGGGTGATTCATCATGTAATCTTTCACAAAGAATGCCTGAAGAAAATACACACACAGTTAGACCATCCAAGAATCCAAACATGATGCTGAATGCTTTTATATATTCTTCAAAGCAAAAACACACAACTGAATCTTCCTGTAGCTGTCGGCTTAAGGCTGCAACCTTGTCGGGTAAATCAAAAATACATTTTTAAAATGGAGAAAACTTAAGCTAAAAGTTACATCAGTTGAAGGGCGATATTCTCCAATGTATTAACATTTTAATAGTCTCTGACTTTGGAATTTCCTGTCGGTACCAGAATCGGCCATAAATATTAAAATTTTCTGCTCGTGACCTCTAGCAGACTTGCATAAGTGCATGCGTCATCTAACCTCTAGGTGCTTCATATGCATACTATAGTGAGGAGCCCACAGAAGACAAGGATGCGTTTTGAACTTTTGATTTTGTATCCATTTGGATGCTATTCCATGATGTCATGGCACCAGACTGAACTGTTCCAGACAGCAGAAATGAATTGCAAATGGCAGGCGCTCGGAGAAAACACGCCGCTTTAAAGGAACGCCATTGAGAACAGAGCTCAGGAACACAGCCTTTTCAAATCTTCAGAGGAGGAAAGAGAGCGGGGTGAGGAACAGAGCCTGGATTTGTCTGCAATCTCTCCCAAGGATGACGGGCCTGTATCTCCAAAGAGCCAGCCAGAGAGGAGAAGCTACAGGATGGCGCGCCTTCCTCCAGCTTCAAAGAGCCACACGGAACAACTCCAGTGGCCTAAATCTGATAGCGCAGCCGCTCCACCACAACTCCACCACCACTCTGACAAATATCTTTCAGAATTTCAGCCTTACAAGTGTGTCTAAGAACACACTCTTCAAACTCTTTGAACTGGTTTCCAAGGCAACGGTTAAGTGTAGTACCAGATTAAAATTTTTCTCAATAGAGAATCACCATTAACACAATAATTAAGTTCTAAACTTAAGGCTTATTCTCAGCCCCTAAAATGGTCCATGTCTTTGGACAGTGCTCTAAGAACAAGCAAATAAACCAGGACTGCTTGAACTCACTGGGATAATTTCCCAGGCAGCAACTAAGCCTAGAACCAAAACAAAAAGAATAGTCTATGGAGAATCACCATTACCATGGTAATTACAGAACTGTCTAAGAGTCAGAGACGACCCTTCATTTGTTAAATTTCCAGACAACATATTTTTTAAGTACAAGCTATATATTTTTCAGTGTCAGGGGAAAAAAGAAGAAAACGTATTTAACACGAAAAATTCTTCAGCATTTACTGTGTCCACCTTTTCCTTTATTACAGCTTCCATTCTTTTGGGAAACCTACTTTTAGTTTTTCAAAGAAATCTTCCGAAGTGTTTTTTCACACCTCCAAAGTTCAGTCTTAGAAGTTGGTTGCATTTTCTGCTTGTCACGGTTCAAATAATCTCACATTCAGTGATGTTGAGGTCTGGACTCTGGGGCGGTCAGTAAATTGTTCTGAGAACACCAGCAGCTACTTTGTTTGATGTTCTTTTTTTGTCTATTTGCTTTTTCTCAGTAGCTACACATCCTTTCAGAACCACAGTGTTGAGTTGTCTTCTCACAGTAGAAGGATGGACAGAAACACCTGTGGATTTTTTCAGATCTGAAGAAAGAGTGGAGCTTGATTTTCTCCTCTCTCTCAGAGATGAAAGTTTTAGGTACTGTTTGTCAGAGGGTGACAGTTTTGGAGTTCTACCAGGTCTTTTATTGTTAGGAGTGTCTGCATCTCTGTATCGTTCAATAATTTTTAATAAGTTTTGGAAGCTCCTGTTTTTTCACTTTTTTTTTCTGTGATTTTTCTGGATTATCTTTTATTTAATCACCTTAGAAGTATCTCCTGTAAAATGAATAACTTTCTTACTTATAACCTGCCAACTTAATGGCCACATTGACTGTAAATTAAATAAATGAAAGATGGTCTCTGACTTTTGCACAGTACTGTAAGTACCTAAGGGGTATTCTGGGTCTGGGAAAATGGTCATATTCTTAGATATAATGTCTGATTTCTGTCAAAGAACAACCAAATAAATCAGTACTGTTCAAACTTGTTGGGCTAGTTTCCCCAGGTAATGATCAAGTCTAGTACCAGATTAAAAAAAATAGTAAAGAATCAGCAATAACATGGTAACAAGTCCAAAACTTAAGGCTGACTTAGTCTAAAAAACAAATAAATCAGTACTGTCTGAACTCACCGGGCTGGATTCCCAGGCAACAATAAAGCCTAATACTAGATAAAATAATTTGAAATGGTGAATCGCCATTAACATGGTAATTAAGTCTGAAACTTAATTTAGGCTTATTCTGGGTCTGGGAAATTAGATTATTATTAACCGATACATCTATGAAAGTCAATGCACTATGTGTCATATGTTTGCTTTCCTCTGGTTAAAGATAAACATGCTTTAGCCAGTATATAATATTAGAAAATGGAAATTAGTCACTGTCTTATTTCATGTCTTTAAGGAATATAAAAAGAAATTGACACTAATATTATCAATTTGCAAATAGTGAAAGGCAAAATCACTGTCAGGGGAAACTAAAAATCATTAGAGAGAGTCAATTAAAACTGAGAGGCTTGCAAATGAGAGTGGAAAAAAATAGATTTTCCTTAAGGGCTGAACCTAAATAGCAGCAATAAATCTAAATAGTAATGCCAAAAGCTGGACCATTCAATAATGAGCAGACTGCTGCTACTGCCATGTATTACAATCCAAATCCATTTAATGCTACTCATTCACATTCACTGCCCCCAAACTGAACCACTCTTGTCAAACAGAGTGACTTGTGAAAGGTTAAGAGAAACATGTGTACATAAATGTATACACAAATTTCTGTCCCCACTCAACCCCAACACACTCATGCAGCTGGTCAGTTCCTCATACAGAGCTGACTACCCTGACGACGCATTTGCAGAGTCTATCAAGGTGAATACTGCATGTGCATTAAAGCGAGGTTGCTATGCAACAAACAGCCACGCACACTTGAGAGCGTTGCCAGGTTGACCCAGACGTTACAAATTTTCCCAGAGCTTTTAGGCTGCAGATGGACAGTCTGCTTTTAAGGCTGCACTGTTCATTCATTTTCTTACTGCACAGCACGCAACAGGAGTTCAAAGTGTGGTAATGCAGGGGGCTATCCAGATGATCCCACCCAAGAGCCCACACTGCACAAAAATCACCTGAAATCAACTGAACTAACCCTCAGTTATTGAAGGATTTTAAGATATCTCAAAATACAGGGCCTTCTTGCATGCATTATTATGCTTGTTGTTGTTGGGGAGGACTCTAAAGATGACATTTTCCTATTTTATTTGACTATTTTTTACATCCTATTTTATTCATTTTATTTTTAAAAAGATACTACCAGTGAAAAGAGTGGCACACCTAGAGCACTTAGATTAGACACAGGAACAGCAGTAAAGACATCAAAACTATGAAATAACACATTTGAGGTTTTGCAGAAACCAAAAACAGTTAAACAAATCAAGCTAATTTCTATTTTAGATTACTGTCAAAATTATCCCCTATAATCCCTTATTTAATCGCATTTGCCTTATTTGCACAAACTTGACCACTTATAGAACAGTGCATTATGTTGTAGCTGTATGAGTGGACAAAATACACTTCATCAGAATGTATTTATTACTTTAAATAACATTATTTTATCACGAATGCAGGGTGAACATAGAAACAGAGTGCAGTTTCCAATATTCAGTCAACAGTGCCACTAATGGAACTTGCTGTTTAACAGCTGTGTATTTTTGAGAGGGCTGCAGTCTCAGATTTACAGCAACTTTGCTACAGATGGTTCAACTGAACAAACTAGAAAAAGGGGTCAAACAATAAAAATTGTGATGTTAATTACTTATTGTTTTAATATTTTACTAACATATTCATTTTGACACCACTAATACATATATTTTAATTTTTAGTTTTGTGTTTTTTTTTCATAATATCTCTGTTTTGGCTTTGAAACACATTTCATTTGCATTTAAGCATGAACCTTCGAATCAAAAAATGTCTATAGGATTATGAAAATGCATGTCCAGTTCAGTATGTCCAAACTTTTGACTGATAGAGTAATTTCCCAGAGGTGTTCCTAATTGCAGGACCTGAAAACAATAGCAAAAAAAACATGAAGCTCATGAAGCTTTCATGGAAATAGATTAACATGCTGAGTGAAAAAACAGGCAGTAAAGACTAATGCACTAGGGCAAACCAATGAAAGAAGGTTCAGTTGCACATTTGGGCAGTCTAACCACTCACTGGTAGATTAATTCATTCTGGCTTTGATATTATTATAGTTAATTTAATTAGGCCTACGCTCCTACCAACCACAATAACTTGCAGCGAAGTTAATATAGCTTTGCTATATTAGCAAAGGCTTTCTTGAATATGCTCTCCACCTTCCTCTCTGCTAAACCTATCCACAAATATGCACCAATTAGACTTTTCTATGAGGCACAAGCTTTGGTAACTAGTGCACCCCAAGGCACACATTCACAGCTTCACTTGAAACTTGACTCCATAATTATAGACCCTGAATATCTAATATCTACAGGTCCGTTATGTTTAGTGAAAAAGCTAGAGTGTGTAATTTAACACCTCCAACCCTAAGGACCTGTATGTGGGCCTAAGGTTTAATTCCTAATACATAACTTAGGTATTATTTTCACAATAGGCAGGGGTGGGCAGTATGACAATATGTTATCATTATCGTGATAAAATATGTTACAATTTGCTTTTCTTAGCATTATGTGGATATCATTAGTACCTAAAGAACACTGACTAACTATGTTTCATTGCAAAGTGAGCATAAATAGGTCTGTTTAATTAGATTTAGTGCAGTACAGTTTGTAAAACATAAAATCATTGTAATCGTAGATTTATTATTATTATTATTATTATTATTTTTATCATCATATATTTTTGCATGTGGCACTACAAGTTCTATTTTGTCTGTTTCAACTGGTTAATTATCAGAAAAAACTATACATCCTGATGCATATTGTGTATCATGAAAATGTTGAAGAATCATGATATAAATTTTTTGCCATATCACCCACACCTGATATTCGGAACAGAATAATTCATAGTAGTTAATAAGTAATAAGTCTTAAGATTAGTAATTGCCCCCAGATCTCTGTTTCTGAACGAGAACCATAACATAAGTTAGAAATTGGTAAAAACTGGAGTCTTCAAAAGGTCCAACATAAAAAGACCTGCACGGGGTGCTAGATAAATTGGAGTTTATAAAAATCACTGGATGGTCTCTTCTGTCTCTTCAAGGGGCAGGTCTGCAGCTACACACACACATGCCCAAATACCTACACACTCACACAGAACAACTCGGGTGTATTTGCCTACACACATCACTCACTATCAGTTGAGTGAGAATTAAATGATTAAATGATTAAATTATACAGTCGTATGCGAAAGTTTGGGCGCCTCTGGTCAAATTATGTTTTGTTGATTTATCCTCTACAAAGAACACATTACTGCACGTTTTAATGGACAATTAGTATAGATTTGCTGAATTTAACAATTTGGGAGAAAAATAAAACAGAATACGGTCTCTGCAAAAGTTAGGGCATGTTATATATTTTATTTTTTCCAGTATCCTTAAAAAATAGTTGCTGTGCACGAACATTTGTAGAAAAATGTGATTTTTATGTGTGTTCTCTGAAGAGGATGTGTTAACTTATTTTCAGTTAATAAATAAGTTGACACACTTCTGCATATGACTGTAGAAGCGTTTTCTATATTTTTAATATTTTCTGTATGCATAAGCCTTTAAATGAATGTCTTTAAGATTATGAAAAATGTACATGTGTCTAGACTTTTGACTTGTGGTGTATTTCGAAGATATGGCACATAATCCATAAGAATAAAGGTTAACTGCTGCTGATCAATAAGCAGCATCAACAAGAGCAGCAGTATCAATAAAACCTAAAAACAATATAACTCCTTAAAATTAATATTAAAACAATAAGGAAAGAGTCTAAGGGGTTAAGCTGAGTTCAGGTTCACCTCCTGGTAGCGAGCGAGACCTCCGTTCACGGCAGCGTCGATGACGCCGTTCAGGCACATGGTGAGCGGGTTGATGTTCTGCATCTGTCGCGTCTGGCACTGCGTGATCAGCGTACGCAGCTGCAGGTTCTTGTTCTCAATCACCTCGATGGCGTTCTCCAACGGGCTCACCTCCACCTGCACCACACCACAAAACTATTACTGACACAAAGCGCCAAGTCAGAACAAAAATTCATTAAACCTTTGTGTCACTAGACAATAGGGATTGAACAGGATATAAAAACATATCTTATATATATTTGATATGCTCACTTATGATAGGAAATTTGATATTATATAATGTGATAGGAAAAGTCCCATCCCTACCAGACAGTCAGATTTAAATATTTGTCTTGGATGTGATTACTGGCAAAAGAAACAGAAAGAGTAGTAATTAGAGAGAAACGGCTTTCGTCAGTGAGTGATTCCCTCACCAGCTCACGTTTCTCCACCTCGAACCAGCGGGAGATGCCCGGAAGACTCTGCACCAGGGTCAGCGTAGTCCTCTCCACCCACAGACTCTGCATGCCAAAAAACAAATGCACGTTTGTAAACAAGCAGCTTCCGCCCTCAAGCACTAGGCATTGTAAACAGCTCATAATACTGACAGTCTTACATGGACTTTCACTCAGAAATACAATCTCATTTGTTCCTGCGCATTCATCTCTCACTTGACAGCTGCAACTAGGTACCATTTTATTTATTGAATGCTGTTTGTCCTTAGCACATTGTACATTATGTCGCCATTTTGCACAAGTCATAGATGTGTTAGCAAGGCTCTGATGTATTTAGGGCCCAACTAATATTCAAGCTGGCCAATTAAATCAGCTGATATTAATGTTCATTGGATTAAGCAGTATCTGCAAAAATCTCTATCTTTGCGATTATACAATACAGAAACACGGTTCAAACATTTCCTGAAGCTGCCGAGTCTGCACTTTCGATTCCATCTTATCGTGAGATCGTACGTGACTCACATCCAGAGTTATGAGGCTATGAAGAGGGGCTGAGATACACATCATCTGCCTGTTCAAGTTGTAGTAGTATGTATCGCAGTGGCTCAGTGAGTTTGGGCTTCAAACTCTGCTGGGACCAGAGGACTCCTGGTTTAGTCACTCTGACTTTGTACCAGAGGTTGGCAGGTTCTACAATCTTTGCCCTTCCTCTCATCATTACCTTCGGGAAGGCACATAATATCAGGTTGTTCTAGGAGTGATACAACACGGCAGGCTTGAAAGACAGCAACACTGTTCAATATCTGTATTTTAAACACACTATTCTCTAAACTGGTTTATTATAAGCCTACTTTCAGTTTATTAAGTCTTTCTTCTTCACACATTAAATCTCATATCCATAAGTCTTGCTTTGGATGGCATTCTCAGCAGGGTTCCCGAGCTCGTTTTGGCTAATGCATATCCGACATGCCGGCTCAACAGGGAGATCTCGAAGAGAACTTTGGTTAGCGGAGATGAGATTCAAAAAAGGCTACTCTCTCCAATATAATCTTATCATCTAAATATCATCTCAGCTTAAGTTAGCTTCTTAATGAGATTTTTTGGACAATATTACTTCATGATAAGTGAGGCAGGGCAATACATACCTCAGTGTCTGGGAAAATGTAATATCGGGCAGGCTAAACTGTTTATTTCAAACCCTATACCCACTTGAGGCCGTGGGAAATCTAACCCCTGCGGTAGATATGATCCACGTCTTTGGATGTGATTTTCTGGGCTGGATATTGAGCGAGAGAGAGGAGGGAAATGATATTTGGAATGAGCTGGTCTCCTGGCCCCTAAAACTTTAATTAGCCTCACTGGGCTGAGAGTGAATAATGCAACACATGAGAGCACACCTGAGCTCTATACACACTTCCCTTCCCACACACATAAATGCACACTTACACACACACATACCGAGACTGATAGCATGAGTACCCAAGTCACACATATAGAGAGAGACAGAAATATTAGAAATAGAAAATGAGAAAAAACACTGGCAGAGAGGTTGAGACAAAGCCGACAGGCTAACAGCCAACAAAGAAGTCAATAATAGGTGCCAGTCTACCTTAAACTCATTCTCCTTGTCCTTGGTGCCCTTGTGGAAGGGCCGGTCATAGCGGAACCTCCAGATGTTGTTGACTTTGTAGAAGCTCTTGATGTTGTCCGGAACTCCATCTCTCTGCAGGACGTCCTGGCTGTCTGGGATCGGAGTCACTGCATATATCTGCAAATCTGAGGCACAACTAGTCAAGGAACGTTGCAGAGATTAACAAATATGAAAGCTGTGGTCTGAGACTGACAGTCAATACTTTCATATCTCTCAGTACTAATATTATTTATCTTATTTAATTTACACACAAATATGAAGGATAACAGTTCAGATTAAATAGGTTTATCAAATTGCTATGCAAGCAAGCCTTATGGCAGCTCTGTGCATGCAAGATTTACATTATCATGCAAAAGTTTGAAATTATAATAATGTTTTTCTTATTATTTTACTCAATTTGAACATTTCAATTATAATAATCAGACACTTTAGCATTTCAAGTATTCTGGAAGCATCATTACAATATAGCCACAAGCAGCAATCATAAGGGGCCAAGCATTACAGCACAAGTTATGCCACTTTGAACCACTTTGCACCATTAATGTTTTTAAACAAAGACATAATTATTTTATCTTGTGTTTAACTGACACAAGAGAACTCTACACACTACCTCTGTGTGACATGAGTACTGTGGCAGGGTGACTACTTCAGCCTGTACATGTTGGCCATTCATACACACAGCTTCTGCTTTGCTGAACGGTACAGCAGGCTACACTAAAAATTCTCAGGGATCAAAACAAACTTCAACACATACAGTCACATGTAAAAGTTTGGGTGTCCCTTGGTAATATTTTGTTGATTTTCTAAACGAACAAGTTAATACATCCTCAGCAGAGAACACACTTCTGCACATTTTAATGCTCAATTAATGTTCTTTATTATTTAATATTCAATTCATGTTATTTAGAATTTACAATGTGGCCTGCGCAAAAGTTATAGCTCACATTATATTTTGTGTTTTATTTGTTTTTTGTTTTTTTTTTGCTTTATTTTTTCCCAGTATGTTAAACTCCAGTATGTTAAAATTGGGCACTAAAATTTGTGGAAAATGCCATATTTAAGTCTGTTCCCTGCAGGGTGTGTGTCAACATATTTTCACTTAGAAAACCAACAAAACATGTAATATGACCAGGGGTGTTCAAACGTCTGCATTCTGCATTTGTGTATTTACATAAATAGTCTTGTGTTGCATATTTTGCTGTGCAAATAGTAAAGTAGATGTTTTGGAAAATGTGTGTAGATCAGAATGATTAACCAGTTTTAATAACATTGCTTAATAAAACTCATAAATTGCATAATTCTGGACGTTTTCGTCCTTATCTTGAAGATATAAAATATAATTTAGAATTAATAGAATTAATTTTTTGGAGTGGACACATAGCAGGTTTTCTCTGATGTATGAGCAGAGAGTGAATGAGGAGTAGGAAATAAAAAATCTGGAGCAAAGTTGGAGTGAAGCAATTTCATAACAGTTTGATCAAAAAAAAGCATTTTAGAAACAATTACTAACTGCTGAAAGACAAGGAGGTTTATGAAAACACACTATAAACATAAGAGATCATTTTTTTTTAAATATGAGTAGTGCCCTCCAGTAACCCATCCATCTGAAATTTCAAAGGATACAGTCCATATGTGATCATGTCATTCAAGTTTAATAAGGACTGGCCAACCCTTAGCCTGACAAATGTGTGTTGAATGCAGTCTGGCCATTTTTTTCTAATTATCAAAACGCTTTTACAAGATACTCCCATGCAGAGTGCGGATGTCCATATTGTAGAGCTCTCTCCTGATGAACATATGCCAAAACTGTCAGGCTACCTTCTGTTATCTAGAATTTACTACTCTTTCTGGGAAGCAGTTCATCATAGCAAAAGTTAGCCTGTCATTTCACTAGAAGTTAGCGCTTTGGGTCAGCCATAACTCGGTAAAGCTGTTAGACCTCCAGCGCTTATTTCCAAGACCTAGTGTACTTAAACAGAAGTTTGGGAATAAATCACTCTGGCCTGCAAGTTTGCTTACAAAGTCCCGCTAATACAACTACACAAAAATGAACTGCTTAGTGGTCAATTTAACCTAACCAACACCAATAAGTAAACTTAAAAAACTTTAACTAAAAGCTGACAGGCTGCAGTACATCTTGCAAGCATGTGTTTGTTAACCAAATGATATTATGTGAAGTGAGAATACTGGTGGGGGGTACAGGCAAATGTGAATTATAACATTAGTGTATTAGAATTACTATGCTTATATATAAAAGGGAATTATACCTCTATATTTTATGTCTCAAAATTTCTGCATAATGGTGATAGGAACCAGACGTCTGAAGTGTTTAATGCCTCTAAAACTACATCAGACAACACCATTGTTACATGAAATCAGTACAAAATGTTACTTAATGCCTGAGACATTGTTTTGCATAGGTTTGTGATAAGATTTGGTCTGAAATTTACTTTTTAAAAATGCATTCATGGAGAAGAGGTACATGCAAAGCATTGTAAGGTAAAACATTTTAAAAAAAGACAGTCTATCTTTTTGTATTCTCAAAATAACTCTTAAAAACACTAACATGTATGTTTCAAAATTAACCAGAATTTTAAACGTCTGTTACTGCAGAAAAAAAAAAAAGTGTGTTAATAATGTATTAATAGTCAGGCTGAAGCCCACCTGCTTGTGCACTCTGCTGCCATGATAGTATCTACAATTGATGCCTTAACATCAAAATACAGTCTTAACTTCTGTCACTCGTATATCGTTTAAGAGTCGTTTGTTTTGGAGTTTATGAATAGTTTCATTAAGTTATTGCATTTGGCTAGTATGACCTTTTTTATCAAAGAATGCAGCATTGAGGGCAACATGCAGGTCAAGTTGAGCACAGTCATAGCCAGGTTGAGCTCAGTCATGTGGCTCTAGGCCCCTTTTACCCCTGCGCCAGACTTGTGTGCCTGAGAGCGACCATTACTGACGCAGTGCTGGTGTACACCTCCTATAGCAAAGAGTCGCTTTCATCAGACAACAATACCCAGATAAGTACCGCTACACTCACATATTTGAGATGATTCATGAAACTTGCCATGCTTCCATGGTATACCTGCTACTTGTGCATATTTACACTGAGCATTTTTACCTCACTGTCTAATAATATAAAGTGATGCCATTATTTTTTAGACAGCTTATAGCTTAAAGGGCAGTCAGTTATAAGTACAAAATGAGTTTTGAACTGTGACCAATTGGGTAGAATGATCTATATACATTTAGAACACACATGTATGTTCAAAATCAGTGAGTATATTTTTGGATAATAAATAAAATATAAAATAGCTATATTTGTGTTGTGGATATTGTGAGCCCTGGTCACTATCATAACCACTAAAAAGAAATCTGAATTGCTTAGTTGTTCCACATTACACCATTTCACATCCAAACAATCCAAATGACCCTGTTTATATCTTAATGACCAAGTTATGCAGAAATTTTGGAGAAATTCCCCTTTAAAGTCTTTCCTTATAATATATGCACAGGCTAGCTAAACATAAGTAAGTGAATGAGAGTCAGTGACTGAGAGAGCGTTTCAAATGGCATACTAACTCACACAGACCATGAGCTTTCCAAACACTCACTCATACACACAAAACCTAACCATAATGCAACTTTTATGACTTCACAAATAGCTCATCTTCACCCAAACGCAAAGTGTGTGTGCATGCACCTACTTCCTAACACAAACACACACCCACTTCACACTGAAACGCTTGCACTTGACTGTCCTCTCCCCTCCCACGTACTGACAAAGCAGCCTATTCTCTGTTCACACACAGCATATGTACGCACATCCGGCAGGCTGTAGATCACAGCCCAGATCAACAAGGACTCATCAGTACAGAAATATGAATAGAGCATGGCAGCGATCCAGGAAGGGCACTGATTAATTGCTTGCAAGGATAACAAAGCGCTATGCTAATGCAGTTTGACCGCTCCTGTCTGTTCTAATTGCACTCGGGAGAAAGTCCCATATTCGGCACTCTTCAACCTTCCACATATCCGTCCCGTCAAGTGAGCCTGCGTCTGCGCCCTGGAGTTTACCAGAGCCAAGCCCAGTCAGAGTGGGACAGGATCGATTTTCTGCCAGTGGACAGATGTATATTTACAGCGGGGTACTACGGTCTTGTGCTTGTTAAAAACAAAAACACTCCTCCACCCCTCATTAGAGATGCTGCTCAGTCTAGTGCAGAACAAGCTAGAAAAGCACTAGGGATGCGAGAGATACATGCAGAGATAGCAGTGATTCTACATCAGGTATCAATATCACGACAATATCAATAAAAATGCTGCATCAGATATTAACAGAAAAAATGAACTAATTTAATTCAATCTTGTAACAAATCTGTCTTGAATGTCACTCTCACACTGTGTGATGTGTTGTTAGCTGTGTATTTCTTCCTGTGGGCTAGTAGAGCATTTGAGTAGTTAAGTGAAGTGCTTCAGTTAAAACAGCTCATTTTAAATCTTAGCAGTTTCTAAAGGAAGGTAATCAAATCAGTATCAGCCCATAATCAATGGTGTAATTTTGATATTTGGAAAAAAAATGCAGTACAATGTATCTAATAATATAGTATTGCAAATATAGTATTGAAAACAGTATCAATACACAAGTGGCAATATTTTATTCAATTAATAATATTTCAAAATTATTGTTTTAAGCCCACTCGTGGACTAATTAGATATCAAAATCTATTGCTTTCGACAAGTTGGTGCTGGGAAGTCTTTTTTTTGGATGTGTAGTCTGCAGTAAAATAATAAATCTTAATTTACTGCAATATGTCCTATCAGAGCACATCACAATTCATTAAGAGTCATAACAGAATCATATTGCGGCTCAAGTATCCTCATAATATTGTACTGTGGGGCCTCTCTTGATTCCCACCCCTGAAAAGCACAAGATGGTGAGGAGAAGTTTTTTGGAGGCATAATTTAAACTGTTACATTTAAATGTAACAATTCAAAATATATCGTTATATACCAATACCAGAGATACTTAGAAGCTGATTTATGCAAGTTCGAGTCGAGTCTTGAATCTTTAGTAAAGAATTTTAGTTAAGTCTTGTTATCACATGCAGGAACAGCATGGTACAAAAGTAGCTCCCTACTAAAATCCGCCAGGTTCGATACGGCTTCAAATAACTTTCATTACAGAAAAGGCTTCGATGTGAAGGCATCAACTAAAGTGCTACACACAGTAAACGGGTGTTTAAAGGAAAGAGGCAAAACCAGTTGAAACAGTTAGTCTGTAGTTTATACAATGCATATGCTAGCTAGCTAGTGCAACAGCTAGACTTGCTGAAGTATTATTGAGTTTTAAAGGAATAAACTTGATGAACTGACAACTTCAGCTAAATTGGTGGCTGCACTAGTTAGCACACTTGCTATCCTAACTACATTCAGGCAACCATTTCAAGTTGTTTTGCTTCTTTCCTTTAAACAACGTGTTTACTGCAGGTAGTGCTTCAGTTCTCTCAAGCAGGCTGTAGGATTTCTCTAATGAATGACTAGCTTGAAGCTGTATCAAACCCTGATGCCACTGCGAGCTGTGGGACAATGGGAGTGCAGTGATGACTGAGCATGACCTTAGCAAAACTGACAGGCAAAGTCACACAAGTAAGGTCTGTTTATGTTTTTTCTTAGACTGAAACTTCACAAGTCGTAAGTATGAAGTCGGACCAAGTCGCAAGCCATTTAATGGTGAGTCTGAGTGGGGAGTCATTTCAGGGCAAGCCTGAGATGAATCACAAATCATTTAATTGCAAGGCTGAGTCAAGTCGGCAGTCATTTAAGGGCAAGTCTGAGTCGAGTCACAAATCAGTCAGCATATGATTTGAGTGTGACTCTGCACAATACTTTTGTATTGTTGGAAATGTATTGTGACTCAAGAATCATTCTAACATGATATACTGAAAAGCACAAGACGGCACTGAGAAGTCTCTTTTAGGGGCGCAATTTGCAAAATCTATTATATCAAAATACTTATCACAAATTTTTAAACATCATAACAGAGCCGTATTGTGGATCAAGTCCATGATAATACTGTACTGCAGAGCCTCTAGTGATCTCATAGAAAGCACAAGATGACTAGTGCCTGTGTGTAGTATGTCTGGTCTGATGGGTCATAATAGAGATAACATACAATACAGGATGTGGTAATTATGATGCATATAAGTGTAAAAATATGCAACAGAGAGGATACACTGGGCCTCGGCCTGGTAGATGGTCTGGTCTGGCTGGTTGGCGTGTTGCATGGCAATGGCATGAGGGAATTCATTGAGCATGCGCTGCTGGAAGGCCTCCAAACGCTCGTAGTCATGACCACGACACACAAACTCCTTATTCTGCAAAGCCCACATACACACACACACACACACACACACACACAGAGACATAGGTACACACTTTAATCAAGCATAGACTGTGGCTTACAGTGCCATCAAGTGGACTCCAAAGAAACAGAGGACCAAACTATTCACTGTCATATGTAGTAAAATAATGGGTTACGATTAGGTGGCCTGAACTCCATCTGACCTTTTCCATTCTAGGTGTTAAGAGGACTGCCACTTACCCTTAAAAAGAAAGGAAACTTTTTTCCATAGAAGCCCACTCTGAAGAACTCTGGCTCCAATCTCTGCTGGTCCATTATTTTATCATACAGCGAGGCCTCCATCATCTGCACATTTGAGTTATTTCAGAGATTTTACTAGCACGTATCAGTGACATTATATTGTGTGGATGAATTGCATTAACAAAAACACAATCTGAATTAGGGCTGTCTCGATTTTTGAGTATTTTTTTAAACTACATTACTCAAATACATCTTATTCTTCTCTTGATGATCTTTAATGATAACTTGGCAGTTTCATGATGATAATATATATTTTTGCTTCTTCAACTGGTCTTTTTTGTCCGATTTAGACTAGCAGTAGGCAATATGGCAAAAATGTAATATCACAATACTTCAGGATAAACAATACACATCACAACAGTTAGCATTTGTGTCATTTGATAAGCTGAAACACACTAAATCCAGCTAAACATGACTAAATAGGTTCTCTTTGTAATGAAACATGCAGTTGTTCAACGTTCTTTAAGTACTGAAAATGTCCATGATATGCTCAGAAAAGCATACTGTGACATAATTTGATGTGATTTATCAGAATAATGAATATCATCATACTGCCCATCCCTAATTTACATGCTTTTATTTGCCACACCGTATTTTTAACTGTTTTAATGAAGTATCCTAATATCCTTTTCCAGTAAAGTATTTTGGAATCTTTGAAAGGCTGTACATAGTTTGCTATTGTTTACAGAAGCCCTTTTATTGCCTAAAAACTAAATAAATAACTGGCATATTACTCAAATAATAATCTATAGTAACAGCCCTAATTTGCATATGAAACATAGTAATACTTAAAGATTCCTACCCTCATTTTGCTCAGGTTCCTGTAATCATAATATGATTCATACTGGTCAGCCAGCTCTCTACAAAGGAGGATGCCGTTCTCCCAGCACTGTAGAAGAAAACAGAAGGTATGTCATCTCTCAGCACATTAGCTGCAGTTATGTAGCTTCCACTGGGGGGCAGCAGATGATCACCAATTCAATTTGTACAGAGCCGTGGAAACGCTTCCAGAGTGTGTAGCATGCTTTGCCGTGATGCTAATTAAGTGGAAGGTTTTCTACCCTGCTGCTTCCTAATCCCCCGGCAATGGCACTCACAGATGTCTCCAGACGAAAATACACCAGGCTATGGAATCAGTGAGGGTTTTTTCACCTTCATTCAAGGAGCCGATGAGCATGTTGATTATGTAAATTCTGTTTTGTTTTGATGAATAACTAATGGAAAGACGATTTCCAACTGAGATTTTGATCACTTGATGCTGGAGTCTATGTTTCCATTCAACAAGGGAATAAAAAAATATCAACCTGGGAATGTAGAAAACAGAGAAGGTATGAAAGGAAGAAAGAAAAATGAAATGGTACATTGTAAAACTACATCTATGTGTGCACTGCAGAACGCATTTAATTTTAGATAATATTTGTCAGAACCCAACAGAACCTGATTATTGATATCACATTTGGGATTCTGACAGCCTGTCTCATGCCAGTTTCATACCCTTTGGACTGCATTTACTGTCACTTTAGTTTTTTCCCCCTATTTTTATTGCCTTGAACAGTTTTTGATTTGGTATCCATGAAGCCAGTATGAAAGCAAAGCATGGTGAAAAGTTTCTCCAGACTAAAAACTTTTAAGATGTGGTTTCAAGGCACTGACTAATGATTACAGTTATCAAAGTGGAATTTAAACTTAAAGTAGACAAATTTTGCTCTTTTTTAAATAAAATACAGGTCCCTGTGCTCTTTTTCAATTGTGTAGGTTATAAAACAAACTACGTTGTTCGACTTTATACGTTTGTTTACGCCAAGAACCAGACAGTCACTAAATCATGAGCATTTGCCAGCCAAGTACGCCATTACACAGCAATCCTTAATGTAGAGTGCTTTGTAAGTAACTTTTATCTGTTCTGCCAAGACAATGGTAAATAAATTCCACTAGCCTGGCAAAGGGGAACTCAATGTTATGTTATGATCGAGCTAACACTGGCTAATATGTGCATTTCATAGTAGCTCTCTAGATTCAATGTAGACATCTGTAGCACGTAACAGATATTCAAGTGACAGTTTCTTTATTTGGATGTTGACTCGGTAAAGATTTAAACTCAAAGCCTGTCTTTGAATGTTATTCAAGTCTGTTAGCTTAGCCATATGCCCAAGCTAAACTAGTGAAGCCAGAATATAGTCCAATTATCCCACAGAGATCCTGTTAATACCAGTGAAAATGAGCGTTATTGCTATTTTACACTCTCTTCATTAGAGATGTCAGTTATGTCAGTGTCAGATACAGTCACTCTACTTACTATCTGGAACCGACCAGTGAACCTACTACTATTTAATAACACAGATATTGTGAAAAATTAGTGGAATTCCCCTTTAACAGACTCTATCATTAAAGAAATTGAAATGTTATCTCTATTTGGTGGTGGTTGGGTTTAGACAGAATTTTGTCCGGCTGTGGTTGAGCTAGACTTTTAATCCTGCTGTGGGTCAAAATTTTCAACAATGTTCTGGGGCTATATTCACCTTTGGACCAAAATTTAGGCCTGAAATAGAGCTTTAATGTAGACGAATTAACACTTGTGTTCTTATTACACAACATGTGTCAGGCCTGACTCAAAATTAAAACATCGACGACTCAACAAGAGAATGGTTAATTAACACCTAAAACGTGCTAATTAACAAAAAATTATACACTTAATTAACACATCTTTTTTGAGAGAGAAGAGAGATCAAAAAAAGAAAAAAGGGAGACAGAGTGTAAGTGAGATATGGCATGGGCTGGGACCTTTCCGCGGTCGAAGTTCTGGATGATGGTCAGGTGCAGGTACTCCTTCCTCTGCCACTCGCTCTGCATGGGGTAATTCAGGAACTCCCTCAGCGGCCTCTCTGACCACTCCAACAGCTCATCATACAACAGCAGGGTGTAAGAGGCCTCTGCACAAATACATGCATACAATGAGTCACAAAAACCCATCCACCCTTGTTCCCTTTTTCTTTATGGAGCATCATCATTCTCTCCCATTACCTGTGAAGTTCTGTGCTTTCATGTGCAGATCATACAGCTTGTGAATGTAACGGATGTACATCTCCTCTTTATTCAGCTCCGTTTTATAGAAGTTCTGCACAGTGAGCAAGAGAGAGAGAAAGAGAGACAGAGTGAGACAAAGACAGAAAGAAAGGTAGAGAGAGAGAGGCAGAAAGGTTGAGAGAGAGGCCAAGGACCTTAAGTGTTTTTCTGCACAAAATTAATGGGGCCAGAGCTGTCCGCCCACACAGCCAGGTGCTTGTGGGTTCTTGTTTTGCTGGTTGCTATGGATTCTTGTATGAGGTGAACTAAGAACAAGAAGCAAAAGAGCTCAGAACACTGGGAAAAAAACTCTAGCGCTGACGTGCGAGCAATAGAGCCATCACTGTCGGAAAAGCTTTTTCTACTCGACACTCTGAGAAGCTGAAGAATTAACAGTCCTGACCAGTGCTGTACTGAAATCTTGAAGTAAATCTGCCCTTTTACATGGCTGAGGAGATGCTGGACCAGAGTCTAACAAAAACAGATTTACCACTGTGACCTGCTGGTCTTAGGGTCCTTTTGTGTGTAATAACCTTCTTTAACACAAAAATAAACACCAAACTGCTGCAAGCCCATCTGAGCAGGCAGGTGAGGTATTTGAGCTGTTGTTGAATGTGCAGAATGAAGCTCACCAGGAGACTGACAGTGCAGCCAATCTTCTTTCCATCCACTTCCCCAAGCTTCATACAGTCCCTGGAAAACACATAGTAAACTACTGCATTACACTTTTTTGCTGTGGACATTTGTGTATATTACAATATGGAGCATTCAGACGTTAGATATTTAGAGATTGATCTATGCTCAGAAATAAAGGTATGAAACTGTCACTGGGGCAGTGCCCCTCATCACTGGGGTGGTACCCTCAACGGTACATCTCAGTACCTTTAGTCAGGGAACACACCTGTACCACAATCTACTGAAAATATATTTTCTAAGTTGTATTGACTCCACACACCCCGTCTCGTCTCCAGCCTTTTATTTTATTGTTCTGTTTTAAAATATTAGGTTATGGCAAGATACAAATATGTCTTTTTCACCTGGGAGAAACATATTTAAGGTACACATTTGGACCTTAAAACCACTGATGTACCTTTGAGGGTACATTTACATTGTTTGTACCTTGATGAACGAAAATGTACCTGCACAGAACCTTTATTTCTAACAGTGTATTTAAACCCAAGGCAATAATCAAGAAAGATATATTGTTATATATATTTAACAATTATGTTTTGTGAAACTCATTAGAAGTTGCAGATTAAGAGAATACCACTTGTTCTTACATTTTTTTATAAAACAAAATAAAAGAAATTCTTTAATACATTTTTTTTGTAGAATAATAATTTTTCATAGCTTATTTCTTAATTATGTAGTTAAGACAACATGCACATTCAAGGAGATTTTCTTTTTTAAGACACCTTTGTGAATTGGAGCAGATGAACCATATTATAATGGATCGGACACTGGCTGTATTTAGCCTGATCCAGCTATGATGCAACCAGAAACACATATAAAATATACTCTCCCCATGTTTTTCACTCATGACAAGTTGAAAACAAAATTATTGCAGAAACATTATGCTTTACTAGCTGCTGTGCCACTTCAGGTTTTAAACTGCCATTAGCACCTCAGGCAGTCCTGGGATTTGAACCCTCAACCTTCCGATTGCTGGCGCACCTCGCCCAACTAGAGCTGAGAACAGTCCACCAAACAAAATAAATCTAGGCAGTAGTGTCCTGTGGCCAGCAACTAACCACTAACGAAGGACTACAGGATGACTAACACAAATTGTGCAGCAACAGATCAGCTACTGTCTCTGGCTCTACAGCTACAAAGTGGACCAACAAGGTAGGAGTGTCTAACAGAGTAGACAGTAAGTGGACACTGATCTGATAGTTGCTACTGTAAGTTACAGGTGTGCATATGGTGTTTGATACGAAATATAAACACAACCATTATGGTTTAGTTACCATCATTGACTGTCTTCCATTCTATGTTCACGGGCTTCGGGAGAAACAAAACTTTTCAGTTGCTGGTCACTTTAGCTTTGCATATGAGGGGGAGGGACAGTCCATTACACATATGGGCAATTTTGTACTTGTGATAATTACAGATAATGTTCAATTGAACATATACACACATAATACACAGATATAAAAGGCAGAAGCATAACGTAAACAGTTAGAGTCAGATTTTAATTGGAAGTGCTTATAGTGAACACTCCTTTCTTATGTGGTATGGTCCATACAATTGACAGGCGGTTGATGCTATTCTATTCAACAATGGCCATGAATCTAAGCCAAATTTCATGTCTCCGATTTGGGCATATTTTCGCTTTGAGCTGGGGCAGCCAGCAAATTTGAACAAGACAACATGCTGCATTTGTAGGAAAAAAGTATCCATCTCGCAAGGAAGTATGTCTAATCTAAACTGCCAGTAAACTGCCAAACTGCCAAGCTGCAGGGATACATTGCTTTTTCACTGCAGTAAGGAAAAATCCATACCAGCACAGTCCTACTCGTACCAGTGCAACTCACTCTAACATACCACTGCAGTGCTGAGAATGATTAAGCACTCAAATAATACTTGCTCTATGTTGGTCCTGTCGAGGTCCAGACTACTGAAGAACAGAATAAACAGGGGGCTAACAAAGCATACAGAGAAACAGATGGACTACAGTCTGTAACTGTTGAACTACAAAGTGCACCTATATGGTAATTTGAGCTGCTAAAATAGACAGTGTAGTGTAGATACAATGACTGTATTAAGTGTAGATACAAGGTAGGGGTATATGAAGTGCCCAGTGATTGTAAATTCATGTATATCACTATGCATGTACCAAAAATGAAATGATTTCACTTCAGATATTAGTAGTCAAATCATCTAGCCAATCAAATTCAATCATAAGCCTGTTTTCAACATATTATAAAATGGTCATTAGAAAAGTATGCCAAAAAAGACATATTAGTCAAGAATGTCATACTGCACATACTTAATCCTTTATGGCGATTTAAAAATTGGCTATTTTTGCCGTTTTAGCTACTCTTTTTTTGGCTAATAACTAGATTTCTGAATGTTGGTGCTGCAATTATTATATGTAAATAATATGATCTAACAAAGATTTTTATTCAGTTTGTGTCTCTGATCCAAGTTCTTTTCTGAATGACTTTGTGCACTCAGAAAAAAATACATTATGCACTGAATAATAAAGGAGGTATTGTACATATTTTATATACTGATAGAAGACACAACAGCACACAGAAGACTCAAGTTGCTTTTTTTTGGTCCAGTACAGGGCCTGTCAGGTTCATGTGGTTAAAATAAAGTCATTTTAATGAAGTATTATTTGGTAGCTTTACATATTTTACTTAAATTATGTGGCTGTTTTATGTATGAAAACACATAGATCAGAATGAACTGGTATTGGCTGACATTCACCATTAAAGTACTTGGATCAGATGGGGGACAAAAAACTGTTTTTTAAATTTGCAAAAATTAACTATTTTAGTAGGAACATGAAAAAAAAATGGTTAATATAAAAGGTAAATAAAAATTGGCAAAAATATATTAACAAAATAAGATACTAAAGCATTAAAATAACTGACATCCAATCAGCGTCTTACTCTACAGTGTATGCAATTACTGCTCACTGGGTGTTGTTTACAAGCTCTCAGTTATTGGTCTAAATCTATCTCTGTTTCTGTCTTACAGCTGTTGAGTGTTCTAGAAGTACTGACTAAACCATCGATAAACTCGTACTGTGGCGCAATCATGATAACATTATATATTGTTTCTCACTGTGTTTATCAGAGATAATGTGTGAGTGCATCTCACCTGTAGTCGAGCAGCCTCTCCATCAGGCGCGTTACAGTAGCAATGAGTGAGATTCCGCTCTCTCTCCATGTCTCTCTCTCTATCTTCTTTAGAAGACTAAACCAATAAACAGACACACACAGAGCAGAGAGGGTCATTCATAAACTCTCATTTCTTGCACAATACAAACACTCCCATTGTCTTCCCTTCATTATCCCTACAGACACACACACACGCCTACCCACATGAATAGTGTGCTTACCTAGGATACGGACCAAACAGAGGAATACTACTCCAGGAAAGCAGAGACGAAATAAAGTCATATTAATAGATTAATGTCAGCATCACTCACTCACAAGAGTTAGTAAATGGTTAGTACTGTTAGTGTAGAAAACAGAGAGAAAGAAATAATAAAATAACAACAGAGAGAAAGTGCTGACATCACTAATAGCTCATTTCGATGTTGATGACAACGAGGCAGGATTGCATGGGCGGCTCGGGTAACGCTGACAGAAATTTGCTTACGGGATTTTCTTGCTGGTTTAAAGGGAATTTTTTTTTTCAAAACTTCTGCATAATTCAGTCGTATGATTCAGTCATGAGTCACTCAGTGTGGTTTGATGTGAAATTGGTCATTGTACAGAAAATCCTAGACTTTAAATCTACAACACAAATGTAGCCATTTTGTTTACTATCCAAAACAAGCAGTGAACCTACAGGCCTATTTTTATATACATTGCTGATAATGGTAAAATGGTAGTAAATGGTAGTGCTTTGGCCTGTTTTGCCTTAAAATGCCCTGCAGGTATCTCACCATCATGAGTGGATCCATCATGAGAGGAGGTTTTAGGCCAAAGTTTCTTAGGCATTTGTCAGTGTATTCATAACCTTTTAATTTACTTTCTGTGAGGTACCTTTCAGAGGCATTAAACTCTTCATAAGCCTGGTTTCTGTGTCTCTAGAAAACAGCATTGCATATCATACCACTCTGAATAGTTTCCTTTTATATCTGAACCACTTAATTATGCAGCAATTTAGAAAAACTGTTGAATTTTCCCTTCAAACAAACAGAACAGCAGAACAGTCTAAATACTGCACTGAAGATATGGCCTTGGACTGGGCACAGACACACTGCTATATATTCACACAGACAGACACAAACACACAGAGCTGAGCACATGCAGGGCAACCAACCTGCTGATAGCACAAAGGAGACCTCAACGAGCAGGCCATTTTCCCAAGCCCACATCAACACACATTTCCACAACACATGCTTAATGTTTGCCCATGAACAGCATGGACATTACAAGGCTAAGACAGCTAGCAAGCTGACAATAAATGCTCACCACATGGATGTATTTTATAGAAAAGGAGGTAGTGCATATGGTGCAATATACTGACACTCCCACAGAATTACACTCACATGCTGTTGAAGAGCTCTCTGTATGTTTCATCTCCTTTCCCCTCCGACATCAGACTGTCAAGCTTGTCTATAAGTTTCGCCTCCACCTAAGATAAAATCATTGTTAAGCTTCAACATATCATTGTAAGGTTTTATAGGTTCTGCCAATGAATGTACAGTACGTGTTTCTGCACTGTTCTTCTTGTTGCTGCAGGAACCTTTCAGCAGTTAATAAAATTATCTTTCTATCTATTTGTCTGTGTATCTATGTATCTATCTATGTATCTATCTATGTATCTATTATCTATCTATCTATCTATCTACACCAACTGTTATTTAAACTGGCTGTTCAAAGCAGCAGGGGGCGCTATTCTACCTGCTTGAAATTGCCACTCCTACGCTGTTCCCAGTCCATCATATCGTGGAAGATGGGGATCATCACATTTCTTAGATCTGGCTGCGGAACCAGCGTCACCTCCAGGAATGGACCAATCATTGCAGGGATGAAGTTTAACTTGTGTTCTCCTTCAGGAGTAGGGGGAAAAAGACAGAGTGGGGGAGAGGGAGAGAGGGAGAGAGGAAGAGAGAGAGAGAGAGAGAGAGAGAGAGAGAGAGAGAGAGAGAGAACAAGACAAACAGACAGACTTAGGTTTGGGGAAATGCATTTACATTCATAGATTTTTCAGCAAAGAAATAAGGCTGTTCAAGTTAATACCTTGAGAATATGTGAGAATATGAATTAACGCCACTAATTTTTATTGCCATTGTTTTAAATCGAGTTTTACCCCTAACCTACCCTTGTAGTGCCCAGCTAATCACATACTGTATGTTGCTGCAACAAAATCAGTGGCTACCGACTTCTCATTCAAATACAGCTTTCAAATGGCTTCTAAACTGATATTTTCTGCACCTTCAGCAGACTAGGCTGCTTGCAGGAGAGCTATGGATAAATCAATTAGTAGCCAACTAACAAAAACAACAGTGGAAAGCTACAGTTTCCCTCAACTGTAACAATAATCCATGAGCTGTAACAGTGAGAGGGAGGGGCTACAATCATGCAATGACTGTCCAAAGCTTTGTAGAAACCTGCACAGTCAGTGTTTCTTCTGAAATTAGGGGTATTAGCAAGGAGTTTGTCACCCCTTTGCTGCAGTAAGAGGAGTAGAGCATTAGTGAGGTCAGGTACTGATGCTGATGCTCCATCACTTCTGAGAACACAATTCTGCTTCACAGTCCAATGCCAGAAGACTTTATATATATATATATATATATATATATATATATAATACGTACTGTTACTGATTTACTGAAAATAGTAATATTAATTAATAGATTAACATATTTTGTCCTCTCATGTAGCTACAAAAAATTCACTTTTTTAATTGATATATTTATTTAAATATTTTAATCGTTTGACAGCCCTACAAAAGAGATATGCTGCTATTCTTCACTTACCTAAATTCTGCCACATACTGAAGATTTCACAGCCCATCATCACCCTCATATCTCCATACCTATATGTGCACACAGAAACACACACACACACACTTAACTGACCTCCATACAGTGTCAATGTCTGCATGGGAAGCAACTGTCCATTATGGCCAACAGATCACAAACATTAATGAAGCTATTTCAGTAAATGACTTTGAGCCAAATGAGTATTTCACACGTGTAATACTCCTTTGCCTGAAAGTTGCCTCAAATGTTTGCTGTTGGATTTTGCATAAAACCATCAGTGTGCTGAAAACAAACAAAGCATACGGTGTGAAAATACAGTGCGAACAGTGCAGGGGGAGGAGGTAGGGGATTTAAAAGGAAGTGAAATGGGAGAGAAACTCACTTTTCTAGAATTTTCTTTCGCTTGGAAGGAGAGAAGGTCTCTAGCTGTAGGCAGGGCTGGTTGATGAAGATGACGGACAGATAGAAGTAGGAGTCCCACACCTACATCATATATACACATACACATGTGTAAGCAAAGACAAATCTAGTTTACTGTTCAACACTTTACTGTAGGGCAGTGTTCCTAAGGCTACATGATACATACAACAACTGATAACTGACATAAACCTACAGAATATTTTATATACAAGACTTAACCAGAATTTAACTGCCACAATGGTTGCATTTGCCAGTTCTGACATTACACCTGGATCATTTTACCGAACTGGTTTGAAGTCAGAGTTCAAACTGACTTGGACTTTAGACTAAAATCCTTTTGACTTGAATGACTATATACCATAATTATGTTTATTATATTAAAACAAATGATTGAACCTTCTATTTTGTCACCACCAAAACAATCATAACACCACCGAAATTTGACCAAATGTTTCAGTCTTGACTTTTTTGGTAGAGACAATTTAGTCAGTACATGATTAGCAAACGCAGCTTTCAACAGATGTACTACATACATAAAATCATATTTTTCATTAAAACTCAAAATGAATTTTTCTGTGGGTTTACTTTGGGACTTATTTACTTTGAAACATTGGGATCTAACTGCTTAACATGTGTCCATGAGGTCTCACTTCCTGCTCTAAAATGCAGGGCTGTGACTACAATGAGGCTCCGCCTATGGACTAAAACTCTTTGTGTTTCAATAGTAACATGAAAGCATGGGACAGCATTTTTTGAATGAAGTTTTTTCATGCTAAATCTAAATCTTTCAACTTCACTTAAAAAAAATCAAAAAGATTTTTAAAAACGGGAAAAATGCACTATTGTCACAAGAAAATTAGGGTTAGGATTTGGGACAGCCACCTCCCAACAGAAAGTAGCTTATAAATCATGATTTTGTATATCGTCGCTGTCCAAAGACACCATGCATCTCCTTTTTTGTCACTTTTTATTTTTCTACGTAATTTCAACACACCAGCTGTCCTTTGTGTTGTGTTAAAAATTTATGATGAATGAATCAGTAGGAATAAAAGTTCTTTACAATAACTTACATTGAAAGGTAAGAGTGTTTTTGCCCTCTCCTGTAAAGTTGCTATTTTGGAGATACTTGTTTTTCTTTGGACAGCGGCGATATATTTAGCTTATTACTATCTCAGTTAGTGCCTTGAGTTTAAATAGTTCATAACATATTAATTGTAAATATTTCAGGTCTGAATGCTTAATTGTATTTTTTAATAGTTTTGTCATGACACTTTCTGGGATAAAATGATATAGCACTTTATGACAACTGATTGTACTTCAGTGCTTTCCACAGTTAACATAATGCTGATGATGTGACGTTACGCAGTATTATATAACATCATTACAGCTGAGCTGCAAAGTCAGTTGCCAAAATGTGCTATGTCATCTCATCCCACAAAGTGTCATGATGCAAACTAATGTCAGAAAAAATCACCTGACGTAGATAAAATGTCAACTTTACATCAAAGTTGACAAAAGCCTTTATAAGCCTTTAAAAAAGGTGTCATGTAGCCTTATGAACACTGCCCTACAATATAAAGTGTTATCCATCATTGTTGCTGTCATACCAAAACCACATATATTAATAGGAGAAGAAAAAAAGTTCAACTTCACTGTATGTAAATGAGAGGTTATTTTTGGAATTTCTATTACAAAGCACTATATCATATTTTTTTTGTTAACCTGAAAGAAGTAGCATGACTGAGTGCGGAGAAAAAAAACCACACTAAAATGGTGTAACGCCCCTTGTAACGCCTGAAATTATCATCTAAGTCAGAGGTACCAGGATGGATTTGGCAGGATTTTTGGACCACATCATATCTGTCGTCTTTATGTCTTGACGTCACACGCCCAGCCTCAAAAAAAAAAAGGTCAGACTCAATATTTAGTTCTCAAACGCATAATCAGCAGTATGACATGATGACATGATGACTAAATGAGATCATTCACTCACATCCTCGGAAGACATCAAGTTCATTGAGATTTGACTATTTTCTTCGAAAGCACTCGCCAAGTGAGATTCATCCGCTTGTGGGGGTCCGAAGCACAACTGACATTACAAAATATTCTCCCGCACACTGCGTGCAATTAAATATTTCTACCAGAGAGATCCCTCAATCCTATATAGTGTTGCTTTAATATGACCGCAACAATGACTGATCAGTCCGTATGTTTGTTGCTCATGCACAGTAGACCACTCACTACTGCTCAAACACCAGTACAAGAGGTCACAAATCAAACACTTGGTTTGATCCACACTCGCATTGATTCACAGCTACACATACACAAACACAAGACACGTACTCACTGAACATGGCACTCACAAGTTCACCCACATACCTTATAATCAAACTTGTCATTGAGAAAGTTCTTCCTCAGAGCGTCTGACAGGTAGAGCACGGTGGTGATGATGACACTGGAAAGCAAGCAGGCCCATCAGTCAGTGCCAGCATTAACATGTTCAATTATTCATTCACCTTCATCTCACAGAGGAAACAGCCTTGCATTCACAACAGCTGACAAGGTGCTCACTTGTTGGTGACAAGCCGCATGACCGTCCAGTCTTTAGGAAACATCTCTGGCCGGATCAAGATTCGGAACACGGTGAAAAGCTGCAGGAGAAAATCCTGACATCGGCAGAAACAAAAACAAAAAACGAAAATGAATCAGCTAATCAAATGAAGAAGCCTCACGCCTTAGCTATCCACACTGGGGTTCAAAAGCTTGGAATCACTGCCAATGTTACTTTATGTATAATAACTTATACAACAGATATATTAAATATTATAACTTGTTATATATCAAAACTATTTTACACACTTTGTTTACTTATGTTTTTACATTTTTAGGAAAAACAATAACATTAAACGCTAATTACTTTACAGTAATTATGTATTTATAGTCATTTCTTGTCAAGATATGTGTGTCAAGATCACTCTTCATATATGAGATGCACTGGATATTATTCTGCATTTATTATGGATGTTTTATAGCTTTCTTTGTCATTTTAGAATTATCCACAGCTCTGTTCATCATAAAAAAAAGTAATCCCCCCCCCAATTTTCTCCCCAATTTAGTCGTTTCCAATTCCACCCACTAGTTAGGACCCCCCAATCACACAATACCACCAGTGATAGGAGGGTCGAAGGCTAGCACAGGCTTCTTCCGAGTCCTGTGAAGCGTCACTGCATCTTTTCGAACTGCCGCTCATGCAACATCATTGGAGGAAAACGCCAACCAACGGATATGTTACATCAGCTAACAGATGCCTGCGCTGACTAGCCACGGATGGCTGTACCATCACCAGTTGAGCATATTAGACTCATTTTATACATTCATCTGTGACAAAACTGGTTTCATATTATTGAAAACATTGATTACAAACTTCTGAATTTTAAAAAGTATCAGGCTGAATATGGATGTGTAGTAAAATTCAGTGGGATGTGATTATAAGACAGTGTCTCACCCTCAGTTCATCTTTACTAGTGAAACTCTGTAGAAGCTGTTGATAGTGCTTATCTTTCATCTGCTTCAGCAGAGCCAGCAAACATGCCACAAACTCCCCCTGAAACACAGAAGAGCACAAAAATTACAAAACCTACCTCCTACCAAAACCTACAACCTACCTTTGACAAACACATACCCAGCAAAATACAACAAATCTGTCCCTTGACCAAAATCATTATTACAGCAAAACATACTACAAAACCTTAGTGAAAATACATAGACTTTAACAAAGGGAAATATGAATGGAAAGTGAATGGTGTGTTATGAAACTTAACAGTGTTTATGCACTACATCAAACTCTTTAAATAAAAAAAAGACCCCCCCATCTAACTATATCACAGCAATCCAGGCTGAACTGATAAATATGAACACAGAACACAACCCTGGTTAATATAACAAAAACACTTAAAATGAATCCAAACTGTTTAACTATTGGAGTACAAAAATTAAAATCAATGTTTTTTATTATAAATTTCATATCAGTCAGGCTCTACCAAACATTAGCGTTTCCATAGCATTGACTATGTGCAGAACTTTGGGTTTGTGGATGCAGAAAAGTGGCATTGAGCAGAGCCTCAATAAGGCTGCCATTCACAGTGCAGCACAACACAGAGAGCACAGCAGAGCGTGTCACATCTAAAGCAAACTCCCTCTAACAATTCACCTGCTGCTTGTGGGGAGCTGCTTTGAAGTATAAAGGCGCTTTGACTGGTGTGCTGTAATTAATGAACCCTCAGGGATTTATGTTTGTCTGTTCTCCTGATTTCCTTTTTCAGACACTCTGTATTTTCTCTTTTTCTCTGTCATGTGCAGTACCTTTCCCTCCTGCTGTAATTCTCTTGTGGTGCTTTTCCCTTCTTACCGTGACGTCCTGAAACTGTAGACGCATTGTGCCTCCTGTGGATTGGGGTCGGTTCGAGATTTCCAGTATGGTCCTTAATAAAACACCCATCAAGCTGTCCACTATCAGGTCCACCTCCTCGGACACAGATGGCTCCTACACACACATGCAGAGTGTAAGTGTATGCAGTCATGAATTGCAAATTCAAATTTTAATAGGTCCAGCCATCAGCAGAAATCAGTCATCATTTACACCCTGCTCTGTTTACAGCTGGCACTGAAGAAAAACTCTGCTATTTTTCAAAATTTCATTTTGTGAAGATGTTAAAATCATTTGGGGTGGTTTGATGTTAAAATTCTCCTTTCTAGAGAAGCTCAGTGTGCCGGAATCATTCATGGTGGTGATAGGAACCAGACGTCTGAAGAGTAATGCCTCTAGACCTTGCTCACTGAAAACTGTTACATGATATGGTTATGAATATGGTGCCTGATGCCTAAAACATTGCTTAGAGAGAAGTTTTAGCCTAAAATGTAATTCTGAAAATACATTCATAGTGGAGGGATTTATGTAGGGAGTTAGGATTATCCTCAGCGAAAACTTATTTTTTACATTTACCACTATTTTACCATGTCATATAAAAACTTGTGATACATGTAGGTTCACTGATCATTTTGAATAGGAAATAAAATTGCTATATTTGCACAGACATTGTGACCCCTGGTTCCTATCATCACCATTGTGAAGAAATCTTGAGATGGTAAGTTTCTCTAGAATGAACTGTTTCACATCAAACAATTCTGAAAGACTGTGTTTACGTCCCTAGCATTATATTATGCAAAGCATTTAAAAAAACAGAGAGATTCCCCTTCCATCCTGGGTGATCACTCCGATCACTCAGAGCACCTTCAGACGTGGTCAGGGATGCAAATGACCAGTTGTAGTGTCAACACTAATGCATCTGAATGCGTCCCGACAGCAACAATGAAAGCAGCTACGTTTTTCTTCCTCTTCTTTCCTCTAACCCAAGCAATCCATTGTTCATCGTTGGTAATATATTGTACACGTACACAAACAAACATATTTTTGTCTCACAAACACAATACTCTTCCTCCAGTCACAAAACATGTGGTCACTTGAGACGCATGGAAATGCCAGACGTAAATGGTTGTATGTCATTTGAGACACTCGAGACACTACAGCACATCACTCGAGACAGATATTATACCAAGCGTGAACAGTGCATTTAATCGGCTCCCAGACTCCTATGGTTAGTTTATCACTGCTTGCAGGGAGCGGCATAACTGGTTAATCCAATTAACGCAGAATTAAACCAACCATTAGGTAGAGGTCAACTGAATTTTAGTCTTATTGCGCTGACTGTGAAACAGGTAAAGCTAGGAGGCCTATGAGTTACACTTACTACATGTTTTCGTATATGTATACTCAGTTGGCTTGTAATATTTTCATGCAACACAATGAGTAGGATAATAAATGAATACCATTAAAATATGTGTATGACAAACCTGGATTTTATACAATGATAGGCTACGTTCTTTGGCCAGGTGGCCCCTCTGTTCTGCAGTCCATGTACAGTAGCATACTGTGCTAAGTGTTTTCTGACAGGGCGATAATGAGACTGTGACATAGGCTGGCAGTGTTGGACTGTAATGCGGACGGACTGAGGAAAAAGGCTGGCAGTGCTGATGCCTATGCTTTAGAGTGACCCTGCTGAGTGTGTGACAGCTATTTACCACACACAACGCTCTTCTCCTAGTGTTTACACTAGCGTTTTCATGATTATCAACAAAAACAGATGAAAATGTCTGATACTGATGAAAATGTCAGTGACATCAAAGACGACAAAGGCTTTTTCAGGTTCAACAATATTATTGCACTGCTTTCAATTGGTTACATTCTACGTAGTCACGGTCTCTGTCATTAAAACTGGTGAAACTACTTCAACCTTTTTTATTTGACCCCTGTGCTGGGTTTACATGTTGGCGGCAGATGGTCAATGGCAAACTGAATATTTCATTGTTTTCAATGGAGCAGTGAGGGTAAATTCTGCCACTGCTAGTCAGAGAAAAGTTCCAACAAGGGTTCAATTTACCAGCATCTACCACAGGTGAAATACATTTTAGGGAGCCATTGACTCAGAATGTCTCATTGTTCAGGTGCACCCAGTATTATAAAACAAAAAATAAAGAATACATAGGACCCTCATGTCTTTTTCCATTGCTTGACACTGATAAAGCTCTCCTCAGTCATCTATTTTCACTGGTGCCACTGTTACAAAGTAATGTTTGCATGGCTGAATACCACTGTTGGTCTTTACCACTATGAGGCACGGAATGATGGCTTTTTCAATGCCAACATGACACAACATGAAACAGTAAGCATGTACAGAGTCAGTATTGGAAAAACAAAGCTAATTGCGAAGGTACAAAAAATTAAGTTTGGTGTACGTTTCAAAACTGTTCCTTCCGAAATTAAGATGATATAAGTAATGTATATACGTGGCCCTTCCCCAGCCCTATACAGTGCACACCAAAAAGCATTGCAATTCATTTATTTCTTGAATTGAATGTTTTTTTATGACCAAAACAAGCTACTGCCTTGAGAATTGTCTACATTTCAAATATGAGTGTTTACAACGTCAAATGCAATTGTCAATAAGCATTTCTCATTTGTTCCCAATCAATTATTGTGATGCTACAATTTCACTTTTTCATTATTTTCCTTTTTCATGAAAAAAACAAAACTACAGCCTCGAGAGCGGTCTACATTTGATATAGTCAATGTTGGAACAAAACCCTGTGTCTCTAAAATGGTGACGTAAAAAACGTTAAAACTTCTAACTTTCAATAGAAGTTAATGCAAAACGATTTTTTCCTTAGTAATTTTGGACCAATTATGTTGGTCTATTTATCATAAAATACTAACACATTGTAAAGGAAACTGGAGTGTTTTATTATGCAAATAAGAAAAAAATGACAAAAATGGAGATTCAAGCTTTTGTTGAGACAGTGAGGATATGTGTGCTGTCTCATGTTAAATGCAAATATCCACATAAAGCACGTGATGATACTTTGTCCGTCAATTATCGTAATCCAAAAAAACTATTCTGCATCATAATACTGCACAATTCTGAAAATTCAGACCACTATGCCACACAACAGAGCTGTCCAGCTGACTAAACGTCAGAGAGGTCACCCTCATTTAGACCAGCTTCAGTGTGGTGCTCTAGATTGTTTCCAACAAAACGATCATAGAGTGCACCTCTGACTGTTCTCTCCACACCAAACGGGCCATTAGAGAGCACGATCAGATGTCTTATTGCCTCAGTGTCACTGAGTTCAATCAGTTTCTTTCAAAGCTCACTTCAGAGCGAGTAAGAGCTGGTCTCTTATTCAGGGTACTGCACGCTTTCTAAAAGGTTCTCGCTCTATCCTGGTGTTTATTTGGAGGGGTTCTGAGTTTCCCAGAGGTTGCATCACTCTTTCTCACACCATTTTATTCCAGTTCAAAGCGGTCTCATTGCCTCACGAATCTCCCTCTCTCCCTGAGTGTCTCCTATGTGGCTCGGCCTGTGTCAGAGCTGTCAGGAGCTGCTAAATCATATCTCACCGTGTCGTCTCTCTTGATGAGGGAGAGCATGCTGGTGAGGATGTGGCCGCACATCACCAAATCCTTCTGCTCCTGCATGTGAGTCTGTAACAAGCGCAAGACCACGGGGAGCAGAATACACCTCGACTCTGAAAGGCACACATACACAGACACACAAACATTAAGGTAAGATTTCATGATGCACTGAACTGTTTCCTGAAGAAGTGTAATTAAATCAAATAATTGTGAGGTCAGAGATTTACATGCTTACACCCTTTGCATCCATTTGTTTTATCTTTACATATTCCGTGAGTATTATTTGCCAGATACTTTCAGACATAACATTTAAACAGAGTCTACAGTGCATCTCTAATCTTTACAAACTAAATCTTTAAAAACTAAAACAAAATATAGCTTTGTGGCCCAAGGGCACGTATTGGTTAAAGTGGAATCTACCGATTTGTCCACATAATTCAGACATTCAGATGTAAAAAAGTAATTGCGAGTATTTGATGTCAAACTGTCAGTTGTAGAGTAACTTACAAACACTTACAAAAGAAAATACAAAAAGTTTTCTTTACAGTGGTGTTGATAGGAACCAGGGCGTCACAATGTCTACAACCTAAATTTAGCCATTTTAACGACTATCCAGAATGACCAGCGATCCTGCATGTGTCTTCTGAGTTTTGTATGTGATTGTAAATTGGATGAAAACAGAAAAAAAAAAACATTTTTTTGGTCTTAGAACACCCTAAAAAAGTCAATGATGTGAGCAGATGTTGTGAAATTGCCTTAAAATGCCCTGCACGCCTCCCTGCCATGAATAGACCTATATTTATATGTATTAAAAAAAAGCCTTACCTCAAAATTATTAAACAATATCTCAAGCATCAGGCAACATATTAATTACCATGTCATATAAAAGCTTTCTTTAAGGGACCTCTGAGAGACTATAAACTCTCAGACGTCTGGTTAATATCACCACCATTGTGAACAATTGTGACTCGGTAAGTTGTGCATGTACCAGGGTTGGTGTAAAGCTGGCTCTCTACAGTCTTTGCAATGCATTGTAGTTTGACAGCCTCCAGGGGGCAATCTGCGTGAGTGGTGGCCGGTAGACTGCCCAGAGTTTCCCGCACGAACGTAGCCACCTCTTTCACTGTGAACAGCTTCAGCAGCTCCCCATAGACTACAGGAAACGTCCGCAAAAACACCGCCTGGACACACACATATACACAGACTTGTAATACTATCTTTAATGGGGCATTTTTATTAAATTAGCTTGTAGCTGAATTTGGCAAATAGCCAAAATCTAATAGGGGAACTAAATATTGCTATGTATACACATACTTATCATCAGTAACCAAAAACAAAATTGTTTGGCTAATTTGAATTGAAGTTTAGCCAGTAAAAGAGGCAAGTTGTGTAAAAAATGTACCAATAGGACCAGTATAATATTCACATTAAGGCATGTCAAAGTCAAAATCTTCACATTTTACTATTACCATGGTGACACATGGTTTACAATAAAATTTGCACATATGCACAGGCAAACCACCTGAAAAGTACAAAATTACAGAAGACAAACATTGATGTCGATGCTCCACTGACCTCATCTGACCTTTATCTAGTCTTATAAGCCTCTCCGAGGGCATAAATAAATAAAAACTAAACCTAGACTAGCCTAAAACCTTGACCCTGCTTTCTAACTCACTGAAGTCTTGTAGAGGTTTGTAATATTTGGCTTTGACTGGTTTGGGTCAAAACACTTTATAATGCAAGCACTGAAAAGACTGCGTTGTCACACACACAACATCTTGTAATTCCATCTCTTAGGGAGTTTCCACTGAAGACTATTTCATTATCTAAATAATTGAAGAAATTTAATATGGTGTGTGTGAGTAAAGCAGTGACACACCCCATTGTGTCTTCAGCCCAGTAAAGGCATCCAGAAAGTCCAGGCTTGGTGCAGTAGAGTGAAAGAGATAGCGGAGTGCTGGACGCAGGGGCGGGGCAGTGGGCCAGGGATTAGCATGGATTAGAACGGCTCTGACCTGCATTCTTTCACTGCTATTGTTCTGCTCTCTATGCAGATTAAAGCCAGGCTTTCTGAGCACTGTCACAAAACAACATGTGGTTGAGACTAGATTAACACCTGCAAATGCCCCTCTGCTTTTGGCCGGATGATGTATTTACACTGACATTTATTCTGAGTCAAATAAAGTTGTCTTAGGTGGCCGGGGCATGCCGTGTATGAGGCAAGTGAAACAGATATGGAAAGGCTAAGGGAAAGTGCAGGAGACTGAGGCCTGGAAGGCAGAGCAGACAGACAGCTACAGAAATACAGTATGGAACATTATGCATTACACTTGCTCCAAGAAAATGTAGGAAAATAGGAAAAGCCAAGATAGATAGATAGATAGACAGACAGGAAAGAGTAAAGAAAGAAACAAAGAAAAGAAAGAGAAAGAAAGAAAGACAGAAAGAAACAAAAAAGAGAAATGATAAAATAGATAGATCATTTAATAGATAGATAGAGGGACGAGAAAACAACACAGAGAAAAAAGACAGAAAGAAAGAATAAAAGAACAAAAGAAAGAACGAAAGAAAGAAAGAAAGAAAGAAAGAAAGAAAGAAAGAAAGAAAGAAGGAAAGAATGAAAGGAAGAAAAAGAAAAAGAAAGAAAGAAAGAAAAAGATGAGAGAAGGAGAATGTATGTCTGTTTTTAATGGGGACTCTCAGCCTTGCTCCATGTTCCTCTCCTCCTCTTGCTATCCTTTTTAGCCGTACTATTCATTTGGATTTGCTATTTTCATCTTTTTTCCTCTTCTGTTCGTCGTCATCATCCCCTGTTCTCTTCTAACAAGCGTCCCATGCTGCTGTCTCAATCCGTCTCATTATATGTACTAGAATTGTTCATGTGTCTTAGTGTATTTGTAAGAACACAATATAGAGATTACGTGGATGTATCAGGCCTTTGGTGGGGGGGGGGTGGGGGGTGGTTCACTGTACCAAACATACATCAGTAGTGTGGAACAGCACCACTGTGGCAGCCATCTCAGAGGAGGCTGGTGGATTGTAGCCAGGATTATTGGTGAGTGTCTTCAGGCTCTTTTGTCTCAGTCTACCGAGAGCCGTCGTGCTGAGAGCCCCCCTCAAACACAGCATAAAATATGAATTATCTCACTTCTCAAGGGCACTGTGTCTGCAGAAATTCAATTAAGAGCATTTTTCTTTCAAATAAACACTAAATACAGTGAATGTGCTTCCAGAGGAGACTGCATGGCTCACTGTCTGAGACGATAGCTTGAGGACTGAGAAACTTAATTAGCTGTACAGCTGACAATAGGAAAGGCAGTTAGAGGCCTGAGCTGCAGGGGTTTCTGTCTTTAAGACTAAGTAACTGATCAGTTATTGTCACCAAATCTCTAAACTAGCATCGCGAACCAACTTTGAGTGAACATTCCCATGTAAGTAAACAGTAGGGGAAAGTATCTAATATCTAATTTTTCAGACCAATTTTGTGATTGCAATCTAAATATTTTCTTTAATAAATTAAGGTCCAGGACTGTTATTATGGCCAAGAAGACCAGAATATCCATTGCTTGACTTGAATGCTGAACATAATGCACTAGACTGCCAGTTAGTTCTGGTTGTGTGGTCATGTATACAACACATAGGTGTTTTGGTCTACACCGGCCTCAATGTTCATAGGTTAAATTTCTTCACTTAAAACGAGATTGCAAAGAGACTGCAAACATATGCGCATTCATGAGATCCGGCTAGTGTGGGTTCATGCCAGTTCCCTCACTTCAGATAAGCACAAAACCTACTTGAGTGCAAAATCTTCAGCCTGCTAAACGTATGTGAGTGTATGAATTGCAAGCCGCTTAATTTTGCTCACATCACATTATACATGTTACTGTAAAACATGCATTATGAGAATATATTCTAATGTGTTTCCCACTGCCCCCACCTGTGTATGTGTGATAGGTCCATTTCCTGGGCTATCCTGGGACAAAAAGAAGCGGATGGACATGAAGAGCTCATGTATGCAGCAGCGGAACTCCTCCTCGTTCTGGCCTCCCGTGGCCAGCGCAAAAAGCCTCCGTGACTGGACGATGTACTTAAAGATGTACTCCGTCGCCTAGGAAACCAAGTACATTCAAACGATTAAAATACATTTAAATTATGTATCATTTATCTAAGCTATGTCTGTCTACAATATCTATATTTTTGTAAATATTTAATGTATATACTGTGCATATATTTTTGTGGTACCCTTTGTGGCTATTCAGTAAAGTGAGAAAGCCATTAAAGTGATTCTGAGTCTAATTATGTACACATGAGCCATTGGAAATCATATATTTTGGAAGACCCAAAAAAGAGAGTAGAATGCAGACGCTGTTTTGTGCTACTACATTAGAATGTTATTAAATTAGAATTTTTCGAGCCTTGAAATCTCAGAAAGTGCTAGTACTGTGCTCCATGTGTGCAAACGCACTGTACGCGCTCCCACCTTGAGGACCTGCTGGATGTGTTCCTGGTGTTCAGCTTCTATGATTCGGTCCACATACCATTTCAGAACCTTTATCAGATCCCTAAACAGGAGACAACATTATGTTATAGTGTACACAAAGCATTTAAACATTCTGCCTGGAATTAAATCATCATTTCATTCTTACTCAGCTGATACAGGCAGAAGATAATTGTGAGAAGTGTTTTGTAAAGAAATGACTGTTATCATGACTGCTAGCCTGCACATATTTGAATCTTGACTGTCATTTCAGATGACAGAGTCAAAGATACTGGAATAATTGTCAAAAAAGAGACACGGGGGAGTAAAATAGATAGAACTGGTTTCCCTGCCTGGCCTAGAGAGAGAAAATGGAAATGATTTCACTCAAAAGAGCAATCAGATTAAAACTGCTCTGCATTGCATCCTGTGAGAAAAAGAGAGGGTGTATGTGTGTGTGTGTGTGTGTGTGTATGTGTTAATTTGTTGTATAAGGTAAGCAGTAAGAGTGCAAGAGGGCACATGAGCCCCAGCATGACCCTGCTAAATTTATAAAAAGCTGGTGCACAGTGTCAGTGAAGTTTTTATTTATTTTTTTTATTTTTATTTTTTTATGCAGTGCTGGGAAGCTGAGGTGAGTGAAAGGCAGTCATTCACACAGGCCAGGAGGGGGCATTGTTACTTACACTAGGTGAGGAAACATGCCTGGCAGAAAAAGTGTGAGCGCATGTGCGTGAGTGTGTTTGTTTTATCTTTTTTCTTTGTGGGGGAACCACAAAAAACGTCATTAACCAACAAACCTACACATTTTATTTTTAAAACTGAAAGGACAAAACTATTTCCTTTTTGGTAAAGGTTCAAAGTAGACTTTTCTTGGTCTATGACATTATTCCCGGCAAATTTATTTTCTAGTCTCGAGCGAGTCCAACTACCATTTAAATATAACTTTCTTTCTTTTAGCAATGCGTTTGCGTAGCCAGATACAGCTGTAACTACTGAGGAAGCTAAATCAGACATTTACTCAAACAATAGTCCTGTTCCACAAACGGGTTTTTACTGAATTTGACGGCCAGGCATTATTATGATGTTTAGTCTACTGTTTTGCTAACCTGCTGTTGCTAAATGTTCTCAAAGGTGCACACTTGCATCTAAAGTCCTGCAGGTAAAGGGGTTTTCTGTATAAACTGTATTGTACTGTATTATATTGCACTGTTAAAAACAAAAGGCAGATGATCCTAGCAAGTAAAAGGACAGCAAGGGGTCACTGATGTCAGATGGGTAGTATTATTGATTAAAATAGTTCAGTTTAAAGGCTTTAGTTTGACTTTAATTTCTGTCAGATGAAGAATCAGAAGATATATATTTGATACCAAAACTGATAAACAAGGATTATTTAAAACAGCCAAGTAAATTAATTGACTTAAGCCATCAAACAAAAACAGATTGGCTGGTATTTTTAATCACATTTTTATGATATTTCATAATATAGACATTGGTTGGACTCAGAATGGGCCTTGGTTGCATCATTTAGACTGAGCATTAGTTGCATTAATTCAGAGCAGGCACTAGTTGGATTCTTTGACAGCAGCCATTGGGTGGATTCATTCAGAGCAGGTACTGGTTGGATTTATTTAGAGCAGGCATTGGTTTCATTCATGGTTGTATTCATTCAGAGCAGGTGTTAAATGCAAATAAACTTTCAGTCCGTAATGCATTTGTGTTTATAACTAAAAAAGGAGGTATTTTATTTTGATTTGAATTTGATGGAGATATTTTGTTCATACAGTTTTGTTTTGTGGAAAGAAAATTCTTCTTTTATATTTGTCCAGTAATTTGGATGGGAAGGAGACATTGAGCAATTAAGGCTTGGTCTAGTAGAGGACTTTTAGCCAGATCTGCTCTCATTTGGACTTAGTCTTGACTAAGCCCCTAACTCAGCCCCTGTTAGACTCGGTCTTGACTCTGTCTCAACTAGTTATGGTCTTCTACTTGTCCTGGACTCTTTTAAGGTAAGGGTTACATACATAGTAAGTGACGTTAATATTACATATAAGTAATTCCATATATATACCTTATGACTATTGACAACAAGTTTTTTATTTTTCAGGATATATTTCTGAGGGCATTTCTCCACTGTGCAGGTCTGAAAGAATGTGTAGAGGTCAAGAAGCTGCTACTGAGAAGAGGAAACTAACAAAAAAAGAAGAAATGCAAATGAAACAAAGACGCTGTAGGCATCCTCAGAAGAATTAACTGACCACTGGACTTAGAATGAGTCCAGACATCATTCTAAAAATGAACTTCTGAGAACAGTGGAACCCGTATGAAAGGCGAAGTTTGGACACATTATATTTAGTTAAAGAAGCTTCTGTGAAATTTTCTACCACATATGTTTTCTGCTATTTTCCTAATTTTGAAAAATTAACAACAAAATTGTTTTATAAAATAAATGAAGGAGGCTCTCTTTTTAAATAAATGAAAGGGAGTCTCTTTTTTTGCATACTAACATAGGTACACCCATATATATAATATATATGGGACATATTATTATTACGTATAGGCACTTATACCACTCAGTGCTGCTTGAAAATGTGTGAACAATTTAATATTATGTGAATTTCTGCAATAAGTGTGACCTAAAATAAGATCAGATCTTCTTTTAAGTCATAACAATAACTAAAGAGAACCCAATAAAGCAAATAACACAAACAATTGTATGGTTTTTCATTCGTTTATCGAACAAAGTGATACAACGTTATGTATTTTGGTTGGCAAAAGTATGTGAAACTGTAGAATGATCAGTTTGGTATAGGTGATAATTAGTGTCAGGAGATTCAATCAACTGAATGACAAGCAGGTGTGAGTATGGCTGACCATAACTATTTAAAAAACATCAACCATCAACCATCTTCACTGTCAAAGTCTGGCCTTTGCCACACACATTCATTAGCGCACGCAATGTCTCAGTCAAATGAGATGTCTAAGGACCTCCAAAAAAAATAATAAAATTGTCAATGCTCATTAGGCTGGAAGAGGTTCCAAGACTATATTTGAACTGTTCCACTGTTACGCAGACAGTGTACAAATAGAGGAAATACAACTCCATTGTCACCCCTCCCAGAAGTGGTCACCCCAAAAAAAAAAAAAGACTCCAAGAATTAGGCACAGAATATTCTGGGAGATCAAAAAGAACATCTAAGAATCTGCAGGCCTCACTTACATTGGCTAATGTCAGTGTTTTTTGAGTCCACCATCACACAAACACTGAACAAGAATAGTATGTATAGATTACAGAATGGAGATACTCAAAACTCTCCAGGAGGAAAACTGCTCCCTGTTCAAAGTTTCCTAAAGACCACAACAGCATCATAACTCCTGATCTCTGATCAGTGGTGAGGCTAAGTTTGAAGTGTCTGAACAGTGAATGAGAGTTGAGGAAGGCAGCTATTGTGGTAAATGAAAAGAGAGGATTTGTTTTAAAACACAAATTGAAATTAGGGGATTGAAACAAGACTTAACCCTATACAGAGCTTACAGTATTTTTGCACCTGTCACACACCCGTCCGGCCTTGACTCACACAGGGACTCCGTTTCCTAGAATCCATTTCGACCACATGACTTCCCAACCCCAGCGCTCAACCTATCATTGTTCAAACTCTGCTGAGTATTGATCTGATTCACCTGTGTGACTTGTCATATGACTTCTTAGTTTAGTATTTAAGCCTTTAGCATAGGATATTTGTGAGGTATTGCTTCTCTGGTAGAGCTACTGAGCGGTTCTCCTGTGTCTTTTTCCGACTGCCTTTATTGTGTTTTGGGCTATTTACTGGATTCCTGGTTTTTGCCTCTTGTCTTTGCCCCTCTGGTTATGTTTGCCCTTTTGTATCTGTTTGCTGTTTTGGATTTGACCCACACGTTTGCTGACTATAATTCTTGACAATCCCTTTGATATTAAAGCCTCATCCTTTGGATTTTACTGCAAGCGTCTGACCCTTTATGTCACGTTACAGCACCTATGAAGAGATTCAGCATAAAGCTGTCCACTTTTTTCTGTGTTTTCTGTGCTCCTACACAGCTGAAGTTGAACTATCACTGCACAAATTACTTAGAACATACATGTATAATCCTGATATCGTATAACAGTTGTGCTTGTGTGTGTGTATGGGTGTCTCATAGGCCAGGATCTTGTGAGAGAAATCATGTGTTTGTGTTTGAGATCCTGTTGGGATCTGTTGTGTGTGTCAACCCTGTGTGTGAGCAGAGGAAACAGAACAAAGCGTCACACTGAGGCTCAGGCATGTGGTATAAGTCTGGGAACAAACTGTCCCTGTAACAGTCCTCCTGCAGGCAGGGGATGCTGTGCAGGTGATAAATTTACACTTCACTGAACGGTCAAGCTGTTCCAATGCCACTGCCTCTCAGCACGGTCATCTTCAAACTTTTCAACTGTTTTTCAGGGACATTGTGTGTAGGCTGAATGAATGGACGGTGGTCGCAAGTCTGATGAATGAAGATACCAGATTGCAGACACCAACATAAAGAAAACAAATGATTCTCAGTCAAAAGAAGACATTTTTATTTACCTGTATGACAAAGCGCCTGCAAAGTGACTCTCAATGTAGGTGTCCATGACTGGTTTAAAGTGCTGAAATTTGCTGTCCTGGAGCAAGTTTATAATGTGCACCTGTGGGCAAGAACGAGAACTGGTTTTCACTACAAACAAAACTATAGCTAACAAGTTTCGAGATTACTGTGGGTTTTCAAAATAACTGCTGAGTGTTGCAATGTGCATGTAGTCTAATTTTAATCCAGTGAGGCAATGACAGTAAAACAAAATGTAAAAAAAAATGGACCAGAAGAACTAGATTTATCAAACCATGGGAAGTAAGAAAGTTGATCTAGAATATTTTTTCCAAATACGTTTTGAGCAAAGAATGAAAGACGTAAGATGTAATCAGCACTATTACCATGAGAAGATATATATAACTCAAACATATGTGGTTTGAACTTCACATCAAAAGACTAGATTTAGCAAACAATACAGAGCAAAAACGTTAATCTAGATCAGATTTTTCCATTCCATTTTTAAACTTAGGTATGAAGGAAATTAAATACAAACAAAAAAACATGGTTAGAACTTACAAGACAATCAAACACTTTGAGGCCATATCTCTGTGGGCTTTCGTCTAAGATGCCAAAGAGCGTGTCCAGTGTATCCTGTAAGAACTGGGAGAAGATGTTTAATTTCACTTAGTAAACTGAAGCACATACAGCACTGTGCAAAAGTCTTAGAGAACCAAGAACATACTTCAATGCTGTTGAAATGTAACTCATTTGTTTGCTAAAGGCCAAACCAGAGTATTTTTGTGACACTGTATCTTTTTCATTTGGCTTGGCTGGTTTTACACTGCCATGGCTAAAGTGCACCAAAACACATATGTGAGTGCTTGTTTATGACACATACGCTCTGTTACTCTCACATTTGCCCACCATTTCAGACAAAAAACTCCAGTTCGGCAAAAAACTAGACACTTAATGTCTACGTGTATCACAGTCAAAGCAATAATAATAAACCTTCTATTTGCTTCTTTATCGTTGGTTTGTCAATCTGAATGTAACCAATCAGGTCACTGACGCATCAAGGCATTGCTTCACTATTATTTTATTGCTTGTTTCCGCTATTTTCAGCAGCTTGTTCTGCAACAGCGATATGTGCATCTGTCAGGAGTCAGATGTTAAAACAGGCAGATTATGCTCCCGAGTGGCGCAACCATCTTAGCATTAGCCCTATCATCAGGACACCCTTGGCTGTCCAAGAGAGCACAACTGAGCTCGCTCTCTGGGTGGGTACGATGGCCCCCCTCCCAGTTCAAAAAACATGCGGTGACGCTTCACAGGTCTCGGAGGACACCTGTGCTAGCCTTCACCCTCCTAGCGCTGGGGGTATTGTGTGCTTGGGGGAGTCCTAACTAGTGGGTGGAATTGGATACAACTAAACTGAGGAGACAGTTTGGGGGAAAAAAAACAGGTAGATTATGCAGACACGATTTTTAGCTGAAGCAGGTATTCGATGGTAACTTTAAACACTGGGCTTCCTTGTAGAGATGTTTTGGAAACGGTAAAGCTACGCAAATCACAATGTACTTACTTTTAGTTTCTTTCTGCTAGGATTCATAGGTTTACATATCATTTTATCAGATGGACTAAGACTTTTACACAATAATGTATGTAAAAAGTAAACAGACTAATTAAAAAGGAGAGATTATAAGCCGATGGACAAACTGGGTGCAGTGTATTCTACCTTGACTATCTCAGAGCCATCGATCTCTTTCAGTTTGCTCAAGCTGTCACTGATCCTCTCTGGGTGCGCTCTCCACTTCAGCAAGTCCAGCATATCACCTGCAGAGAGCAACAAGTGCAATAAGGTTAATAAGCAGAATCCTACTGTGCATATGTCTGAAGTAGCCTACATTATTTCTTCATATAGCAGTGTTAGTCCAGTTTCTGGTCATAAAACATCTTGAGTGAAAAAACCTGTAGTATTTCATATGTAATTAGTAAAAAAAAAACTAGTCATACTATCAGACTCCTGTCACAGTGTGTGATATTGTTCAGTACTGATCATTTCAACAGCAATTTTACAGTTTTCTGATCCTTACACAGAGTGCTAGTTTATTAGGTATATCTAACTTGTAACTACACTAACTGGCCATTTTATCAGAAACACCCTCCATATTGGCGCACTTTGCACAGGCTGCAGGCAACCTCGCTATAATGTCTTTTAAGACTTTTAGTGCTACTTCACACAGTTCAACAGCAGGTAATGTTAGCTTCATGCACACTGCTGAACAGTGTGAGTCACCTCATGTTACGCAATGTCTGTGTGAAGTGATATGAAGTCAAATGATACCTGTCTTTCCTAAATATTTGTCCATTTGTCTTCACTAACTGCTCAAATTTGGTTTCAACATCTTATCTCAAATATGTGTCAGGCTTAGGTTGGGCAAGTTTTTCTCCTTACTTTATTCTTCCTCTTTAATTTATTTACTTTAAATCATTTTTCTGATCTGGCATGCCGGAGCCACCCACTTGTGAATTTAGCTCCAATGTCCACAAGGCCCACACTGGTGAGAAAATGGATGGACATGAAATAAAACAGATAATCTACTCACAAGGGTACAGCTGAGTGTAACCAAAAGGATGTTTATATTGAATTTACTTGGCAAAAAAATTATTTATATTACATGTTCAATTAGGGATGTTTTTTTCTTACCAATTTTGTGACTGCACTTTAAACTGTGATTAAGATCCAGAAGCATGTTTTTTATCAAATTTTTCTGGGGCTGAGGTTTGAACGCTAAATATAGTGTGTCATGCTGCCAATTAGTTAGTGGCTGTGTTTGTCATGTACATAGCAAACAGGTGTTTAATTTCTTCTGTCTGGTATCACTACAGACAGTTCACAAGCTCCATGTTATTGAGTTAAATGTTACTGAGTTCAATGATAACAATGTTGATAATGTAGCCTGTAAATAAAATGGCAGCTCTGGTGTTTTAAAAATTCCTTTAAAATGTGGATTTGATACAGAAATAATTAAGCTTTTAGCCTTGTGTTCAATATGTTACATGTAATATGATGTATTAATACATTGCAATATGTTTTCTTTATTTAAAGAAATCAAGTTTTATGATGAAGGCTAACATCCTGCCACATCAACACTGCACAGAACAGTGTAATCTGGAAAATGTATTCAGACTAAACGTATGGTGTTATTGTTCAAAAGCACTGCTCGATGAATAAATTCATTCATAAATTCATCATTTTGTATTTTATATATGTGGGTAATGATCAGCAGGTTCCAGTCAGTTTTATGCAGGTCAGTTTTGGAATCAAAACAGGTTTGGACAAATTTTTTCATGCTCAGGTTGGGTTCAGACTCAAATCTTGGTGCTGAAGATCGATCCAGGCCAGGCCTTGACAGAAAATTCTGTGTTCAGATTCAGACCAAAATTTCATGCCTTATAAAAGCTCTACTTCATCATAAAAACTGTGCAATTTCAAATTTACTTATAAGAGTCTTTAATTTGTAAAATTACCTTTAAAGGAGCTGCAGACACCCTGTTTGTATGTACGGAACTGCTGTGCTTTTTTGTGTACGCTTACCTATTTGGACACCTCTGTTGTTGGTACATGTTGTATGTGTACGGATAGAGACAATAGCTTAACTTCTCACATGCACAATTTGTTTTAGTCATCCAGTAGCTGTTCATTAGTGGCCAGTTTCTGACCACAGGAAATCAGTTGGAAGGATATTTTTGAGTGGTGAGATATTCCAACTTAGCAACAAGGTATGTAAAAACACCCATACCAGCGATACACTCCTACGAGTCCAACACACACTACCATGATGTAACACTGATGCACTGGAAAGACCATTTCTATTAATGTATTGGTAGAGATGGGCTGATAAACTGTGCAGCACAAAAGGGCTACGGTAAATCTACAAAGTGTACCTACATGGTAGATGTTTCTGATTTGGCATAGCCAAAGAGTGTAGACACAAGGTAGATACACCTAATAGACTCGCACGCACACACATCACACAGAGAGACACAAGGCAAGGAGTGTACCGTTCTGAGTGAGTTTGGTAGAGCAGAGGAAGGAGGTGATCCAGAATGACTCCTTGGTGCCTTTCACAGCTTGGTTGTTGCCTGGTAGGTTGGCTTTGGAGAAGGGCAGTTTGAGGTAGCGAGCACAGTCCTGAAGGTTAGCATTCTCCTCACACTGGAAAACACACAACTGAGACATCAGCATTTCAGTGCAGCAACAGTACACAGAACACTCTTCTTCAGTTATCATTTGTTCTGTCTCTGAATGTTCTATAGCAGTGATTTCCAAAACAAGCAGTTAGTAGGGAAAGATATAAAGGAAAAAAAAAATTACAAAATAAAAAGTACTGCCTGATACAAAAAAAAACAAAACACCAAGTGTCATTGATGCGAAGCACAAAAGCTATTTCAATGCTAACAGCGCCCCCCGTGGAGAATATTCAGCCTGCTAAAAATGAGTGAGTGAGTTATAAGCCAGGTCCATGAGGTGCTTTGCGTCTAAATGCTCAATTCTGATTAGGAACAAAACAAGACACTAAATATAAATATCACAATATCACTATGATGATGCATAATTGTATTTTAGTTGAAAAAACAAATACTGCAATACTCAGTTTAATAATATTATTAAAAGATCATTAATGAGCAATTCAATATCAATTATTGAACACATTTAGGACCATACTGGTGGTTTGGTTTGGTGTGGATGAGGAGGTACTTGAGCCTTATTGAAAGAGCTGTGGGGCTACATAAGTTAGGAAACACTGTTCTGTAGCTTCCCAGTGTCAATTGATTTCTGTGTTTTTGTTCTTCTTTAAGACTTTTAGCTCAAGTTAATTGAAAAGCTGATTTCTTTTGTGAATAAACAAAAGACCACTGCACCATGCAGGCAACACCTCATTATCTACAGGCTATTAGTAAAACAAAGACACAAAATGTGGTCAGCAGTTTTAAAACCTCCTCTGCAAATGCTAACAACTCACTTTATTTCAAACCATTTGTCTTGATAAAACAAAATATGACATCTGCTAGCAAAAAACATGCTCACAATCATGCATCACAGGCCTGCATCATGTGCACGCAAAAGTTAATAGTGCAGCACTGAATAAAGTGGTTTCTGTGCCAGAACAATGCCAGGACAATCTTCCCTGAGCAAGAAGCATGATATGGAATGTTTTCTCAAGGAACCAAGGCCCATGATACCGGAGGTAAATTGCAGTTGTTGATAAAGTGTTATGAAAATACAGCAGACCGCTGAGAGTAACTGGAAAAAAAAAAGATGCAAAATAATACAAACGGATTACAACACTACAAGCCCAAAATAAGCAGATACTTTTACTATATTTCTACATTTTCTTAAATTTTAATGGCACCACAGATGGCTCAGTCCTGACAGGAATTCACACACTGATGTATAATTAGGACATTTATTTTGCCGAAGAAAAGTAATATACAATTTCCTCAAATTATGGTGATATTAGGGGCCTCTGAGTGGCACAAAATCGTTGGGAGATTATGGGTTTGATCTCCGTGAATGTAACAGCCGTGCGTGACGGGGAGTCCAAAACAGCATTAATTGGCCTCGTTCTCTCTGGATGACCCTTCCTTTACCCCCCATCACTCAAAGCGATGCTAGCCAATGCGGGCATCTGTTAGCTGACGTAACAGAACTGGCAGTTAGGGGCAGATGCACTAAAAGAGGTGCTAATTACCAACAATTTAGTGGGTTATCTAGGAAGAACTTCCGTGCAAATGAACACAGCGCAACTTCGTAATTAACATATGACCAGCACAATATAAGCGAGTGTTTGGCTCAAATGCAAACTGAGTCATTAAGCAGGAACAAAATTATGACTTAGTAAGTCAGAATAATTAAAAAAAAAGTGCTTACTTTTTAACAAGGTATGTGTTTACTTTAACAAGACCTCATTTTAGCACAATACATTATAAATTGGAGAAAACGATTATCTTTTACCTTCTGCTTTGAAATACAGGTTTATTTTTGGCTGGAGGGGATAAGCTGAACTGTGTGAGAGAAGTGACTGACCTTCTGATTTTATGGGTGTTAAGTATTGTTGTGCCTATTTTAGTAAACAATTATAGTCACTTCTTAATGCCAAAAAGGAGCTTGTGATGCCACAAAATGTTAGTAAATCCGTGGTGTTCTTTCTTGAGTACACTGAGCTGCCCAATCACAATGCATTAGTGGCAGTTGGAAAAGATGCAGTGGTGCTTCACAGTGTCTCAGAAAAAGCATGTGCTAGCCTATGCCCTCTCAACTTGATAGCATCTTTATGGGGAAGACTAGCTAGCGGGCAAGTAGGAATTAGCCATGACCAAACTACAAAATAGCATATATAATAATATAATATAATAGCAAAATAGGATCAAAAATGATCATGAAATAGATTTTTTTGTCTGTATCACACAGTTTTAGTCTGTGCTGCGTTCACAAATACTGGTGGCTAAGGTTAGTAGACTGCCCTATTTCAGTGCGAGTAAATAGGCCAAGTAAATACTGTTACGTTTTCATGTGCATGTATGCTAAGCCTTTCCACTGACTACCACACTGAAGCTCAAGCTTACGATAAAAAAAATGATGGTTTGTGCATGGTATGTATTTTATTCACAGAAAGCCCAAATACCTAAATAATAAGAGGATGTGGTCAAAACTAGGAATGACAGATGTGCCATCATTTAGAGGAACTGAGAGTGTTGTTTCTTTCATTTCTTTGATGCACTAAAATGATGTTGCGGTTTATTCAGTGGTTGATGTTTCACAGAACTGATTGCAGAATGTTCGGTCCTGAAATGAGAGCCCTTTAATGAGGTGGCTCCAATGAATACTTGTGGCGTGTGATCAAACACGGCCACAGCGGAAGCCTGAGGACAACTCGCAACGGAACAGTGCGCTCATGTTTGTGCGTGTCTTTCAGGCTCTGGTTAATTCAGTCTGTTAATCCAAAATCATTTTCCAGTCTTCAATTACTGAGTGCTACACCCAAAGTGGGACATACATAGCTTTTAAAACTGAGCATGTCTCTGGGATACTTCTTAAGCTAAAATGATGTAGTTATTTGCTTGTGCACGTTAGCATAAAAACAACGTCTGAATATGATATTTCATTGTCTGCTAGTATAACATACATGAAAAAAATAAAGGACATGAGAATCATTGGAATGAGATTTACTATACATAATGGTTGAACAATATACACTATATGTTAATAATTTTTGTGATAATGGTCTTTGTGATACTGATATCGAGAAGGCTATGACTTGTGAATAAAGTCTCTAATAAATTTAAAGCTGCAACAACAAATTGATATAAATAACATCAGTAATAAGAAAATAGTTGATAATGAATCTTGTTATTTGTTAGTTTGACAATGCTTACACTCCCATTCCAAGCGATGCTTACACATCACTTCATTAACATATTCCATATCAAACACATGCAAACATCATTTTAACATCATTTAAAAACATGATTTCCGGTAAACTATGTAAAATCAAGCTCACCAGGCACGGCTGCACGACTGTATCATGTGAGTATCTTAACAAACTGCATCCATGGCAAAAACTCAGCGTGGTGAGTAAAAGATAGTCATTATGAAGTTTATCAGCTAACTTTGTTTAAATTTAGTAAACAGAACAATAAACTACTTTGTCTGAAAGGATGAGTTACATTTTGTGCTGTTCCGTTACCATGGTTACGTACTGAAAACGTATTTCAGTCCTCTGCTATTTGGCCTCCTGATCACTGAACAGCATTTTAGGCCACTGAAAACTTGCTGAGGTTTTTTAAACGTTTTCTTCTTTGATGACCAGGCAGTAATATCAGGTATAATCACGTTATGATAGTAACCACCAAGTTGCTAATCAGTTTAGTTTTGTTTTAGAACTAACATGCTGTCACAACAATACTTGGACTGCCATATAAGCAGTTGAAGTGGTTGGTACAGTGTAGTGGGTAATACCACAGCCCTCTGCACAGCAGACTGGGATTTGATTCTCTCCTCGGGCAAGAATGCCATGCCACACCAATAAGAGTCCCGGGGAAAAAACTCCTAATGCTGCTTTAGCCTACAACTGTAACATTATTAAACTGTAAGTTGCTCTGGATAGGAGTGTCTGACAACTGAATGAATGTATAATTGTTTATCCGTTGTCCATTCATTTTTTCTGCACTATTGCTCCACACCGATCTAAAACAGCATTTTCAAGAGTAATGCAGAAAATCTGTCGTTATGCATTTCATAAAAGCCCTTCTCATCTTTTTGCAAATATGTAGAAGATATGGTAGTTTTTTAAAGGTGGAAATAGCATCGTGCAAAAGGAAGAACGATTCTTGTATGTTTCATTTTCTTAAATGAAACACTGTGTATAAAGTGTAAATATTTAGTGTTAATTATTGACAAAATAATGCAGCCCCATCTTCAACCATGTCACATTACTGATTCACTAATGAGTTTTTAATATATTGCACTGTGTATTAAAATATGTAGCAATATAACTGCAATAATATTTTGCCTATTATTGTGCAGCCCAACTGCACATATTAGGAATACTATGAATGTGAGACACTGACAGAAAGTACCTTATGGACAATAAGCTCGTGGGTGCCATCAGGCAGGGTCCGCCCATCTTCCTGCATCAGGGGAACGAAGGAGAAGCCGAACAGCTTCTTCTCCCCTTTGTCTTTCGCTGGAAAACACGCACAAATCACATTATATTACTATGATGTCAATAACTTTGACATCATTCTCCTCCTGCACTGCATGTTTAATACCACGTGTAAGCTTTGTATTAGAAACTTCATGATATATTGCTTCTGTTGCTTTAAAAAGTGAAAACACTGATTTGCTGGACAATTGTGAACTGCCAATACTGTTGTGTATACAATTGAAACAGTGACTGAACAGTGAAAATGCAGGAGTGGAACCCTAAGTGTTTGATGTTATGTGTGTCTACCTTAGTGCCTTTACATACTATGAAAAGGCCAATGACAGCAAGAATAGAAATACAATATTGAGCCTGATAAAATACTTCTTTGAAATTTAGTCATATCTAAATTCAGTTACACTACATTAGGGCTGAATCATTTGGGGAAAACATCTAATTGCAATTTTTTTGACCAATACTGTAATGTGATTATTTTCTATAAATTAAGCTCCAAGGTTGTTTTTTTTCCCCCAAAACTACCAACATATCCATTTTCTAGGTCTGAGGCTTGAACTCTGAGGGTAGCATGCCAGATTCCTCACTTAAAACTTAAAACAACTTTCAGTACTGTAGGATATCATTACGTTGGCTTGACAAACACCTTAGCAACCACCTGGGCCGCCACAGCAATGGCCTAACAACACCTTAGCAGCCACCTGGGATCGCACAGTAATGGCCTAGCAACACCTTAGCAACTATGTGCGATTCCAACAGCTTTGTCAAGCTAACTTAAAAGTTTGTTCATTAACTTTCCCCTTATAGTTAAAAGTACAGCTCTTGGCATTTAAAAAAAGCAATCCTTCAAATTGCAATTTCCATATAATCTATATAAATGATTAAACGTTCAGCCCTAAACTTCTGTCTAAAAGTTCATATACACCTGCTCATCCAACATTCTTGTGAAATCAACTGTATTAAAAGGGGATTTGTCCTTCTTCTACTCTCCTGAGGGGGCTTTACAATTGAGGTTGGAACATTGCTGTGAGGATTTGATTGCATTCAGATACAAGAACATTAGTAAGGTCAGGTGCTGATGCTGGATAGTTCTGGATCACAAAATCCACTCCAACTCCTCTCATAGGGATTCGATGGAGCTTCATCACTCTAAAGAACATAGTTCCACTTCTCCACAGCCCAGAGCTTTGGTGTTTATACTGAGGCTTGGCATGGGGCATGGTGACCTTAGGCTCACGTCCAGATCATCCCATTCTATTGGCAGGTTTTCAATGGACATTATATGCTCTTTGTAAGCAACAGAACATTTGTGTCAACAAAAAATAGCTTGAAGTAGCTGAATTCACTAATTAGAAAAGGGGTCTGGGTACTATTTGTTGTGTTTGTCTGAGATCTAGACTAAGATTACAGGCTTTCCTTTTAGCTTCATCATTAATCCATGCCCAAATTAAGGGCCTACTAGAGACATACAGTCTCTGGAGAGCCTTGCTGTGGATCTTACACTGTCATTCATGTGAAGCAAATTGAATAATGTAATACAGGCATGCTTCCCTGTATGCCTTAGGGCTAGAGAGAAAGACAGTGCTTTCCTACAAAGAAATGGTCAAGTTGCTACAGATGAGCTTACTGATGAATGTTGAAGTGTGTGATGCACACAGGAATGCTATACTCATACACAGTACTGCACAAACTGAGAGACCACCCATTTCCACTCAAGAAGGCAACTAAAAGCCTCAAAAACTAAGTATAATACCATTTTTTCCCATATACAGTCTGTCTACCCTTCTCCTTCATCCTGTTCTTTTCAGGAGGTTGGTTTTCTGTTTTTCAAAGAAATATTTAACATTAAAATAAATAAATCTTGGTGTATTGTTTTTAATTGGTTATACTGCAGTACTAATGTATATGTTAATTTCTGCCATGCCCTGTCTGGACTAACGACCTGTCCAGGGTGTTTCCTGCCTTCTGCCCAATGAGCGGCTTAGAAAATGTGTGTGTGTTCTAGTACTACAATAAACAGAGTCTCCAGTCATGTCTGCTTAGTCAGTGTATTTTTAAAAATCATTCTGAATTGTACCAAAATAAGAATCAATAATCAATCCAGAAATCACAGTAAAAGCTGAGGTTTCATGTTTTCTAAAGAACCTTAACCTAATCATGTGTGAGAGATTTGCACTGTTAGTAAAACAGTGTCAGGCCTTCTTACTGGAGCAGTGGCGGAACTCGAAGCGGACGTGTGATCCGCGGAACATGTCCACTGGGATGGGTAGCTTGATCTGCTCGGTCCAGCGCGGGCTGTTGTTGTGGTACAGCACGAATGAGTGATACTCATCTGCACCTGGCTCGCCTGAACCCGCTGCTACATAGCCCTGTGGAGCAACACACACACATTTGCATGCACACACACATACACACACACAGAGTAAGCAGGTCAATGTGTGGCAGGCTGCCCATCAGCGCTTATGTTCAATTTGTCCGCACAAGCAGGAAAACCACAAGCCATCAACAGCTCCATCTGCGTGTGGTTTCACAAGTATGAGGCAGAACAAAATAAGCGCATCACGGTGGCTCAGATTAGCTGCACTGACACAGTGTAATATGATTTTAGCATTGTGTGCCTTCAGAAACAGCCCTGACTCAGAAGGCACTCACATTATCTTTTTACACTGGTACATTCTGTACCCACAAAATACAGTTTGGTGCCCTCACATTAGCTGGAGCAGTTCAGGTCACTGCCAGCCAAAAGCATGCCGTTACTCCTGTTAAGACTCATTACAGAATTAAAATGTTGACTGAACATTAGTGTTAAGTGATTTATCCATCCTCCATTTACAAATGCGTTGCACATGGCGTATAGCTCAGATTTTGTCAAGCTACAGACATTTGGACTAATTTATAACTTTCAGATCATTTGTTTTGTGTAAATGATAGACTGGGAGTAGTGTTTTTTGATGTGTAATCTAGATAACATTAGCATGGTGGCAAATTTTCTGTTGCCTAGTTTCACTTAACTACAACAAAGTAGTCCATCTCAGTGGTATTTCAAACATCAACATAATGTGGCAAAAAAATCAACATAATTTAGCAAATCGATACCAGGATCGCTACAATTTATCACAAGAAATTGTTCAAAGTTCAAAGAAATTTTTGCCAATGTTCAGTAAAACTTGTCCAACCACACAACAGTCGCTATAAAAGAAGGCCTTTGTGGGCAGAACACAGACAGATCAATCCTCAGTGGTTTAATAATAACCCAAGTAAGTTAATTACCCTGAGAATCTGTCCATCCACATCCAGTGCATATACAGTGATCTCCACATTTCTGGCCACAGTCTTCCCTCCCTTCTCAAACTCTCCTTTCTCCAGGGTGATGTACAGATCATTCCTCATCTCCCCTATGAGAAACCAGACAGTTCACAGTTATTACTGGATGCAAACGTTGCTGGAAGAATATGAAGGGAAAATTAAAAACAAACAGAAACGCATTTTCACACATTGTCACTTTCATAAAAAAAACTGTATATTTCCAAAATGGTAACTTTACGTAAGAAAGAAATAGACAATTGTTTCATTCTTCATTAATTTTTTAAATTAAATAAGGGCAGTAGATGTTTTTAAATCCACGTAAAAATAATATGAGGATGATATACATTAGAGATGTATTATATATAGATGTATAAATGTACTACTTGGAATTACCCAGCTTTCTGGCTTTCAAAATATGAATATTTGTTCAATAAAGACAGCACTGTACAGTGTGTAATGTGCACATATTTATTATTGTGGCTCACCTAAAGATCATATCACATTTTAGGACCCACTCAAGCAGGTTTAAGTGGGTTCACAAACCTTTTAGCACAACTGTAAGAGAATCTACATTCAGTGAGTTCTGTTAACCTCATAAAATCTATGCTTATTATTCCATTATTAATAAATAGTTACTACTTTGTAACTGCTGTAAATTATTTAGTATCTGCTGTGAAATACATAAGTTATTTAGTTCCGAGGGTCTGGACAGAACACAACTGCAGTTTAAAGCATTAGGCCTAAAGGGGAATTCCACCAATTCTTAAAAGAAATTTTGGATAATTCAGTCACTGAGATGTGTACATTCCTTTATAACAGTAGTGACAGGAACCAGGGGTAATGGTAAATATGTAACGTATATTGATAATGGTTAAAAAGTGGTACGTTTTATTTGTTTTCCAACACTTTGCATGTAGCATTCCACAATGAATGGATTTTAACCCCTTACCAAGCCATGTTTTACTACACACTTCAATAATAAAAGCTCCATTAGTTTGCACTGAAGTCCCTGTAGTTCATGAATAATAAGCCTTAGTATGTAATACGTCTGGAATGTTAAGGGGTTAAAAAATACCTTTCAGGCCAAAGCTTTCTCCATACCTTTGTAAAACAATGTATTAGGCATCAGGCAACATATTCATAACCTTTGAATGTAAGTTTTTAGCAATGTAGCTTTAAGACACATTAAAGAGGAATTTCTCAGATTTTTTAAAATTTCTGTATAATTCTTAAGATGTTAGGATGTAAACACAGTCATTCAAAATGTTCTGATGTGAAATGCTCCATTCTAGAGGAACCTTACTGATAGGACCCACACATCTGGAGAGTCTAAAACTTCTCTATAGCATAAAATTGCTATGAATACTTTGCCTGATGCCCAAGACATTGTTTTAAGTTTGTTCTGAAAGAACTGATTTTAGACAGTAAATATAATATCTATTTTGTGTTGGAGACATTGTAAGTCAGTAAGATTCTCTAAAGCAGAGCATTTCACATCAAACTGCTCTCAATGACTTTGTTTATATTTCAATAACGGAATTATGCAGAAAAAATAGATGAAATCCCCCTATGAGCTCTTCAGACTTCTGGTTTCTACCACTACTGCTGTGACTAAATCTGGCTTGGTAAGTTTGTCTAGAACAGAGCAATTCACATTAAACCACTGTGACTGATTTTGTCAAAGTCTTCACTATTTAATTATGCAGAAATTTTGAGAAATTGGTGGAGTTCCCCTTTAAAAGACAACATGTCAGAAATGTAACACTGACTACAGATTACAGTCAGGGTTTTTCACTGGGAGTGTAACAAACACATGAGTAATAAATGCTTTCAGGTCAGGCTCAGTGCAATTTCAGAGTAGCAAAACTATGACCAACTTCCACAGGCTGCTATTCTGTGTGTATTCTATCATACTCTGCAGTGAGGCATAGGATGCACCTGTTGACAGAACTTGGTGGAGCTCTTATAGGTCATTGTGGTTTGTGTGTGTGTGTGTGTGTGTCAGTACTTGGACCTACTCCTCATACTTCCTCAGTACACACACACTCATTTTTACAGACAGGAAGAGGGCCTCCGTTATCACACCTTCAACTGTTCTCATCACCCATCCACACCTAAACACAGACTGAAAATGCTGCACAAGCACTGTGTCTGCACAAAGAAACAAGGTGAAAGCATGAAAGCATGCTGCAGGTCTTTGAGCCCACTGCTACTAACCTACTGCACTTCAGCAACAGCATAAAAGATCAGTGAGCAGAGCTTTAATCTGGCCTGGAATTTTAGGCTGAACATGAATATTCATCTTTTTCATGTGACACCACTGAATGTGCTGTTTAATGTGAGAAAAGGGATACAGAAATGAGATGTTTTATTGTATTCCTGTATAAGCTTGGTGACATGACAATGTTTAATTGCTACACTAACATTAACGTTTACTGTGCAAAAGCTGTCTAACTTATCAAACTGATCAACACAATCAGCACACACGTTACCCTGAGGCTGGTCCACACAGTTCACTACCTAATCCACTTAATGCTACAAAATACATGTAATCCCACTACATGATTTTTTTTTATTCTGTTTCTAGATAACTTCACATCTCTCTTGCTCTCATATAGCATTTTTTCTTGCTTAAATCCATACAGCTCGCCTACGCAACAATGAAGCAGCAAAGTCAGCATCTTACTTTTCATAATGTTCAGGCTTGTTTTTCTCAAAAGACACTTAGAGGAGAACACAAACTAATTGCGTCATCAGATACACAGACGCTCTCGTTGTCTAGCCTCGCACTAAGTGAAGGGTGGGAGAAGCAGGGCCATCTAACCCACCCCAAGAGGGCAAAGCCTATTATGCTCTCTTAGAATCCTGGGCACAGGTGACTGAGGCATTGCTGCTGATGAAACTTGCTATCTCCATACGGTAGGATGAATGCTCAGGCCTCATGGGTCAAACAATTTGAGAAGTTACGTCAAAACCTGACTGAGCCTAACTGAACAGTCAGATCCTGTCTGGTTCAGACAAATAGCAGCAATATTCAATTGAAGAGAAGGCGTTTTTCTAGGTCTGCTGCTTTGAAATGCAGTAATTACAGGCCGGGCGGCTGCATGCATGGGTGGCCCAGACCGTTTCATACAGCATAGATTAAAGAGGCAGACTAGTAGAGGCAGCAGAGCACAGGGCAGTGTGCAACTGCCTTTTATAAATAGCTTTTGGAGAAGCAGACCAATGAGGCAACAGAGCATCTGCACAGGAGACGGCAGAAAACACTTCCGTTGCTTCGGCCAAGCAGATCAGGAACTGTGTGTGTGTACGCACACTTGGACTGAGTGTGTGTTCTCAGTTGGACATCTCAGTTTGACGTCTCTCACTGACTGAGGTTAGTCCTGTCTGAGCTACCCTGAGCTGCCTGAATTTACCGCCACACCAACCGTTGCTGGGGAAACAGACAAATCCTTACAGTAAAAACTGAATATGTTTCTAAGATGAGGGGCAGGCATTGGTTTCTGAGAAGGAATGGAAAAACAGCACATGCATACGCAAAACGCACAGACACACATATGAATGAGCAGCCTGACAAACACTTTCTGGAGGGACTCACTAAAAATACAGCAAGCAGACTGAGGGCACGCTTATTTCCAGTTGAGATACGATCATATGGAGAAACCCTGCAGCTCCAAAAAAAAACCAACAAAAAAAAATCTGAACTGGCTACATACAACCGTATGCAAACGCCCATAGTGAAATTCTGTTGATTTTCAATGTGAAAACAGGTTAACACATCCTCTGCAGGGAACCAAGTTGTGATATTTTTTGTCAATCACTGAGTCAGGAGCCGTGCGATGGACTGCCGACCTGTCCAGGGTGTTTCCTGCCTTCCACCTGATGACTGCTGGGTTAGGCTCCAGCTCCCCCCGCGACCCAGAAGGATAAGCGGCTTATAAAATGTGTGTGTGTGTCTCACATATATTAAAATATGGTGTGTGAGCACTGAGGCAAGTCACCTTGTATAGCCTGATTAAATAATTTAAAAGTCAAAGGTGTCAAGGAGGTTTTTTAAACCATTTCATACATCTTTACGTTTTAACGTCATGCGCACAGGCTCAAAAAGAAAATCCGACTCAGTGTTTAGGTCATAAGTCTATATTAAACTAATGAAGTTCTGATAGCAATAGTAGATAATTTAGTCACATCCTTAGAGGACACGTCTTTTACCCAATTTTGTTATTTAAATTTTCTTTCTGTACTCTTTCAATGCGCTCGCAAACATCAGATTCATCTGCTGAGGGAAGGGGTTTGAAGCATAACCGACACTACAAAATGTTTTTCCACACGTTGTGTACAATAACATATTTCCACCAGAGAGGTCTCCAACACATAGTGTAGCTTTAAATATGTCATTTTAGGGTATATATTTGCATTTGGCCCAATTTCTATTTATTTAGTTTAACATATTGGAAAAAATGAACATAACATATAAAATGAGCCATAACTTCTGCACCGGCCATAATTTATGCTTTTATCATCAGTATGCTAAATTCATTCTACATGTTATTTATGAGAACTGTGCATGTTAAATATGTGCTCTTTTCATAATTTCATTAGCTCAAGTTAATGTAGATGCAGTTTCAGAACTTTGTCTGCCTTGACAACACTGTGTTACAAATCTACAGCTCAGTATGTCCTGCCGACAAAAGTCATTTATTATTTGAAGACTATATGGGATTTGTTATACAATACTTTTATTGTAACCCCAATCAACCCTAACTTAATACAGTGAAAGTTCAAATGTGTCACCCAGTTGCACTTGTGTTACATCCACAATTCACAGGGTCTTGTGGGTGCAAACACAAATAAAGAGAGATTGTATTGTGCAATACAGAGTGTAGTGTACTGTAACGAGACAACTGTTATGACTGCATGTACCAAAACAGAAGACTTCAGCATTTCTCACCTGGCATGATGACATCAGAGAAGCCCAGTTTCCTGGTGATAGACACTCCTCGTGTGAAAATGGCCATGTACTCCCTCCGCAGCTGCTCAATGTCCCCATGGAGTAGCTGGAGAGCCACTGCAAGTCCTGGACAGACAATGAGTATATTATTACACACACATCCAACACCAAACCATACTGTTTTTAAAGGGCCCTCATCCTTCATTCTTTGTTTTTTTCCCTAATAAAGTTGTAGCGTCTCCAGTAACAACACTCCTTTCTTCCTCAATGCGAATGAGTATGATTAACTGCTGTAAACTGAATGTGCAGTCAAATGTAAATGTGCTCATGGATGTGACATCACAACTGTGCTCTAATCAGGTTGTTTTTGCAGCTTAGTATCCATACATAGACCTTTCGGACTGGGGAGTTAAAAGTAAGTTTGGAAACTTTAACAATATCTACATAGCATATCAAACTCTAAAAAACTGCCAAAATTAGAGCTCTAATAAATTATTCAAATTTCCTCTGTATGTTCAGTTTTATAAGGTTCTTAACCTTTAAAATCCCAGGCTTGTTACATACTAAGACTTATTATTCAGTAACTACAGGGACTTCACTGCAAACTGGTTGAGCTATTCTTAGGTTATAGAAGTATATAGTAAGCCTGGCCTGTTAAGGGGTTAAACTCCAGTCCTAGCTGGAAGAAATACTGCACAGAGCAGCTTTTTCACAATCAAGAACACTTGATTCTACTCAGCTTTTACAAACCAAGCTGTATAAGATGTGTTTTTAAGCTATAGCCCTACTATACCTATAAAGAATCAGAATTTGAGAATGGCACATTAACAAATCCCAGAGGAAATAAATATGCTAAATAAGATCTCCTCTTATTTCAAATACTTAAGAAACAACCTTGGGTTTTCTCACTTTGATCAAAATGTTTTCTCACAGATGGCTTAAGTATTTTGTGTCTGAGGCATCTCACCTCAGTCTTAGCTGAAAAAAAAATCTTTAAGAAAAGTGTGATCTCATTATTTTCTTATACACAGTTAAATGCAAAAGTTTGGGTGCCCTGGTCAAATACTGTTTTGTTGATTTTCTAAGTGAAAATAAGTTAACACATCCTCCACAGAGAACACACATCTGCACATTTAAAAGCACAACTACTGTTTAGTTGCTGAATTTGGCATACTGGGGGGGGGGGCAGGGACTGTAGAAAAGTTATGGCACATTTTGTATTATAGGTTTTATTTTTTCCAATATGTAAACATAAATTGTGCACTAAAAATGCCATATTTAAGTTTGTTCCCTGCAAAGGATGTTAACAAAACATGTCATTTGACCGAAGGTATTCAAACGTATGCATACGACTGTGGCTCTCTTCTAAATCTGCTGCACAATAACTAAGGCCATGCTATGTGACAGGCTCTCCTCAGCTTCTTCATATGCTGCAGTTGACTGAGGTCAGAGCTGCTTTTGTTAAACCACAATGCACCATTTTTCTGACATTTTTCAGGTTTTATTAGTACTTGTAGAACACCAAGTGCATGTATCATAAAACAGATATTAGTTTTCTTTATAGAGAGACTTTACTTTCCATTATGGAGAGCCTGAAAACAACAACCGGATTATAGTCACTGCACAAACTGCACAGGATTGGGTGTTAGTTGTTTATGTCATTATCTTATTTTATTAGTTTGTTTTTTTTTCACTAGTTGTTTGATTTTTCCTTCTCTTCCTTCTTAAGCAGTTTATTGCTGCAAATGTTGTATTATGAACATAACAGTCCTCGTAATATCCATTTTTCCTAAAGCATTTTGGTGCATTTTGTTTTTTTTGGTACTGTCAGTTCCAAAAAAACTTAAATATCATGATACATATCTTGTCTTGCGAAAATGTTTTCAAGTATCATGATGATATTTCTGCTATATCGCCCACTCTCACGGTAAACACGAAGAAACCTCTATCAAATCTATGACAAAGTAGCAGTGCAATCAATTACAATATTACTATAATAAATCCCCAAAGCAAATGCAACAGTAGACACAGCTGCAGTGCAATGATAGCAGAGTTCAGCTCCACTTTCTCATCAATTAGAGCACAGAGGTTTTCCCTTTCAGTGTGTGGAGCAAGTCTGGGTTTATGAATAACCAGTAAGGGGAGGTTTCTCCCTCTGGGTTAGGTGTATTGCACTGAGCTGAAGGCATGACTACATTCTCTTTCATGTGCTTCAGTCCCACAGCACATGCGCCCACACACACACATACACTCTGCCAGCCTCCTTGACTATGCCAGGGCCAGGGTTACAACTGTTCATTAGCATTCTGCTTGGCTCCTCAAACCACCCAATACTTCCCAGATGCTCTACACCTCAATGCACTGAGGAGGCCAACTGATAGCGCTCACTGTCAGTATCTGGTAGCTCAACTGATCTCTAGTTGCCACATAAACTAACAAAAATATTAGGGCACCTTGTTAAATTAATAAATTTAGTTACTTTAAGGTGCACCCAAGGCTGACACAGGTATTCAACACACAGCACGTATAATCTCCACAGCATTGCCAAAGGCCACCATGTTCAATGCCAAGTGTTGACTGGAGGGGTATAAAGCCCCCCAGCATTGGGCTGTGGAGCAGTGGAACTGTGCTCTCTGGAGTAATAGCACTCCATCCTCTGGCATTAGGTGTCTTGGGCTGAGACTCCATTTCGATAACATTATCTTTGTACTGGACTATAAAAAGTATTATGACTATGAACTGCTGCTGTGCGGTCACTATACTCCTCTATGAGCTGGAAGCTCTATCTAAAATGCAGTGGGTTGTACACAGGTCAGTATAAACTATGTACTGAGAACCTCCCACTCATTTTCCAACACAGTTTGTCTTAGTGTAATTGTAATGAATGCAGATGGTTTCACAATGAGCGCAGAAAATTCACCATTTTGCTTTAAAACGCCTTTTTTCAATGGGAAGCACAGATTTTCTGAATCCGCCATGGCCCATGCGTAGGGTCATCTAAGGTTGAAATGTTTTCAACTTCTGCACAATGCACAAAAATCTCAGAACAGCTAATAGCAGAGCACTGGGTGTGTCTGATGTAATTCCTCTTTCTGTTGTACACCAAAACACTTCCTCGCCCACTTCTGCAAAAAAACTATAGAGCACAGCGCATATTGCATACATACATTTACTGTAACATGCTGTCTACACTTTCCATACTGTACCTACTCTTCTGCTAGTGTGTGGGAGCTGATTTGAGTTTGGTATTTGAAGATAAAGTACTTGTTCACTGGAACGAGTGATAGTATAGGCAGGCAGTTCGCACTATCCTAATTACACTTCCATTGCTTGTTAGCTACATTAGCCTAATTCAAAAGCAAACTTCAGACACCAGACATGTCTTGCTTGATTGACTATATTTACAGTTATGGGAAAACTGTCAAACTTTGCCCAAACCACCACCTTAACTGAGGAACAGCAGACACCAGTATCACCACAACAGTGGTGCATGTTCTTGTCCTGGGCTTTGCAAAGAGTTTCACTTCTTTTTTATAGCTGTTAATGTATGACATAAGGATGTCCAAATTGAGCAATTTGTTGACACAGCAATTAAATGCGGAAAATGAGGTGGGTTATGCTTTCCTGAAGTTTACTTTGGGCTTTTGCTGAATCACAAGCTAGGGGACAGAGGGAGTTACCTTGGTGATTTCCAGCCTACAGTAGAACAGGCTTCTTGGGTTGGAAATTAGCACCATTAAAACAAATTGCCTTATAAACTTAAATTAATTACACCACAAACTTTTATTCAATCAAATAGAATCAAAATATGCAGACTTTGTAATCTCAACATAAAAATCTACTGCAATTACTGGATCCCCCACTTCATCATTGTAGGGGTAGGTGATGATATTTATCATTATCATGTCAAACTATGTCACATTACATCACTATATTCTTCTCTGAGAATGCTGTGGATATCATCAGTACTAAAAGAACAGTGACAAACGGTATGGTTCATTACAAAGAGAGCATAATTAGTTCAACTCAACTGGATTTAGTGCAGCGCAGTAGATGTGGGCAATATGGTAAAAATACAATATCACGATACTTGAAAATGTTTTCACAATACACAATGCATATCATGATGTTAGGTTTTCATTAAGTGGGAAAGATAAATTTGATAAGCTAGAACAGACAAAAAAGCCCCATAGGTGCCACATTAAAAAACTGTCATTCAATGTTTCACTCCATACACTGCACCAAATCCAATGAAATGAATGCCATGGCAGTTGGTCTGTGTTTTTTTAGGTACTGACAATATTCTTGATATGCTCAGAAATGCATATTGTGACATTATTTATCACAATAACAATAAAATATTCTCAAATTTCCCACACCTACAGTGCAGTATATGAAACACTGAATGAAAGTCATTGCATTCAATGTCTTTGATGTTATTTTTTTAAATGTGGCACTGATGCCTATGCTTTTTTATCTGTTCGAACTTTTCAAACCTCAAAAAAAAAATAATATTGTGATGCAGATCATGTATGGTAACAATGTTTTGAAGTATCACAACGTTTTGCCATATTTCCCACTCCTAACTCACTGTCCATCACTACATGCTGAAAGCAGCCATTGATCGCAGTCTACACTGGGGGAATAGTCCTAATTTATTCTGAGAATCCAAATGAAAAAGAGTGACTTGACATGGCCAGTGCTCAGGCTGATCGATGACCCTATCTGGCCATGAGTCTCATGTTCTACAAACGCTGTTTAAACACTCTGGGCATGGAAGAGTCTGTCTGAGAATAATTCAATTACTGACTGATATAAAACCTCTATTAATCGTGCAGCCTGATTCAGTGCTGTTACAGAGAGAAAACATAAATAACCACACACACTCACACACACATATAATAAAGTGCCCAGACACATAAATACATCGGTGCAGCCATGCAGTCATTGTGAAAAAAAAAAAATACACAGATTTTAAGCACTACATCTTAATCATTCACCTCCAATATCCAGTAAAAACTTAATTCAATTCAAATTCACTATTTAATAGCGTTAATAAGCCCCAATAATCTTGTTCCTTTAACCACCACAGCATAAGTGCTATAATAACCCAGCATGTAATAATATGTTGGGGGATTAATCTAACAGCACTGAAATGGACGATAAGTGTTTATCACTCCACTTCTATGAATATGATCTTCTCGCGACGCCTCTCCCCAGCCATCGTTTAATAAGAATTCATAGAAATTTCTCACCCATCAATTCCCATTTGCAGAAATCATATCTTCATTTATTCAGGAGGAATCTTTCATTAGGGATTTTGTGGGACATTATGCTTGCGCGAGTTATTGTTCGTTGCCAGGCGCGTGCTGCACATCACTGCGGATAAGGCCGTCGAGTAAATGACTTTGTGTCAGTCATGGTAATTAATGTGTTCCCTCACACTGCTTGCGATTATTCAATATCCGTCATTTTTCTGACGCCATGTGCGATTACGAGCTCTTTCGAGAGACAGCAGAAATCGCATGAGGCTGCAGATCTTTCCAAAAGATCTGCCCCCTGCATCCTGTATCGAAATCCTTTAAGCTGTCTTTGCATTTCTTCTCTTTTCTTTCTGCTGCTGTGAACATACACAGCCTATAAAAATTTAATTAGTATAAGCAGACTTGACCCTGAGGCTGCTTTCAGGCAAGCTCCCATTCAAAATCATTACAAACTAGCAATCAGACAAAATTAAGCTTCTGTGAGAGCTGCAGCACTTCCTACTAGGCCATTAAGTCATATATCAAGCATTAATACAGTACACATCTGTCACGCTGTTGCCAGGAAAAGGCGCTGCTGTGTAAAGACCGCTTTATAAATAGTGTTTGGATATAACATTGTAATACCTTAAAATATACAACATGTATTTCATTTTTCGGAGAAGTCAGGATGGAAAAAATGCACCAGCAAAACTGATACCACATTTGAAAAAAGCTGCAATGTGCAATGTGCACTGTTTTTATTCAATGCTTGTGCAAATAAACTATTAACTATAAGAGTACAACTATTTCAGTACAGTATCAAAAAAAACAGTGTATCGAAATTCAACACTGTATTGACTATGTGCCTCTCAGTCTTTTCTGAGGATCTGTTATCTACTGTCTTTTGATGAAGCTATTGTCAATGACCAAAAAGAGATATCTGGGTGCAACCGATCAGAGTAGAGAGGGCAGGAGGAGGTGGGGTTATATTATGCATGCACCCACACTTCAATGACTGGGCTTTTTTTTCGATAGTGGCTTATAAATTCTAGGAGTTGTGATTTTTGGAGCTTATCTTCTTAGATGCAGGTGCAGCAGGTATTCAAACAGTTCTATTTGAGAACTCTTCTCTTTTATTAATCTGAGCCAAACCACACGTATACTATACACAGACATGGATACACATCAGCAGTTAAAAAGGTGAGATGTTCAGAATTCAGTTCCCTCTGGTGGCATTGTTCCCATTAGAAAATTTTAGTGATCTTAACATGAAATTCTGGTGCCCTCTGAGAACAAATACAGGGGTAACTGCTATGGAATGATTTTTAAAATACAAGCCCTAAACCTGTACTGTGAGTATTTTGATTTATTTTTTTTTAAATTGTTTATTTGTTAAAGAATCTGTTGCTCACCATACCAAGATCAAGAAGTCAGTGTGTGCCAAATTTGGCAGAAAGGTCTGGCCCCACAACAATTATAAATAGAGGTTACTCTATCTATCTTTGCCCATCATTTGTGTTCTACTAGCTCTATAATGACACACAGTGCTTGGACCCCAATGATTACCACTTGTGATGTAATTTGTAGATGGCTGTTAAGCTCTCATAGTGGTTACAGTCCACAGAAATTAATCAATTTGAGACAAAAACTAAATGAAAGCTGGTTGTCTTGGTTGCCAGCAATGAAAATTTACACTGTAATTTTTTTAGCTCTTCAAGTCTACACAATTCACAATAATGGAATATTCAGCATTTAAAACAGCAAATTTTGTATCATAATATTCCCCACCACTATTTAAAAATCGGAGCTAGAAACACTACAAAAGGGTGGGTACAATGTTCTGCTTTGTCACAGTGTATGATCATACAGTTACCTCAACATTAACTTTTCCAAAATACAGATTTAAATTAATTTCCATCTGTTTCCCCCTGCGAGTTATAGCTTCCTTAAACTAGTGGTTCTCAGCCTATTTTAGCTACGAGCCTCTCCATCTCAACTCTCCTTGAAAGACACTAGAGCAGCACCCTTCATATTTCGGCACGTGCTGGGGATGTGAACTCTGCAGTTCATGTCTGTTGTTGTGTCGCAAAAAAACCTTTGTATATCCATTTTCAATGTTTTTGCCTAATATGAAAACTGCAATTACTATGTGCACTATGTTAAAATTTCATGCTGAATGGACCAACAGAAATGTTCTAAAGTTTCTTGGAAAAAAATCTTGTTACAAATCTTGTAACCATTTTGGAGAGGTTTGTTCCAACAGCGACAATATGCTACATTGCTAGTCAGTAATATCACACACGGTGGCTATCAAACACAAGGTAAAACATGATATTATCAGATATAATAGTCATCTCAATGTTTTTATGTTTTTTTTTTGTGTAGTTACCATGAAAACCACCACCTTAAACAGCACAGCAGCCTACAAATATTTCAGAAAATAAGATCAATTGACATGTCATAAGGGATTAAACCTTTTTGTTTGCTTTTGTGTTTTGTTCACTTTATACACAGAGATTTTGCACTAGAAGACCTCAGAAATAAAAAAAAAGATCTCACAAAATAAAAAATGTTCTGCTCAGAGGATAAATGAACTATTCAAAATGCAAGTTCAAGGATAATTCCAATGTAATATGTTGAAACGAATGCATGTGTGATCATTTTTCCTTTAATTATTACCACCTGCTTATTACCATAACACCTTGAAAACCATAACACTCTCATTCTACAGGAACTTCAGCAGAGCTCTTCACTGCTGCAGACTGGGCGGATAACCTGTGTCAACACTAATTCTGCTCTCACAGATCGTTCAGTCCGTATTTCAGTCATTTCCTGGTATAGATCTGGACGTTGATGCTGGTCTTACCTGTGTTGGACCCTGAGAGGTTATATCTGGAGTTCACTTTCTTAATGATGTTGTCATGGATTTGGTACCAGTCACTCTCTGTGTTGCAGCTGTGATGCAAAAAAAGTATGAGAGCATGACTTTGCATTTATTCACAATGTAATAGACATAGCAGGGCTGCAATTATCTTAATAGACACCAAGTGTGTTTCTGTGTGTGCGTGTTTGATGTGGACAGAGGACAAAATTAAATAGGTTTGTCTGGCCATTTCAGTGCAATGTAGGTCATGCTATTAATGTGTCTATACCAATTTCAATGCCCTGTAGCGGTTACTGTGTGTGCCGTGTGACTTCAGATTCAATACATGTATGTCCAGAGATCTGCCCAGTGGCTAGAGAGAACAGCTTCCCAGTTGCAGATTAAGCCTATGCCTGAATTAAATAGGGATTTTCAGTGTAGAAAAATAATCCACAAAAGGTCAAACTCCACTCAGCAACCTGTTTCAGACACAGTTTGGGATATCTACTGTCTAAGAATAATTAAATCAGTGTTTCCCAACACAAGCCTAAACAGTCCACATGATATACTGCTATCTTTAAAAATGGACTAAGGTACAAATCAAAGTTTCAAGAGCGCTGTTACTATGTGATGTATTTTTGTCCTTTTATATAGATAACAGTATGCTACACATGGTCAGAAACCACATAAGCAAGTCCATTTGAGGTCACTTGACAACTTATGATTATAACTTCTGCTCCACAGCTTCTCCAGGCAGATCAACAGACATTGACTACACGCAGTGAAGCAAAGGCTGCATGGGTTGGTTTGAGTGCAGGAGTGTGTGGGAGCACTGTTGGGCCACTCACGCATAGACCTTCAGGAGGTGGTCATCTTTCGAATCAGCAGTAAGGAGATCAGCAATGCTGACCACTGCACAGCCGAATGGACGTCGGTACTGTACACTACACGTGTTCTTCTTCTCGCCTGCGCCCATACGGCCTACAAAAACACACACATATACAAGCACATGCCCACACAAACCACTCTGAGGTGAGTATCAGATGCCTGAAGGGCAGTCAAGACATTTGCAGCAATCACTACATGGAAACAAAGAAACCAGGGGTGCAGCTTATTCACAAAATGCCACTTTTTGATTATATTGGTATATAATGCACTTGAGATATGTCTTGCGACATATTAAAACATACTGGTGAATCTTGATGTAACATGGTTGAAGATTGACCTTCCCAATTTCCTCGCTAATTTAGAGAGTGAGGCCAATAGCGGTCTCTTGGACTCCTGGCCACGAATGGCTGTGGCATCATCGGGTCACTTGTTAGAGACAGCAATTCTATATTGCAGGCTTCTGTAATTCCAAGGCCAATATCATGTGGATGAGTTACTCCTGGGTTGGCTTTACTCAGTGAAACTTTAGTTGCCTGAAACCTACATTAAACTAAATTACACCCAAGTTGCATAATGTAAAGTGACTTGCAACTCATTTGAAACTCAGCCACAACAGCTGCAAGTTGCTCAACTGTGTGAAAAGGCTTTCATGAAACAAATGCCAATAACAAATAATAAGATTGCATATTAAGACTAGTAAGCAGTAATGAGTCTAATATCGCCACTGATTGACTCCAAGTTGGTAGTTTTTCATTTGAGTCATGACAGCAAACGTGAGCCAAAGTTAACATTCCTGTAACCTGATGTGTAACAGTAACAGCTGTTTAAATGGCTGTATGTGGCCCTTTTTATTCTTCGTTGTTAGTCAACTTTTATTCTAACCTATTTTGCTAGATCTTGATGCTCCCTAAATTTACTTGGAGCTCAAATTCATCCGGGATCCAAAGGATGAAAATTATTATAGAAGGGGAGATAATGAGCTACGACAGGATGAGAAAGACATCAAATAGCCTATAACCGTAACGGCTACTTAAACATTAATTTTCAAAAGCCTAAAATACACATGACAGATATAGTAAAGAACCCTAGATGTATAGATAAAACAGCTATACAGATAAAGAAATAAAGCTGGACAAATATTCTATGATGATAAAATGGTGCAAATATTTCAATGTTTCACCATGTAAAGCCAGCCTGAGAAGTTACTTTTAATGCTGGTAATAACAAAAGCATGGTGTTATTTTTTTAAATGAATTATTTCTCACTCGCAGCTCATTGAAGCAAGTGGAGAAATTCCGTCAGAACTTTCAGTCAATACCATGTTTGTGTTTCTAAGTAAAAGAGGAGACATTTTAATATGTTTTGAATTTTGATTAAAATGTATGTATCTTTGCGAATACCATCTTTGGTGACACTTTATTTAGATGCTTTTAGCTGCTTAACTTACCTTTAAACTTGCAGCAGCTAAATATCTATTAAATTTCCCTTCATTTTTTCAAACTCAAAACCAAGACCTAATCCTAATTTAACCACAACTGTAACTGTAAAAAGTATTACTGTAATTCACTGTGTTAACTTATCATGTAATTAAATATGCAATTTCATAATTACATTTTAACAGTATAGCAAAATAAAGGTAATGATTTCTAAGGGTTAAAAATATATTGTGCAGCACTAAATGGAACACACTTACCTATTCTAATGATGTGAACAACAATATACACATCTTTCCTCAGGTCACCACTCCCCAGGTCCTGCACAAAGACAACAGAGAGAGCTTTAATGAACACAAGGCGCTGTATCAGTGCGCACAGCATTCTCTTTGTGCAATTAGCCGAATTGTTTTGACACTCTCTTTAACACTCACCACAAAAAGGGTACACTGTCTCTCTGTCTTCTCTGGAGACTTGGGCACTCCGTTCTTATTTAGCTTCACAAAGAACCTTTCACTGGAGAAGAGGGAGGCGAGAGGAAAGAGAAAGGAAAGAGAGAATGAGAGACAGAGGGAAGAGGAGAAAGAGACAATGAGGACCAAAGAGGTGCCAAGCCTCCACAAAGCACTCTGTTTTCAGCTGCGGCAGGATGGCATGGTTTTCAAAAACCTCTGAAAAATGAAGCTCCAAAAGAGCCCACAGGGATACACTGCAAAAGATTATATCTATGCAAGTGAATGCATGAGAAATTCAGGCAATATATCTAATATTTCTCACTGAAATTTAAGAATATTATAAGATTATTGAACTTATTTCTAGACATTTCTGCACTTATTTTAAAGGCCCCGTGTTTTTCTACATTTTTATTGTATTTTATGTTTTTTTCTCTGATATCTATTCATGACATCTGTATGATATGACCATTTTCCAACCTCCCTTTATCCCTTAGAATTAAACAGGCACTGTGCATTTAACTGATATGGAAATGGACTCTGTTCTGACTGGCTGCCTTGTGTTCTGCCATATTCAAAAAGCAGTCTGGGCTGAAAATCTCTCTATAACTTCAGCGAGAATGGGTGGGGCTACACTGCCATAGACAGAATAGGTGGAAGCAAGTAAAGGCACTGGTTTTTGTGACATCGCAAAAGTAATTCAGAAGTATCCAATTTACAGCTTAATTCCCATATATAGACTAGACAGACATTTACGCTTTCATTTAAAAAAGTGAGGAAAATTTGTTTTTTGGGTGATATGGCCCCTTTACGCAATTCTATCAGTGATATTTTACTGCACTGGAAAATAATTTTGCTTTTTCAAGGAATAATACTTGAGGGAAGTAAAATTATATTACATTAAGTTGTCCAGAAATTGGCTTACAACAATCTCAAGAGAAATAGGAGTATGGCCTACATTTCAGATGCTGTCACAGTCAGATGTCTCGCTGTTTCAATTATTTAGCGCACATCATTTTGTAAACCAAATCATAAACAATGTAACTGATGGGTCAGAGAAACAACAATCTAATTCGTCTACATCTGATACGCCTGATAAAATATTCATTGAGCTAATGTCACAAATCCCGGAAAGGGTTTTTCAGCACAGATGTCGAACTGTCAAGAAACTGGCACAGACGTCAAGGCAAACAATGCTTTAAAAATAGGCAGGAGAAACAGATAATGACAAGTGCAAATGCAGAGCTCTGAACGCTGCCACAATTCAGATATTCTATTACAAATATTAATGAGCTCACGGCTGCATTGTGATCTTCAAAATGTGAGAGAAACAGAAAAGAAGCTTTGCATAAAACATTAGAAAATCGGTGTGGTTTGTAGGCAGTGCTGTTGAAGTCCTGATTTCCATGTCGCTCTGCAGGGGACTGGTTTAGTAGACAGGACACACACATACACACACACACAGCCCGCTCTCACCAAGTGGCCACATAATCCAGTTACATGACTTTCACAGCAGTGTGATAAGCAGGGGAGAGCAGACTGGTAATGTAGCACAGCTGAACAATGGTTGCAGTGTTGAGATTCATTTAAAGCTCAAAGAGAGACACTTGTATTTTTTCTTTGGACAGTGATGACACATACCTGAGAAAATTTTAATTAAAAAGCTATTTATCTGGTCGTTAAGCACTTGTTTGCCCAGAAAAAACACTAATATTACAATAAATATGAATAATATTACTATAATAAGTAGCTAACCATTTCGAAATGTGGAACCCTAGTATTATGTGTAATTATCATATTATGGCTTGTTTGGCTAATAATTAATACAAATTAATAATTCATTAAGTGGTGGTGATGGAATTTTACAAATCGTGACTGGGTGCAACGAGAAGAAGTCTGGAACCAAACTTTGTTCTTAAAACCAGCTCGCAAGATATGAATTACTTTTTTAAAAGAAGAAAATGAAATTCTTATTCCTTTTTACTGCATTTATGGTTATTTGCATTTATTCTAACCTTCCACACCTTTCCTTATGCAAGTGAAATATCTTATGTCCGATTTCTGGGTGGTCTCTGATTTTTGCACAGTGCTATATACGATCACACACACACACAAACTTACACACACATCAATACACTCAGACACACACTCAAATATGCGAAGTCACAGATATACACACACATTTAAGTGCTAATTAACTGGGCATTGTTGAATTCCCAGCTTTCAATTAAGCTCACAGTCCTGCGTGTCCAGTAAGAGCGCGTCAGTTCCTGCACTGTCACTGGAGGATTTTTTATCAGCCTGCATCAGCAGCCTCATTTCCATTACTGAAACGCATATTCCCTCAGCGCTCCTGCCTCAACCTGATATTTCCTCCTTTGATGTGTGCGATTGTCATGTGAGGCGAAGTGACGGTGGTGGACGCAGATAGATAAATGAAGTGAACTGAAAAGCGATCTCTACACACAGGGCTGCTTATACTAACCATGCCACAAAACAGCCCCGCGGGACGAGAGAGGCCAAGTCATTACCACAAACGCTGTCACCAGTCCTCATACATCATCACTGCCATAAGAAAACCTCCTGACTCTTTTCAGTTTATATTTTTTAAACCAGCTATAAGAGCCAGCCCTTAGAAGCAGAGGGTTATTACTTTTCTTTTGCTTTACTTTTCATATGTTAACACCTAATTATATTATATCTAATAATTACAAACTGTGTTACGCCATGAATTACATTTCAGTTCCATTTAAATTCAGGATTGACAGGTTTGACTCTTTACTTTAATTTTGACAAGACTTCTGCACTTCTTTTAATGACTTATGAGTGAGAAATAATTAATATCAAATTACACTGTGATTTGGTTATTGTAAGCCCTAACTATGACTTCTGGTTGAGTAATGTTAATAAATGTCAAAGATATTTTTATTCTTCTTCTGGAAAATTACTGTTTCAGAGTTACTAGGTTTTCTTATGACAGCAGCAATATCCAGCTCCATGCAAAAGAGAGGCAGCAGAGAGATGTCTGCTCTTCCTCGCATCCACCTACTAACGCAGGCATCCACACAGACCTGCCCTAACCCATGCTGTTCTGTATATGAGAGGGCAGCGCCTTAATCTTCCTATGGATGGAGAGAAAGTAAATCGATTCCTCTTCCTCCTGTGCAAATCCCAGCGTGCACACACATACACCGCTGTGCTGGGGAGACATGAGGAGACTGGAGCATCCTCTCATAGCCCAGAAAAAAACAAGAGTCAAGACAGTAGATACGATTGATATCAGTGATGCTTGATCCGATACCAAACATTACCAAGGCAAGTATCCTGATACTGGTATCAACACCTTTATACGTCTTCAACTGCAAAGCTCAAAATCACAATAATGACTGATAAGAAATGATCAGTGAGAATAATTTTGAATTCATTGTTTAATTTTCCCTCTAAAGGGACAAGTGGACCCAAACCATGCTGGCCAATGGCAGACAAATGCCTATGATTTTTGTCTTTGTAATGAGGGGTTTAGGCACTGTAATCTTATTTTAATATCCCTCTTTATGTAGTTGTTGATGACACAGTCTACATTGACATTCTCAGTCACCTGAAGAACAGCTGCTCTTCTGTTTTTCCTTAAATATCACCCTAATGCACAAGCTTGACAGTCACTAAATGTGCGCTTTCAACCAGTATTTCCATCCCTATTTACTGATATCTTTCCCACAGCTTTAAGCGCAGATGTCCCTTTAGTCACTATAGCTATTGTTGCTGTTGTGACTGAAGGTCCTGCCTGTAATAATGAGTCATTTAGATATATTCTAGCTCTGATTAGCATTTTTCTACACATTACAGAGCATATTAGGATGATACTGCTGTATCATGTAGTACACACATCTGGAAGCATCTGTGTTTTTTTTTACTTTCTTTTACAGTGTAATAACGGCAAAAGATGCTTTGCTTTCTTTCTGCCATCAACACTACATTGTGTGGCTGTCGTGTATGTTGGAGGAGTGAACAAAGACAGCAGAAGGAAATCATATAACAAGACAATTATGACCAAAGCAGTGTTAATCACATCAAAACTATCTTAGATTCTCTGAAGTACTCCCACCTTGCATGATGCAGCTTTACACAGACTCTCAAGCAACATCATGAGGAGCCACATAAAAGGCTTTTCCAACAGGACTGAAGAAAATACACACACGCTGAATACTGGTTTGCTGCTGAAAACTACTTGCATGCTGATTCAATTTGTTTATTTCGGAAATACATTCATCCATCGGCATCGACCTCACTTTTTTGTCTTAGAAACAAACTTCAAGCATTTAAGCATAAGACTTTAGACTATACTGTCTCTGAGATTATGAAAAACATCCATTCTATCAGATGTGTCCACACTTTTGAATGGTACTATATGCAGCTGAATCTCCAGCAGCTGCCAGGTTTGAACCCAAGTAAGTCTGGCAGCGGCTGCGGCGAGCAGGGAAAGAGTGTGGCACCATCTGGGCCCGAACACACCTCGCGCTACAACAGAGACAATAATTAGCTGGAAGCCAGCCAGCCAAGCAGCCAGGCAAAACAGCCCTGGAAGACAGCCATTAACAGATTCTCCTTCAAGACAACAGCAGACACAGATACAAACACCAAAATATAGGCAGAGAGGAGAGCAGGGGCAGCAGAGCCGCTCTGCTAAGCCTGCTGGAGTCAGTAATTAACCATTGAGGGAAGAGATAAACCTCACCCACACAAACACACACCCCTCACTGCCAACAGGAGTGATGCAACAGCTCTCTGCTCACATCTCTTCCAAGGTGAGAACAATTCCTGAGGTTTTTGCATCACTCCTTGATCTGTCTAGCAAAAGCCTTTGGCTCAGGCTAAAGCAGCTATGCTTTCTATTTAAAAACAATGAAAGAAAAAGTTGGGCAAAAAATCAAATTTACATAGTTTAAACCTGAAATGTACTTAGTCAAGAAGTTCTTGGTGTCAGAAGTTTGCTTTATTAGTTCTACACTGGAGTTTATAGCATGCTACTTAGCACAGCACTTACTCCGTGCGTAATCTCATTTAGTAACGTGAAATAGACTTGCTTATGAGGACATGGTTTCTGACATGCACATCTATAAAATGCACAAAATAGAGACAAATTAGGCTTCAAGACAACTGCAACTACTACATTTCCATCTAAACATAAATTTTCACCCACTTTTGTCCATGTAATCTAATTAGTGAGACATAAGCTTCCATTATTTGTTAGCTACATCTGCCTTGTAGCTACAGTGCAAAATTAAAGAAGCAAACTCCACACACGTCTTGCAGATCAACTACATCTGATGTACGGTGAAAGCTGTACAAATCTGATTATTCACCGAATTATTCCTTTAAATAAATCCTTCAACAATTGCTAAAGTGCTTTTCCTAAGTCAGAATGTACCAAAAAAATCCCACTCCAATTACTGGAAGTGGCGCTCCTCTGAAAAGAGCAAAGATATATCAAATGGACCCCAAATTCCTGTTTTCTTCAGACATGAAAATGCAGCGCTAGAGTGTGCTTGAAGATGAGGAGCTGTGAAAGAACCCTCCAGTCTCCATCACTATCCTGAGATTTAGAGGCGTGATGGCAAATCTCTCTGCTTCTTAATGAGCCCTCTTTCACTGCCAAGGCTTTTCAAATACACACACAGGTGACACAGAGTGAACTGAGCCACTAGTGAATTTAGCTGCAAGAGAAAGCGTTAAAATAGCAGGGCAGCGTCACTCTTGTGAAATACCGAGCTGTCAATCATCCTGCCGTAATGTTAGGGTGTCTTGTCTGGGGACAGAGAGGTCATCAGCAGAGAGGACTGCAGTGAGCACAGCTTGGTTAGCACATGGAGAGAGGATAAATCTTGGAAAATGGACTTCACCTCCTACACTCTTTACATACTGGCTGCTATTTTTACTACACTCTGTGCTGGCGCATCTCATATATTCGCTACAACTAGGTATTACGTTACTTATTATTAGAGATTTCTTTTCTGATACCGATACTGAAACCTTGAATATCAACATACACCAATCTGATATATATATTTTTTAAACTACTGAGCTTTAAAATGAGATATTTTTCAAGTGAAGCTTTTAAGATGAGCATCTAAAAGTAGACTACTTTATGCTCAAACTACTCAAGCACCACAGGTAGGCAGGTAGAAATATACAACTAACAACATCATGTCACAAAGTGTGATATTTCAGGACAGATTTGTTACAGGATTGGATCAGATTCATCATTTTTTTCCCTCTGATATCTGATCCAATTCAAAATGTCTACATAATTCAATGGCTGAGATGTAAACAGTCATTCAGAGTGGTTTGATGTAAAATGGCTCATTGCAGAGAAACATGCCAACTCTGATTTATTTACAGTGGGGGCGGGGGGACCAGAGATCACAATGTCTACAAAGAAAATACCACCATTTTATTTACTATCCAAAATGACTAGTGAACCCAAACTCTTCTGAGTTTTTGTATATATAAGGTTGACAATGGTAAAATAGAGGTACATCTAAAAAAATGTTTTCTTTAGGTGCTAAAGAGCGTACCCTGTATCTTTCTACCGTGAATGGATTAAAAAAATAAGTTTTAGGATAAAACTTTGTCACAAAAATATGGTAACACAATGTCAGAGAGATGGCGTATTCGTAATCATTTCATGTATTAACTGTGAATTCAATACCGAGGATTATATAACAGTTTCAAACAATGCTCAGCCAATCAGATTGCTGCTGCAACTTTAACAAAGAGTAGGCTACTACTTCTTCAAAGGCTTTTCTTACAATCCGCAGCTTTGAATTTTGATTTTCTTTGATGGAGCGTGTCCACCTCGCTACCCAGACAGGTGCAGTGCGATGATCATTAATATGCCTTACCATACTGGCATATTGATTCTGACCGGCTTTTACTGAAACCACGTGTAAAAATACTGCAGCATTAAGGAGAGACTGGCACAGTGATCACAACCCCGGTGACTTTATAAACAGGACTTACCACATAATACCACATTTTGCATGGTGTAGCACAGTTATGGCTGTTTTTTATGACCTAATGACTGTTAAATGCCCAATGTGTATATGTTCTTGGTTCTACTCACAAACAAGAAACATTCAATACATGCCTGTGTATCTTATCATGCATCAACATGACTGTATCTTATGATGAATGGCATTGCTCTTGAAGCAGCATCTTGTATCTCCAAAATGTAAATTTACGGGAAAAAAAATCAAAAACAACATTACGCTTAAAAGTTAATATAACAAGATGTTATTACAAATGATTTTGGACTACTTCTATTGGCCTATTCATCATGCAATGCTCACACAAAATTAAGAGCTGGTGTTTTCAAATGGAAAATCAAATTAAAAGTTTCTACATTTTGATAGGACCGTGATGAAAAGACTTTTCTGATTTCTAATAACTGCACACACTGCTGATAACTCATTATAAAAACCAGCATGCTAGCTGAAAAAGGGATTTGGATATGATTCATGGTCTCACAATGGGTTACTATTAGAAGATTGTTTTCCCCTGCAACAGCAGCAGGGAGGAGATTTGAATGTTTTCTGGAGCTGGACAAAGCCATTTCTACCTTCTGCTTAATTAATTAATCACTACAATTACAACAATCAATATAAGATATGCAGATTACAATGACATCCAGTCTGGTCTGTTAAACATTTGGCTGATTTCACAGTGACCATGTTAACAGAAGTGCCTGATCTGAGGGTATTCAGTCTGCGCCATATTGACAGCTCCACTTCTTTTTCTGGCTGAGGTGGAATCCATACTCCTTTACGTGTCTCTTGCTTCGCTCAAGAGGAAATGAAAGAAGCATTTCAGCTGAAGCCTTTCTTCAGTACTCTCTGATTTCGACACTCTGACATGCAAACAAACCAAAAAGTACTGTGGAATCAGTCTCACGCTGATCTCATACTTAAATTTAAACTTTCACTGTAATCACACTGGCAACAGGATAAAAACAAGCATCCCACAGCAAGTACTCAGGCACTCATATGCAGCAACAGTACAGAACCACAGAATAGTCTGCAAAAAGCAAACGTTTTCTTTGGATTAAAAACATGACCAGCATTACCTAATGTCCTGTAACCTTGGCTATGGAGGCAAGTAGTGACTGGCCTGTGGTTTCCAAGTAGGAATGCCCTGAAAAAATTTTCTGCCTTAATCCAAATCTAAATGCTTTTAAAAAGAGTTTCTGCCCATAACGTGCTGAGCTGACATTTAATTTTGTGAAAAAAAACAGTGATTAGTACATGCATATGTATATATACATACTAAAATACATCCCTTCATAGGTTTGTTGTGCTGATAAACAGAGATGCAAAAATTATTTCTTTTTCAAAGCCTATTTATTCATGTCTTTCAACTATGTTAAAGATTTGTTTTAAGAAGAGAAACAACAGTTGGGTCGAGGCCAAATGAAGGATGTAAGGTGATGCTGAACAATCAACTGTACCATCACCACTTTCAGCAACTGGACATTTAGAGTGAATCAACTGAATATAAACAAATTAAATGAATAATGTGTAATACATGAATACATAATACATACTTTCAATTAGTTTTACCTAATTGATTTGGGATTTCACAACACAAAGTGTTTGTGTAGATCCAGAATTTTGGAGTGTAGCATTAATGGGTCCACATCCAATTTTTTTTTTTTGTATTTTACTGTTTTTCCTGAAGAGTTTATGCACCAAAAAGAAGAATAATTAATATTTTAAATGATAATTTTTTATCCTTTCAGATTATAAACTATGTTTTTGTTACTAGTATACGTAAATGTATGTTTTGTTACTGATATACGTAAATGATCCCTCTTCTTACTGGCTTTCAATGTGAATGAGCGGAGCTACACTGTTGTAGGCTGAATAGACAGAGATATGTAAATGACCGGTTTTCATAACATCATTCAAAATATATGGACTGTATGGACTGGGGAGTGAACGTTATGTTTTGAAACATTAATCATGGTTACGTACTAAATCAAACTGTTTCATTAAAAATACAAGCGAGGATAATTCAATTTATCCATGATATGGGCCCTTAAGCAAAGGAACAGCCTATAAAGTTCACTTAAATCATTCCTTGACCGGCTCCGCTACCAATTGTTCTAGCTGGATCGGGACAAACCTGCTCACTAGTGTCAAAAATGCTGATTTATCAGTGGCTCACCTGAGGGGTTTGCTCTCTCTGCTGTCATAGATGTAGAAGAAGACCTCCAGCTCCTCGCCCAGGTTGGAACTCATCAGGCTCTTCATGTGGACAAACAGGTGATGTGTACTGGCTGGGACCGGCGTCTCCTTTTTGCGGTGCCGATGTTCCATCTGATGCACACATAGACGCGCAGACACAGACAGACAGACAATACAAGCATTAACCCACCAGCAAGCCAGTTTTCATGAGTGATTTTGCTTCTAACAAAGCCAAATAACACTGGCCAGCCCATGTTTATTCTCCCAGCCACATGGGCCTGATGGCATCCCTGGGAGTTCGGCCTGGAGAGAAGGCTAACAATGTACGCAAACACATTCAGCTCTATCTCTCTCTCTCTGATGCTCAGAAATGTAGGGGCCAAAAAGGCCCTGCATGTTTTTGTCAGAACTGTTTTGAATATTCCATTTAATTCCGGAGGCACCACATTCACAGCATGACCTCTTTATAGTCGGCTAAATCTAATTTGTTTCACTTAACATGCCTCTCGGCTGTTTCGACACAGGAGGTCTGAATGTCAAATGTGTGACACCCACACAAGTATACACTGTCAAATATGTCTGTATGCATGATCAACTGTACTAGGGATGTAAGGGTCAGGCCTGAGCTGACTGACGATAACATAGATTACAACACCGGGTTCAGTGTGTAATGGTCTGAAATGTGAGAAAACTTCAGCCGTCCACGACATAAGTGACATGCCATAGGTGACACAGATAATCATATTTGCCTCATATTCTTTATTTCCTTCTGAGTGTTTTCTTTTAATGTATAGTCCATGTTCACATCACGACAGCATATGGCCTGGACAGTGACCTCATCATCAATGTCTCCAAGACAAAATAACTTATCTTGGAATTCAGGAGGAACTGAAGTCCTCTCCACATAATCCACATCAAATGCATAAAAACAGAACAGGTCAAAAGTGTAAGGATTCTGGGACTACAAATCTTCAACAACCGGAGCTGGACAGCATATACAAGGAATATTGGGAAGAAAGCACAACATTTATACGTTCTAAGGTGCCTTAAAAAGAATGGACTCCATAAAACAGCGCTCACTATTTTTAACAGAGAGACCGCCGAGAGCGTTCTGACTGGTGGAATCACTGTTAGGTTTGGCAACGCGATGCAAAAGCACAAACAAGCCATCCAGAGTTAAGATGGCTCAGAAGATCACTAGAACTCTTTATATATAGAGACACTGGATGCAGAACACTATAGGAACAGAACCCGTGTTATCTTCTGTGATCCCTCATCATAATCTGGTCACCTGGCAAAACACCGAACACAATCTCAGATGTCACAGGCCCGACAGCATCATGACCCAAAAGAACAGACTTACTAACAGTTTCTACCCCAGGACAATCTGCTTTATTTCAAATGACATGCAAAAAAAATGTATCCTATCCTCACAAACACCAACCATTCATACACAATCACTCAATACAGAACCACCAACACACACTAATTCATTCATTAAATAATTCATTTTATTCACACCAGCATAAGCTGTTTAACCATGTACATAGTTTTACCTCCGTGTGCACATAATGTGTAATTATGTCTAAGTAAAGTCCTTACAGGAAAGTTTGTTCACACGGCAGCCTGGTAACACCGCAGGGCAGTTATTTCCATTCATATCACACCAGACTCCTATCTGTTTGAATGGGGAGAGAACTAAAACTTGAAACTGAAGGCAAAATGACCGCTTAAAAAATCTATTTGAAATCACTAGTAAAATCTGATTATAAACTCATAAATAGTTTGTAATGTATGAAAAAAAATTCGAGTTTTTCGAGTTGGACTGGCTAACGCATTTGCACAGACCTCCACAATTGAGGGGGGCTTTTCCTGCTTGCATCTTTACCAACAAGCTGATTGGCTTATTTTATTAAAGGACAGGACTTCTCCCTGTAAACAGACAACAGGTTGAGCATTATGAGCTTTCCCATTCATGTCTCAACCAGTAACCTGTCTCCTCTATAATGCCTCAGGTCTAAATCTTTGTGTAATGTCTGTTTGTCTTGTAGTCTTGTTTCATAAATCTTGAAGTCTTGTTTCATAAATGTATTCACTCCATGTTAAAATGCAATATATATTTGTATATTCATGGGCTCTTAAGCAATATCACCACCAACCTCGTTCATTTTTCAACTAAATTGTCCCACATGTTTTCCTATTTATTACATTTACCTAATTTCTAGTTTACCGAGAGGCAAGACTTTCTTCCGCACTACTGTAATGTATATCCTGCTGTACTGTCCATAACTGTTTATATGTTTATTTGTTTGAGAACCGTGAAAGAATTCCAGTACACCTGTGGTGTTAAGGCATCTTGACATCAGTCTAAATATGTTGTCTGGCTTTAGAACATTCTTTTTTATTGTGGGTTTGCTTGTTAAACAGATAAAGCTGTGCTGCAGCCTTCTAAACACAGAATGTTTTCACACAAAAAAAGTGAACAAAGGCTCAATTTCACTTGTGGTTACACAAAGTGTAAAACTACAATAACAGTAGCCTAGAGGGTGACCTTATATAGTAAGCTTTAGCTGTTTTATTATTTTAACAAGAAGCAATCTATAGGCTGCATGATTTTTAAACTTACTAGGCCTGTCTTGACTATGAAATTTCAGATTTTAATTGCCATATAAATAACTGTGATCAACAATGAAATTGATTTTTTTGCTCAATGGACGCAACTATTAAAGTGCACACCTAAAGTGGCCAAGTTCTGATAAGCTGTATTGCTTCCAAGTGAAACGTAGTAGCTCCCAATTGACGACACACAACAGGAGCTCAAATAAACAAACATTACTCAACACTGCCCTCTAAAGGTGTTATAGCACCAGTGAAGACGTTAGAATGTTTGCTGTTTTTGTAAGACCCATGACATTTCTCAATGAATGTTTTTTTTTCTGCTTTCAAGTATTTGCATCAACCTACTGCTAAAACTCCACCAATTCATATTCTGTTTGTACATAAACATATGATTGTGAATGCTAACAACTGTGGGAAATAAGTGCAGTCAGCTTAAATAACTGTGATCTTCTTAAATAAATGCAATCAGGTGATGATGTAATAACTCTGAAAGGCCCATTAAAAGGCAGCTCTATTTCATTCACTTACAGGCAGAATAGAGTGTCAGCATAGTGTCAGCTCATTTAAGTAAGGAATTGAAAGTCAGTGTACTGAATTGTTTACTACGCTGTAATACTGAAAGAGCAATGAACTTTCGCTACATCGTGCAACACTGACCTGCTTATCTGCAGGTGTTCAAGCAGAGGAATGGCAGCATTGTGTTAGTAGAAGTTTTCTGCTGCAGAGTCAATTATAGTAATAAGATATGGACTCGTTCCACCACCAGCGTCTTAAATACACACACTCAATGATGCAAGTGCGCAGAAGAGTGATGTAGTTTATAGAGAGACTGATGGAGCTGCACATTCACCACAGCCTCATCCTGTGTGCAGCCAAAGAAACAGTCATGGTGAGCTCTGGATCCTTCAGCCAAGAACACAGCCCCCTACTTCTCCAGATGGCCTGAGAGAGAGATGCCAACATGCAGCTCCACATACATTTTGAGCCGCCAAACAGAGGAGAAACAGGCAGAGAGAGAGAGAAAGAGACAGAGAAAGATAATGGGGGGGCTAAAAAGGTAAAGGAGGCCATGAAGAGAGGGAGAAAATGAGAGAGAGAAGAGAGAGAGGGAGAGGAAGAAATGGAGGAAATGAAAGGTAAATGAAAAAAATAGCAGTGTGCAGGAAAAGAAAGAGAAAGGGAAAAAACGTTAAAAGGAGGGTGGGAAGAGAGAAGGAAACAGCAAAAAAGAGAGAGGACAGAGGGAGAGAGAACAAGAAGGAGAGAGAGAGCAGAGATACATATTGAGAGAGAGGGATGACAAAGCTGAGTGAGAGACAGAGAGAGAGAGAGAGAGAGAGAGAGAGAGAGAACGAGAAGGAAAGAGGCAGGCTAGAGGAAGAGAGCAAGAGAGAAAGGACAGAGCGAGAGAGAGAAAAAGACAAACAGGAACAGAGAGACAGACAAACACACAGACAGAGAGAGAGAGAGAGAGAGAGAGAGGCAGGCTAGAAGAAGAGAGTGAGAGAGAGGAGGACAAAGCGAGAGAGACAAAAAAGACAGAAACAGGGACAGAGAGACAGACAAACAAAGAGAGAGAGAGAGAGAGAGAGAGAGAGAGAGAGAGAAAGAGGCAGGCTAGAGGAAGAGAGCAAGAAAGAGAGGAGGACAGAGCGAGAGAAAGAAAAAGATAGAAACGGACAGAGAGACAAAGAGAGAGAGAGAGAGAGAGAGAGAGAGAGAGAGAGGGGAGGGAGAGGAACTGGGAGATTGAAAAGGCTAAAAGAGCAAGAAAAAAAGAGAGACAGAAAAAAGAAAAGAGGGTTAAAGGCTAAACTGATGATAAAGGGCAGGAAGAAAGGGAGCTAAACAGAGGAAAGGAGGAACTGAAAAAAGCTGAGTAAAGGAATGAAATGACAAAGAAAAAGAGGAGACATGATGCACCAGCTCACGTAACGAGCCCTCGTCTGAAATGAACAGGCTTCATGGGATAAAGTGCTGGAATTTCACTGGAGATTTTACAGCTGCAGGCAGGCAGACCTTAAACCTCTTAGTCTCTCTCCATAATCACCGCACAAAGAACGCCTCTGTCCCGACCTAACGCTCATAATCAGAATTATCATCATTAGTGACCAGAGACTGTGAGGACCTGCTTCCTTCAGTGGTAAAAACACCTCCAAAAAAGAGAGAAAGAGTTTGACTCAAGTTCTAGAAGAGGAAGTGAAACGGTGCTGACATATTATATGATGTGAAACTTCTTACCAACTTCTTTCCCATGTTGTACCTTCCTTCCTCTCCCTCCGTCACACACGCACACAGTGAATCCTCAGCGGCTAATTAAAGCGTGTGTGGGCAGAGTGTGTGACCTGCTTTAGACCTGCGCCATTCATCACGCTGTACTGAGTGTGTGTCACTGTTAATGAGCCTAGTTTAAACACAGCTGTCTGAGTAACACTCTAAGAGAGAGCACACAAACACATACACTCACAGCTGCACAGTCTCCTTTATTCAATCCCAAACATCAACTCTGATGAATTGTTGGTAGATAAAACTGCCCTGAAAAGCATAAATTTAGATCCTGATTCACATTCAATGTCTATCTGTGACCACATCATTTATCAGTTTCACCCTAAAAGGTCTACTGGTGTAGGTTTGCCCCCACCCAGTTTCTTCTATTTTTGCTAATTTGTCACATTTAAATGTTTCAGATCATCCAACTATTTTAACGTAAGCTAAAGACAACACAAGTGTGATCATTCCATTACTGTAGATAGATTTATTCAAAACCTATATCACCCATGTGTGTGTGAAAAAACAACAACCCCCTAAACCTAATAGCTGGTTGTGCCAACCTTGGCAGTAATGACTGCAATCAAATGACTGTGATAACTTGCGATGAGTGCTCTACATCGCTGTGGAGGAATTCTGGTCCTCTCTTCTATGCAGAATTGTTTTAATTCAGCTACACTTGAGGGTTTTCGAGCATGAACTGCCCATTTAAGGTCTTGCCACAGCATCTCAATTGGATTCAATTCAGGACTTTGACTGGGCCCCTCCAAAACCTTAATCTTGTTTCTTTTGCACCATTCAGAGGTTCAGACCATTGTCCTGCTGTATAATCCAACTGCGCTTGAGCTTTAGGTCGTGAACTAACAGGCAGATATTCTCCTTCAGGATTTTCTGATAGAGAGCAGAACTCATGGTTCCATCAGTTATGACAAGTCGTCCAGGTCCTGCAGAAGCAAAGCAGCCTAAGGCCATCACACTACCACCACGTTTGACTACTGGTGTGACGTTCTTATCGTGGAATGCTCACTCAACGTGATTCGCTGGAGTGACAGAACCTTATGGCTTTGTAACCCTTTCCAGACTGATAGATTTCAATGACTTTGTTTCCCATCTGTATTTGAATCTCTTTAGAACGTGGCATCTTGTGCTGCTGTTTTTAAACCCTCTAGCCTGCTTCACATTGCCAAACAGGTTCTATTTAAGTGATGTTTAGATTCAACAGGTCTGGCAGTAACTGGTTCATTTAGTAGCTAAGGGTGCAATTACTTTTTCACACATGGCCAGGTAGGGCTGAACATTATTTTTCCTTCATTTTTCCATTATTTAAAAACAGCAGTTTGTGTTTACTTGGGTTATCCTTGTCTAATGTTAAAAGTAGTTTGATGATTTGAAACATGAGTGGCAAATATGCGAAAAATGGAAGAAATTGGGGAGGGGGCACTTTTTCACAGGCAATGCAAGTCTCTTAGCACCTGACAGTGGGTCCAGGATCATCTGCAACATATTCCATCTTCGTGCTCAAATGTATTTGCATCTGTGTATGTTGCCATGACGCTAACAGACCATAACCATGACAAATGCAATCCATCAAAGCCTCTAGCAGCAATAAAAAAGTTCACCAGAGTTGAATTCTTGATGGAGCGTGCTCTGAAGTATACGTGTGCCAGCCAGTAGCATACAGTGTGGAGCTTCAATCAAAATGGAGGAAAAACTCATCTTTCATGAAAAAGAGTCACAACCGTCAGTAGACATACACCAACCAACTGAAATACTCCAAAATTACTGGGAATAAAACCTCTTTACACGAACCTACAGTTAAGTTTAAGAACATTTTTGCCTTCTCCTGTAAAGTTACTCTTTTGAAAATATGTGTCCTTGGACAGTAATGACATATATCTTTGACACACTAACATGTCTGCACTGAGAAGAAAAACATCTTGTACAGAAGATGCTGAGACCTCATCAGCATCAAATATTGTACTAGTTAGCTCTAGTATCATATCTAATATACCAATTTCCCTTGGTTATTTTTAAATAATAAAACATGTTTACAAATTATAGCTTCCTAACACCAATGCTATCCAATGCTTATGCTTATAATATTGAAAATCAAAATTAGTCAAAATACGCATCCATATTTTAAAACACCCAATGCGAGTTATTAATTAATTAACCACTAGCAGTCTAAAGTTGTTATTTCATTCTGTTTATATTACATCATTATTTATACAGTGCAAAAGTCTTGGATCTCTGAGAAAATAATATTTAAAGCCATTCATCTGGGCAGTGATGTTACACTGTACTCCTTTTTTTTGCATTGCTGTTTTGCTTCCTAGTTGTCAGCGTCATTCCATGATCCAGCCCATGTCTTCTACTCATCCCCACTTATTCCAGTTCTTGTTCCAGTCCACATCTTCAAGCTGCACTAATTATTTCTATGTCATCAATTTCTACAGCAACAATGAGAAAAAGCTTAAAATCTCTGAAGAGCTCATAGACTTAAAATGCTATATGGCTTGGGTGAATAATGGATGTGATCTGCTGCTGTACTGTGTTTTGTGAGGAAGGAGGGGTTCTGTCTCAGAATTCTGCTCGCTAGGAACAGACCCCTCCCACTCCACAGGTATTAAGGAGTTGAAGTCTGCATTTTTCATCATTTTGATGTCAAAAACTGAGAAATGTGGCAAAAATATAAAGGATTTTCTTTTCATTCAATTCATTACAATTTTTTTCCTACAAACAAGTCTGGACTGAATTTATCTGCATGTTTTCATCTGTAAGAGATTAATAACTAAACAAAATGTTTAGTTTTTGATAAAGGAGGCGTTTCAGGCATGTACTGCATGGGGTTGCCTAAGAAGATTGATTTGTTTAATTGGATCTGGGGAGATGGAGCAGGGAAAACAATGAAATCTGCAGAGGAGGACTGCTTCAGGGCCAATGTTGAGAAACATTGACCTATTGGACTGTGTTGATGGCTGTGGTGGTAGTGAGTGATTGGGCCTGGCACAGAGGCCATGCTGTAACCGACTCAGTGTAAACAGCAGATTACATTACAGCAGTGGTGCAGGACATTTCAGGTTACATTTAGCGCAGGAGACGCGATCCTTCAATGTGCTCCCCGCAACTCAATTACACCACACTGTCAGCGAAGATCCTGGCTCCCTTAGCTACCTCACTCACATCTGTGACCACGGTAATTGTCTTTGTTTTATGTTGCCACTTTGTTGCTGAATTACTGTCATTTTCCCTGCGCCATAATGGAGACGCATTAGGCTTTCATCCGCAGCCTCCTCTTGTTCGGCAGAAAGGGATTAAGTGGTTAAATTACGCTTGAAGAAAGCAAAGCCGGCTCTGGAGCTGCAGCCCCCGAGGCGGCGGAGGACGTGGTTGCCACGGTAACGCAGCAGCGTCGCCCAGGGTGACGGGGAGACTGGAAGGGGAAACTTACCAATCTGTAGAGCTCAGTGACGCTGATGTCATCAGGGTCCACCATGCTGAACTCTCGCCGGGGGACCAGGTCCAGACCCAACTGTCTACAACAGCAAACACAAACACAACACTCCGCATTAGTGCTTTTGTGGATTAATATCAGTGTACATACAGCAAATGGGGTAGAGAGAAAGAGGGAGAGAAGGAGAGGGAAAGGGACACAGAGAGAGGGAGAGGGAGACAGAAAAAGAGAAAGACACAGTGAGACAGAGGAAGATGGAAAGAGAGGGATGGAGAGACCAAAAGAAATGGAGAAAGAGAAGTGAGAGAGAAAAAGAGTAAAAGAGAGACAGAGAGAGAGTCGGAAGATGGAGAAACAGAAATAGAAAGAGAAGAGAGAAAGACAGAGGGAAGGAGAGAAAGACAGATAGAGAAAAGGGATGAATTAGAGAGAAACAGAGAATTAGAGAGAGAGGAAGAGAGAGAAATAGCGAGAGAGACAGTGACTCACTCGTTGCCCCAGTCCAGGCGGGCAGTTATGTGCTGTTTGACATCCCTCATGCGGTCGTGAGTCAGGTGACCCACCAGAACCTGCCGTCGCAGATCCAGGATCTCATTCATCACGTGCCACAGTCTGTGGAACAGATCCCCCTCGTTCTTCTGCAGGACACACAAAGAGTCAGGGATGAGTCCAGTATATGGTATGTTAAAATGACAGATTGATGAGTCTACTATCACTCTGTACAGGAAAGGACAGCACATGCTTTACCGTATCTTTATGAAAACACCCTCACTGTCATTTCCTCTTGGGTCAGTTGGTTAAAGAGAACAGAATGCGCTATAAATCTTGACTGCACTGGTAGCTGTTTCCAGACAGATAAGGCATTTCTCCCAGTGTTTATGTGTGAGAGCTCAGAGTTCACTGTGTAGAGTTGTATTTACCACGTAGAGCTGCTTCCACATGGTTCCCCAGTCTCGCAAGGTGGACGTCATCTCTGTAATGACCGTGTCTTCCGTGGGCACCACCGTCTCAAACTGCCTGTGGGTCAAAAGTGTAGGTAAATGTATTTATCTATCTATATTTGTAAGTTTAATTGGCTTATGAGAACACTACATACTTCTCTTTATCCCTGAGAATGAAACATACTGTTTTTGTTACTTTGCCTTTAGGACTGATATATGTAAAAGAGCACTGTTCTGATTGGCTGCCCGGTACTGTGCCTCAAGCAAAAAGCAGTTCAGGCTGAAACACTCCTTATAGGTTCAGTGTGAATGGGCTAGCATAAACTACTGAAGGCAGACAAGGCAGATATATGTAAATGGTTTATGATGTCACAAAAACAGGAGGTTTTGCAGCTTAAATTCCATATATATAGACTTTATGGACTGGGGGATAAACAATACTCTTTCAAACTTCATCAATGTTAATGCACTACATCAAACTCTATTATTCCAAAAAAGGTAGGAAAATTTGTTTTTCTATTAAATGGGCCCTTTAAGATGAACATCCACAAGAAGGTTATCATGCTCAAACACTCTATTACCCCACAAGAAGAAATAGACAGCTAACAACATCTCATCACACAGTGTGAGTGTGATATTTTAGGGCAGGTTTGTTGCAGGATTGGATCAGATTGATTTTTTTTTTCTTCTCCCCTTCTAGAAATATTGCTTTCCCCTACCACAAAATTAAAAGCAGTGAGGAAAAGCACATTCCTTGTAAATGTATTCAAACTTGGGGGTAACGTTACTATAAAACATTGTACTGTTACATTGTTGGACACTAATAAAATTAAAATGCTCATTTCTGTTAGCACCTTTATGGTGTTTTATAAGTATGTTAGCGCTAAGCTAGCAGCGATTGACATGAACATTTTTGGCTGTTCTAGATTAAACGCGGAGATCTGGAGCTTGTAAAAGACATTTCACTCTTTATGTGAAGCTTGTAACTGACATATTAAAATATATTTTACACTGTAGCAGTTTTATAGTGACTTCTTCAGAGCCCTCGCATGGAGCTACCACTAGCCACGTTTACATGCAGCCGGATAATCCGTTAATAACCCGACTAATAGCTCAATCAGAATAGAACACATCCATGTAAACACTTCAATCGGAAAAGTCTAGTCCGATTGAGGCCATTCGGAATACACTTTCTATCCGATTGAACGAGGTGGGTAATCCTGTAAATAATCCGTTAAATAGAAGAACAATAGCAAAGTAAACGCCTGTATCAGATTACATTTCCAATCAGAACGTGTAAGTACATTCTGCGCATGTGCATCGCGTCATATCAAAAGCACAGAACTCATAAACCGGCTCTGGCAAAAGTTTATAACGTTCAACATGGCGGAGCAGAAACTGGCCTGCAGAGGAGACGAAGTTTATGCTCTGATCTTTAAAAGTCGGCGGTGGGACGGACGTCCAGCTCATGTGTCTCAGAACCCGACGTCTTCCTCTCGGCCTTCTTTAATAAGGACATGCGAAGAACGTTTTCCTGAGTCTGACATCATTTTAAAGCAATTTAAAAAACTCCAGCGCGCCAACTGGAAACTCATCTCACTCTGACTGGACCTCACGTGATGCTCGCTGTCATGGAAACGTTTATTCTAAGTGGTACTCCGTACGCGCGTCATTTTGGATTACTTGTAGTGAGTATATAAACGAAGATTTTCATCAGATTGTTGAATAGAGTGTTCATATAAACACCTCAGTCTTAATCTGTAATCGGAATGTATTCATTCGGATTGGCAAAAATCTTTGCATGTAAACATAGCCACTGTTTCCTTTTGACTGTAACACACTACTCAGGCTAGCACTACTGCTCACAGTCAGTGATGTATCTAGAACGTCCAGAAGGCCTAGAGTGATGTTTTTTCCTCACACAATTGGTCAATTATAAGTCAAACATGATTGGCTGACTCCTCTGCCACTTCCTGATTATGTCAGTGGTTAATCTCATTAGGTCTTCAGCTCCTGAAGTCCTAATCAATAGGACAGTTTGCTTGGCTGTATCTGCCTAGATATTACGGACAACAACAATCCTGATTGGACACATTTCTGTTGGGTTTTTAATAAGGGAATTATTACAATACTTGTATAGTTTCAATTAAAAAAGCATGATTATATTAAACAAAATTTGCTAAAATTTACAGACATGTATTTTGTTTTCACAGAAATCATTAAGGCTATCACTCTCTGAAGGCCTACAAGGCCCCAAAAGTTGATTTTGATCTGTATTATAATGTAAAGGTCTTTCTACGCAATTAACAGTTTACTGTCTGGATAAATAGTTTAAATTCTTTTCTCTCAGGTGGTCCAAGACTTTCACACAGTACTGTACATCCTTTCCTGCTGTTTCGTTGTAAAGTTTGAGTAGAAGACGTCATATTAAAGAGCAAAAAGGATGACTTTAACACTAAAAATCTAATAGTAAAAGCTCATTCTCCATAGACCCTTATTTTCTAACCAGAAACGGGAAGCAAAATCGACCCCTGAGAAGCAGCAGAGTGACACAGTGCTTTCATTTGGCCCTGTGACATTCATTACATGTTTATTTAAGGTTTATGTAAGAGGGGGAGTTGTGACAGATCTAATTAAGGAGTTTCCCTCCTCGGCCGGGACACTTTACTCACCCTTTGTTCTTAATATGAGCATTTTTCAAATGAATGTAGCTGCATGGGAAAACCCCCTGCAAAAAAAGAGAAAGAGAGGCAAAGAAAGAGATAGAGAGAGATAAGGGGGTTAAAGCAGCAAGTAAGCAATGCTGATGATTAAGACAGAGCACTTAATGGAGTGTTGATGAGACACTGAATGAGTGTGCAACATTGTTAAGATTGACTTTTACTATTTTATAACACACTGAGCTAGGGAGAGAGAGAGAGAGAGAGAGAGAGAGAGAGAGAGAGAGAGAGAGTGAGAGAGAATTTTACATATGGATAATATCATGTGGTGTTATCACACGTAGAAAAGTGTTATCACATGTGAAAACGTGTTCACATATGAAAAAATGTGATTACTTTTGAACACATTTTTTGCACTCTACACAGGTGAAATACATGTGACTGTTCTGTAAGAGGAGAAAGAGGAGAGAGAGAGAGAAAGAGAGAGAGAGACAGACAGAAGGGAGAGTTAAGAAAGAGGGGAAAAAGGAACAGACATGAGGGTAGGACACACACACATAGAGGGAGAGAGAGAGAGGCAGACAGACAGACAGAAAGGGGGGTTTATAGAGAGTGGAAAAAGGGACATACATGGGGATAAGACACACATGTAGAGAGAGAAAGAAACAGTGAAGGCGAAGAGACATAGAAAGGTGAGGTGAAAGACAGGGCAAGAGAGAGAGAGAGTAAGAGAGACACACAGAGAGTGAGAGAGAGAAGATAAGGAGAGACAGACAGAGAGAGAGAGAGAGAGAGAGAGAGAGAGAGAGAGAGAGAGAGAGATGTGTCTACACTGCGTGTGTTGACAGATATTTGCAGATCTAGAAATAGCATCCAGACACAGTCAGTCTATATGGAGGACAAAGAGTCTCTCTCTGGCTTACCTTGGCATTTGGGTTCTTAAGGACGAAGCCTCTGTACCAGCCTGCAGAGACAAAACATTCACATCTCTTACTCTTACTTTCATCTCAACAATCAGCTTTATCTCTTTCACCACTCTCTGCCATTCTCTGCTAAAGAGCGCTGTCACACAATAGGACTCAAATGAATAAGGACCCATGGAAATTTAGACAACTGAGAGTATAGAGCAGCAGTGTGTGTCTCTGTGTGTGTGTGTGTGTGTGTGTGTGTGTGTGTGTGTGTTTGTGCGTGTCTGTGTGATTTTAGAAGAGTGTGTTCTTCTTAGTTCACATTCTCTGGGTGAAATTATGTGTATGTAATGTCCAGCTTGACCTGCACTGCCCTCTTTATCAGAAAGGCCATTGTTAAGTGAAGCCTCTGCTAAATGCCGAGGCAGTCAGTGACTGGAGCCTGCTTAGTGCAGAGACAGCTGAGTGAGTGAGTGATGAACGAGGTTAACATTCAGTGTATATCACATACACACAACTGTTTGCAGCCCCTCTGCCACCTTAAAGGGACACTCCATCATTTTTCTACCTCATATCTGGCAAATCATCAATGTTGGAAAAAATCTCCAAAACAGCAACTCCACAGTTTGCTGTAAACACAGTGCACAGTTTAATAAACACATGCCTACGTTAAAAGCAGTTCCACAATCAAAGCACAAGCAAAACTGGGCAGCTTGCTGACAGAACTGATCCTTCTCTCTCTCTCTCTCTCTCTCTCTCTCTCTCTCTCTCTCTCTCTCTCTCTCTCTCTCTCTCTCTCTCTCTCTCTCTCTCTCTCTCTCTCTCTCTCTCTCTCTCTCTCTCTCTCTCTCTCTCTCTCTCTCTCTCTCTCGTCACTGGATGTCTGAGCTGCCGGGCAAATAAATTACAAGTTTTCTCTGCATAGTTTAAACTAAAAAATCATTCAAGGAACATATGTCAGCTATCACTGTAACCTAGCCACTGTAGCAAATCACTACTGTCAGAACAAAATCTTCTATCTCCAAAATGAAAACTTTACAGGAGAAGGAAAAACCTTCTTTATTCTTAATGTAAGTCAATGGAACCAGAATTTTTTCAAAGTCATTTCTGGCCATTTCTCTTGGTCCATTCATAATGAAATTTACAAGCAACGTAAAGGGCAACAGGTATTTTCAAATTATGTCAAAAACTGAAAAACAGCAAAAATGCAGATACACTATATTGCCAAAAGTATTCGCTCGTCTGTGTTCACACACATATGAACTTGAATGACATCCCATTCTTAGTCCATAGGGTTTAATATGATGTTGGCCCACCCTTTGCAGCTATAACAGCTTCAACTCTTCTGGGAAGGCTTTCCACAAAGCTTAGGAGTGTGTTTATGGGAATTTTTAACCATTCTTCCAGAAGCGCATTTGTGAGGTCAGACACTGACGTTGGACAAGAAGGCCTGGCTCGCAGTCCCCGCTTTAACTCATCCCAAAGGCATTCTATCGGGTTGAGGTCAGGACTCTGTGCAGGCCAGTCAAGTCATTCCTCACCAAACTCGCTTCATCCATGTCTTTATCCAAGTCTTTTTTGTGCATTGGTGGTACACAGTCATGTTGGAACAGGAAGGGACCATCCCCAAACTGTTCCCACAAAGTTGGGAGCATGAAATTGTCCAAAATCTCTTGGTGTGCTGAAGCATTAAGAGTTCCTTTCACTGGAGCTAAGGGACCGAGCCCAACTCCTGAAAAACATCTCCACACCATAATCCCCCCTCCACCAAACTTTACACTTGGCACAATGCAGTCAGACAAGTACCGTTCTCCTGGCAACCGCCAAACCCAGACTCGTCCATCGGATTGCCAGACGGAGAAGCGTGATTCATCACTCCAGAGAACACGTCTCCACTGCTCTAGAGTCCAGTGGCGGCGCTTTACACCACTGTATTCGACGCTTTGCATTGCGTTTAGTGATGTAAGGCTTGGATACAGCTGCTCAGCCATGGAAACCCATTCCATGAAGTTCTCTATGCTGTTTTTGAGCTAATCTGAAGGCCACATGAAGTTTGGAGGGCTGTAGCAACTGACTCTGCAGAAAATTAGCGACCTCTGTGCACTATGCGCCTCAGCATCCGCTGACCCTACTCTGTCATTTTACGTGGCCGACCACTTCGTGGCTGAATTGCTGTCGTTCCCAATCGCTTCCACTTTGTTATAATACCACTGACAGTTGACTGTGGAATATTTAGTAGCGAGGAAATTTCACGACTGGACTTCTTGTACAGGTGGCATCCCATCACGGTACCACGCTGGAATTCACTGAGCTCCTGAGAGCGACACATTCTTTCACTAATGTTTGTAGAAGCAGTTTGCATGCCTAGGTGCTTGGTTTTATACACCTGTGGCCACGGAAGTGACTGGAACACTTGAATTCAATGATTCAGATGAGTGAGTGAATACTTTTGGCAATATAGCGTACAAGGTTTTGCCCGACAGCAGCGAAATGCTAAGTGTTTGAATGATTAGCCAAATCACTACTTGTGTTAGCTGCTAACACTTACCACCGCAGTAATCACTCATGGTTGAATGTAACTTTACACCCATAACCTCATACTGTACAGATTTAAACTCCAATACACTACATATACACAAAAAATACAATCCCTTCATGAAGTAGTCTTGACAGTACCTACATAAGTCTGCTAAATAAATCACAGAATTACAGTATACTGAAATTAAACACTCACACTACAATGAACAGGGATGTGTGAAGAAAATGTGGCAAGCCTGGTAATCCCCTCATTGTAGTTTATATCAAATCGACACATCTACTGAGAGACATTTCCTCTCCTTGTCACGGTGGTTGAGCTCCAACCAGCAGGCAGCTTTCTATCACTCGAAAACAGGAAACCTAGACGTGTGCGCGCTCAGAGCATGGAGGAGTGTGCCTTCAAAGAGTGGAAACAGGAAACGCGAGGAACGTCTGAGACAAGCTCAGGTCACACACTACATGTGAAGTCTGTTCAGTGTGTGTGTTCATGCAAGAGCAATGGACTGAGGCAAGAAAAGGAAACTCCAGCACTAAAAGAAATAATTAATAGATTACAGAAATTAGCATTGAATATGCCTCATGCTGGGGATAGAAGCTAAGACTGGACAATATATCATTTTTAATCAATAATTGGCTTGGAATAATCATACTGCAGAAGGTGGTAATATACATATAGAGCCTCTAACAAATCCCAAACATGCTGTGAGCATCCTGACCAACCTCATGTTCCAGACAGGCGCTTTGATGAATCAATTCATTCACATGATCCAATAAGTACAGATCATTTTGGATAAAATACAGCAGCACTGGCCACATCAAAATATGTAACAATAAAGGTAACAAAATAAGCACAAAATGATATTTGTCCATATCATAATATTATAATAAATCTTTGTTTATAGAACACTTTTCATTTTAGTGAAATTTACAGACATTTTACAGTGCTTTACACATGAGTATAAGTAAAGCATTAGAGAGATAAAACACCATGTATCTATATGTATCTATAGCTATATCAAATGGTAAAGCCAATATCCGCCTGGACCACATTTTTACACATTCATATCTCATTTATACTGACCAAACTGAGAAATGCAGGCCAATCTTTAACTATCACATCAGGAGGTCATCAGTGTATTAAATATTAAATATTTAGTTGGTCCAAAAATCTGAGACCACTAGTGAAAATGCTTTTGCATTCCTTTCTAATTTAATATACATTTTTTCATTACAAATTATATTATCAGCATAACAATATGAGTGAAATGTTGCATCTTTTACATATTTACAAGAACTCCAGAATTTCTCAGTATTTGGTCCTGTATGATGCTCCTTTTCCTTTAATGACAGTCCTTGAGCTGACATGGACTCCACAAGTTTGGACAAAAGCCTCTGATGAGTAGATCGATGTCACAATGCCACAAATATGCCTCAATTAGAATAGTGATCTAAAAACAGTGCAGAATCTTGAGTATTTCTTCATTTTACTTTTCATAATCTTTTCTTTATTTCCAGGTTTTAAGGAAAAAATCCTAGATGTTCAATGTGCTCTCAGAATCTTGGACCCTACAGGCATACTGGGGTCACAATATGCAGCTATATAAAGGCATTATATTTTGCCCGTATCTTTCAGCCTTCCCTCAGACCTCCAGCATGGACCCTTTGATGTAGCACTAAGCTGAGATAGTAGCACTACTTTACCTTCACATTTCTCCAGGATCTGCACCGTGTCGCCGATCTCCAGAGGCAGGCCATTCTGCACAGTCCCTCGAAAACTGGCTAACACTGCAAAGCACAAACACACACAGGGAGGGTAAACAAACAGCTCATAAATCATCCCACTCATTTCTACAGAAAACCAGGTTGCCGTGAACTCAATAAACCTGCTGGAGAGATACACAGCGTCATTGTATGCTGAGGGTTCTCTATTCACATGGTCAGGCCCGACTGTTCAGCAGCCCGAGAGAGGTGTAAGGAAAGTTCAGAAGTGCGTGCTTTGATATTCATCTGCACTACACTGAGAGATATGTGTAAGGAGGCTGAGTGTAAACCTGGCACTCTGAAGAAAGTGAGAAAGGTCTTATTCAATTAGCCAATTAGCTCCTCTCTTAACTGTAGACGGATATGGGAGATTAATCAGAATAGTGCTGAATGCCACTGATGAAATTCAATACTACAGTATTTCCCAAATATATTGTCAATTTGCATTAATACAGTTTATAGTTAATGAAAATGAGTTTCCAAAACTGGATTTTTTGAAAAAAGATTAAAAGACAGAAAGAAAGATAGAAAGATTGGTCAGGAGAAGATGGGACTCCCAACAACCATGCATGACCTGGTAGAGCAACACCACTACCACCATCACTTAAAGCTTTTATCTTTGAAAGAGGAATCTGTCCATTCTTCCTCTGTGAGAAGACAGCTCAACACTATGGGTCTGAAAGGATGTGTAGCTGTTACTGAGAAAAGGAAACAGACAAAAAGGGAAAATTGCAAATCAAACAAAGAAGCTGCTGGTGTTCTCAGAACAGTGAACTGGCCACCCCAGAGTCCAGACCTCAACATCACTGAATGTGTTTGGGATTACTTGGATCACGAGAAGCAACTAATTTATAAGACTGACCTTTGCAGATGTGGAAAAACACCGTTGCAGATTTCTTTAAAAAACAGTAAGCTGACATAAAGGCAAAAGGCAGAAACTCTAAATACTGAAAAAAGATATTACATTTAGTTGTTGAGGCTTCAGTGTTCTGACAAATAAATGAAAGGTGGCTCCTGACAGTACTGTCTGCACTGTAAACATTAGAAAAAGTACTATTTGTTTGTTTGATTAAAACAGTCACCCATACATTGCAAGCTGCTCCTGGATACCTTGTGTAAAGTACAATAAAGTGCAACAATAAAGCATTCAAAAACAAAAAATAAACTTCTTGGCAACAAAGACGTTTCTATTTCATGGAACAGAACATCATTAATGATATGAGCAGACCAGTATTGGCAATATATGGCCAAGCACTAAAAGGACCAAAAAAGAGAGAACAAAGGAAGTAAAAAAACACAAAACAAAAACAAAGCAGACGTGAGATCAGAGCAGGAGAAAAACAGAAAGGGAGAAAGAGAGAGAGAAATGAAGGGAGTCTAAAGTAATCAGCACCTTTTGTTCGAACAGCCTGTGAAGGCTATGGATGGCACAGCTTGCTCTGTTCCACTCAGAGGGGATCGTGGGCCCAAAGCGTTTAATCGGGTTACTTTACCTGCCCGCAAATTACTATGCAGGGACAGCTTTTTGGAGCGCAGCCCTCTTTTATGGGGCACGGCCCAATCTGCCATACCTGCACTGTGGGTTTGACCTAATTGGGAACGTTTCAGTCTCTGTGAGATGTGGATTTAGGTAAAGATAGAAACCAGTCCAGATCAGAGTTGCAGTCAGTTCCATTTCAGCTTGTTTGGTTTTTGTGTATTGTAAATTGAGAATAGAGAAAAAGAGACTTCAGTTCAGGGGCGGCAGAAAGAGACTTCAATTCAGCTGGAAAATCTGCTCTGAAATAGACCCACATGAGTGAATTTTAATTTTAGCTCATCTTCTGAACGGACTTCACTGAAATGGAACCGAATCACACCCCCAATTACGCTTTCTCTCTCTCTCTCTCTCTCTCACACACACACACACAGGTCAAATTCACTTAGGCTGCTCTCCTGACAGGAACGACTTGCTTTTTTTCGTCCTCTGAATAAATAAAATCTTATTTGTGTGTCCTAGCCCCAGGAAACAGTGAATCTCACTGGATATTTCTGAGTGACAAGTCAAACCAAGTACATCCCTCAGCTTCAACTTCAGAAAACCACACTCCGTCCTTGTCTCTTCTCTCTCTTTTCTCTCTTTCTCTCTCTCTGTCCTTTTTACTTCAGGTCAGCACAGTCCAGGCCATCTATAACTTTCATGACATGAAAGAATGAAAAAGCTTAGAAATACTAAAAATGCTTTCAATACAATAGCAGGTATCAGCACTGAGTCGATATCAGAAGAAAATGCTGCAGCTGATCCAACCCGGTAACACATCCATCCTGAAATATCACTCTCACAGTGTAATGTGATGTTGTTAACTGTGTATTTCTTTCTGTGGAATAGTAGGGTGTTTGTATAGTTTATAGGTTGTATACTTAGCATGATAACCTACTTTTAGATGCTCGTCTTCATTTAAAATATCATTAGATTTTAGATTCTGATTCATATTGAAAAAGAAATAAGTGGTCTTGTGCCACTACTAAGCAATATTATATCACAGTACAGACATGACGTCTTTGAAATAACCTTTTCTATTGTCAAATGTAGGGTTACTATCTATACTCTTAGTTCTACTAGTGTGAAAATGTTTCTACACAGTGAACTAAACATTATAACTGATAGTTTAGATTTCTTTTAAGCCTACTAGCCTACTGGTACCTGTGAAAACTGTACAACTAACAAATGTGGGCTCCCCTGACATAACCATCCAAGCATTCGCCTAATCTTTAAGAGAGCACAAGTTTGATCCCGGATGATGCCATATCCAGCCTACTCTCTCTCAGGGTAGGCGGGATGGCCCTCCCTCCCCCCATCACTCACATGGCCGAACATGGCCGTCTGTTAGCTGACATAACAGAATAGGAAGTTATTGTTCTCCTACAAGCATCTTGAGCTGTCCAATGCAGCTGTGTTAGTGGTAGTTCTGAGTGGAAATCGGCAAGGACTAAAGTGGAGAAATAAAATTGGGTAAAAAAGAAACACAGGGTTGTGGAACAACAGCTTATGAAAGATATTCTACAAACAGAACAGGGAATAAATATGTATCAGTAAAACAGATTTACAATAAGGGTTAGGGATTTATGGTCTGAGTTCATACCATAGAGGAAAGCCCTGCGATTTCGCTTTGAAATTTAGAAACCAAAATAAAGTAGGTCCAATGCATTAATTATACAAGCTCATTTACAGCAGCCACATGCTAAATTATTCAGCTGGAAGTTCATATTTTGACAGGGCTCAATTCCTTCCTGGTAATCCATATCCCAGCTGCTGTCTGCCTGCTAACAGGATCAGCATGAAAGGTGCTCTCACAATGGGAATTTTTTTTTTTCATTTCCCCAGGGAAAGTGAGGAAAGATATAAGGGTATGCAGCGCACATATAGAAGGACGAAAATCGGAGAGCAAGAAGAAGGGACAGATACAGCAAAAGAAAGGCAGACAAATACACAAAAAAAGGAAGCACTGAATTTAGAGGTGGATGATATGATGATATCATGATTGTGATAAATGACTTTACAGTACGCATAAAGAACACTGAGCTCTGCATATTTCACAACCTATTAAAAAAAATCATTGCAATCATAGTTTTGACAGCATTTTAAAAGGTGGCACTACATACTGGGTATTGTTAAATGTCTCCATGTATTATATGTATATATGTATATATTATTCATGTGAAAATGATGTACACATTTGAATCAAGCAAATTTAATGCACCACTTCTCCTGCACCAGACGCTGACTCTCAATATCATAGTAAACTCAGTATGAAAACACACAAGTAGAACGGTACACAGAAGCACACATGCTCAGCTAAAAAGCTCCCAACAGTGGTTAGCATGTCCTCATTTGCTCACTGCTGTGGTCGTCACACAGGACCTCCATTTCCATCTGACTGACCGTGAACCTGCAGCCTGCCACCACTGGGCCAGCACTCGGTCAGAGCTGATCTGACGTGACACGTGTTTACTAGTCGCCACTGGCCTACTATTCTTCAACAGAACTGAGAGAGAGAGAGAGAGAGAGAGAGAGAGAGAGAGAAAGAGAGAGAGAGCAAGGGATACACACAGAGAAAAAGAGAGAACAAGAGAGGAGAGAGAGAGAAAGAGAGAGGCATACGACAGAAAGAGAGAGACAGATAGACAAAGAAAGAAGAGAGAGAGGGAGAGAGAGCAAGAGAGATAGTCAGAGGGATAGATAGAAAGATAAAAAAGGAGTGAAGGATAGAGACTGACAGAGAGGCAGAGAAGAGAGAGAGAGAGTATGAGAGATAGTCACAGGGAGAGATAGAAAGAAAAAAAGGAACGAGGGAGAGACACCGAGAGAAAGAGAGAGAGACAGAGACA